AAAGTGTGCCTAAAGGGTGTGTGTGTGTGTGTGTGTGTGTGTGTGTGTGTGTGTGTGTGTGTGTGTGTGTGTGTGTGTGTGTGTGTGTGTGTATATATATATATATATATATATATATATATATATATATATATATATATATATATATATATATATATATAATATAAATTTTTTTTTTTGCCTGTTTATGGTTGAGAGAGAGGAAGCTCAGGGAAGTTTGTTGTTAATTTTCATCTTTGATTTTTGCATTAGGTAAGCTAGTCCTTTGAACTTTTAGTTAGCTCATTTCTGTTTGTTGTTTTAGGCTTTACTCACTCAGTTTTGACCTAGTTTCCTTATAAATCTCTATATTTGTATTAAATAAATTCTTATGATTATGTTTTCTAAACTTTTGTGTTGACTCTTCACTCTGGGGCTGAGGATTGAAGTGTGTTCTCCTCGTTTATTTATTTTTAAATTAGTTCTAATTCAATATTATTTACCAAATTTTGGTCTTTGTTACACCTTTTCAGCAAAAACCCCTAGACTTTTATAAGGTCTTAACAAATAGGGGGCTCGTTCACTTTTTTTTTTTTTTTTTCTAAGCTCTTTGGCAGTGTTTTTTTTTTTTTTTTTTTTTTTTTTGGGGGGAGGGAAGGAATGTCTGCGGTGATGGAGTTTGATCTAATTGAGTTTACTCTATGTCCCACTGCAGAAACTTTTGAACGCTGTAGAAAAACAGATTTATTGTTGATTGCTGACTTTTTTTAATATTAATGTGACCAGGGAGGCAGCAAAACGAGTTATTAAACAAGAATTGCATGATAGGCTCATTGAAAATGGGATTCTTCCAGATTACACCGTTAATGAGGAGGGGAATGTGTTACCTGATGCAGCAGTTGGAGCAATGTCACCTAGCAGTTCTCACACTGTCTTTGAGTCTCCTCTTGACCCTGTTTTAGCCATAAAGATGAAAGCTTGATTTTGAAATTAAAAAGCAGGAACGTGAGACACTGCTTATTAAATTACATGTTAAAGAAGCAGTTAAAGACTAACTGTGAAGTTCAGTTACAAAAAATTAAATGTGAGAAATCATTTAAAAAAAGATCAGTCGCAGATCAGTTGTTTAAACCACATTAGTTATAATGTAAAACGTCCATAAAGATACTCTAAAAGGGGTGGAGTAACTGTTTCATTAGAGAAAAAAAACATAATTTTTTGTGCAAACTATAGTGCTTACATGCACTTGCGTTTAAAAAAAATCTAATATTAGTTTTAGTAAAAACATGCAATTGTTTTCCATATTAACTGATATATATGTAAACAACACATAGGCTCTATATATGTTTCCTTAACAAATATTATTGACAATATTCCAAAAAACTAAGCCACCACATATTCTAATCTCATATATATCTATCTATCTATCTATCTATCTATCTATCTATCTATCTATCTATCTATCTATCTATCTATCTATCTATCTATCTATCTATCTATCTATCTATCTATCTATCTATCTATCTATCTATCTATCTATCTATCTATCTATCTATCTATCTATCTATCTATCTATCTATCTATCTATCTATCTATCTATCTCATTAATGGTTGTAGGTATAATTTACAGTAGGCTTTATTTTATTAAGAAATGAAAAAATCCTACTTAATAATAATAATAATAATAATAATAATAATAATAATATGATGATGATGATGATGAATATAATGATGATGATGATAATAATAATTATTATTATTATTATTATGTAGGATATTGTTTAATTATTTTATACATTTTTTCTTATTTTACAGTTTGACACATTCAAATATGGTGATTAACTGGGAATAAAACACAGCCAGGAACTATGTTTCTAACTACAGTTCTAGAGGTGTAGTTGCAAGCGTACAAGTTTGCAATGCAGTTTGCGAAATGTTCGTTCGAACGACGGATTTGGGAAATTAATGAACTATGTTTGTAACAACGGAACCTGCAACCTTAATTAACAATAGTTTTCGGAAATGCACCCCTGGCTAGTATTGAGTTGGCCTGATTCAGCATTTATAATCAGCACAAAAAAAAATGCTTTCTTGTTCGTTTTTATACCCAGTGCTTAAAATGAGCTGAAACAACACAATTCTTGAGATTTCATTGGAACAACTTACATTTTTTTTATGTTCAATCCACATAAATTTGTTAAGTGTTACGTTAACTTCATTGATTTGTGTTGGACTGCACTGACTGCATTTTGTACAGTGAGTGTCGGCCATTGTCTAAAAACAGCGCTCTGATTGGTTAATCAGTAACAATCACAGCACAAGAGCAAAAACTGAAATGACATACCTAAGAAAACAATTTAAGCCAAGAATAAACACAAAGAAGCCAGCTGTAATTTCTTTGCAATTCTTAAATAGTTGCTATTAGATCATCACCTATATTTTCCTGGGTGGGAAAAGCCTTTTCCTCTCACACAGGCACTTTCATTTTAGTCGACTGCCGTCTGCAGTCTGTTCATGCACAGCTTTTTGGTCCAGACAAAACCAGACGTAAACCAACACAAGCTGACAACAAATTAGATTTTCGCCAGCGCTGGTTGTTTGGTCTTTGGTTTGTTATGTCCCGGTGCTTTACATAGTCTTAGAATAACAAGAAAACATTGAGTTCTATAACTTACATGTTGTTGTTATAATGCATTTAACCCAGTACTGAGAAAAACCCATACAATTTCGAATTCAAACACACACATACACTAAGGCCAATTTTGTTTACTCACTTCACTTATAGCACATGTCTTTGAACTATAGGGAAAACTGAACATGCAAACTCCATTGAGAATTGTCAACCTTTTTTTTGTGAGGCAACAGGGATAACCACTGAGCCACCGTGCTGCCATTGTTATAATACAATGACATCTTAATGTCAAAAGATCAAGGGAATTTTAATTTCCCAGTGCATGACAGGAGAAAGAGTTTCTGTAGTGTAAGTAAAGACAACTACCAAGCACCAATTCAGCGGTATCTTGTCTCCGACTCTTAAACTATGACGCGTGTTTCAAAATCGATTAAGAGTGCATTAAAGTATTCATCCCATCACTGCGAACGCTCAGCTCAAGACTGATGCTCCATTCACATCTTCCTGGTTTCATTTCAAAACACTCCCCATGGGCTGAAATGTCATTTAAAAGAAGAATGATCAATATGTGAGGCCTCCAGGCATGTTTATTGCGTGTCTGAATTGCATTAAAAGAAAGCTTAGCCCTGTCTCCTATTCACTGGCTAGAATACAGATTGCCTGGGTTAGTATTTAGCACACCTACAGTTTTTTTTCTTAGGGGAACATACTGAAGAACGTATGGGGGCAGATAAGCTCCTTTGTTCTGATTGACAATGAAACCTGGCTGAACTGACAAATAATTTCAAGTCAAGCCAGATGACTTGGGCCTTAATGAGGGGTGGATGTTGACACCTGTGTCCTAAGGGCTTTACTCCAAATCAAGAAGATTGTCCTGGGCCTCTGCGTGTTTGTGTTTTCCAGTGAGTGTGTGTGTGTGTGTGTGTGTGTGTGTGTGTGTGTGTTTGTGTGTGTTTGTCTCAGCCAAATGTCTTTCACGTTTAATCTGGTGTAGTAGTGAAGGCAAGTCCAGACAGGCTTTCTTTTTAGAGCCCACTCTTTCCATTGAGCCGAGAGCACATGGCTTGACTGACAGTGTGTTTGGAGGAAATGCGTTTTGTCAGTATATACAGCTTAAAGGCTGATCAAGCATCGTGCCTACAAAACAGATGTCCTGAGCGAAGTGAATGGGGTTGTTTACTTTTTTACAGTATATATGAGAGCGCACACCTATAAAATTGTATTTATATCAGTATATACGTTTTTTTTTTTAGTTTATATTTAAAATGGAAACTGTAAAACATTTGATTTTGTGAAAAGATAAATTTATATTGTATTACCAAACTTATTATTAGAACTTATTATTAGTACAGCTTTATGTTTGTTATTTTTTACAATTATATTATTGTTGAATACAAAAAAAAATCTATAAATAGAAACAGTGATGCATTTTTATTAAGGGTCTTGATTGCAGGAAAGTTTGGTGATTAAGGAAATACTTTTTATTTTTTGATTGAATTCATTTTCATGTGCCTTTAAAAGTCTTTCCTATCTCCTAAACAGTTGCCCATACTGAATAAAATTATCAGTATTAATTAATTGTAAAAAGCTAAGAAATTATGATAAAATTATTTTGAGTTTACAAGTTAAATATACAAGTACATATAAATATTTAATAAATATTTAATATTTAATAAATATTTAACTATTTAGTGAAGCAAGTGTAGGTTTTACATAATATGAGTGTGATAAAGTAGCATTTAACTTAAGAGCCCTTTAGACCATGTGCTAGGCCGTTTCTCTATGTTCGGTAATGTCTTTAAATAAATAATTATTTAGGCCTATTTAATTATTTATTTATTATTTATATACAATAATTAAGATATAAAATGAGAAAAATTTAACCAACAAATAAAATGTCAATGAAAACTGTAAATGAAAAAGCCTTTTTATTAACTGTCTTAGTTCTATCACTTTAAAATAACAAATAATGTACATCTCTCTTTATTTAGGCTAAAACGTTGCTTTATTTATTTATTTATTTGTGTAAGTTTGCATGTTTGTCCTTTCATTTTAGTTGTCTTTTATTTTTAATTTTACTTTCCCAATTTATTATTATTATTAAAGGAATTTAATTGCTTTGTTTCTTTATTTCATCTTCATTTACAAGTAGCAGGGTATTTACAGGCTAGTGTGTATTTCTGTCCATTCGCGTCTCGTCTTTATGTTCCCCCTGGCACCAAAGTCACAAACTACCGTTATACCTAAAAACACTAATCACTCAGTGCTCCGACGGTGCGTCACGCTGTGCTAATGGTCCTTTTGAAGTGTCACCCACTGTATTAGTGTTAATATAAGTCAATATAATATTTCACCAATAATTTCCTCAATGTTTTGTTTTCTCTCTCAGAATGCCACAGCTCATGTTCAGGCTGCATTGGTGGAAGTTTTCAGAACTGTACCTCCTGTTTGCGACCCGGTGTCCTTCATCAAGGGCAGTGCCTCAGCAAATGTCCCAATGGCTTCTTCCACATTCAGGACCTCACTTGTCAAGGTCTCTCCTTTGTTCTACAAACAAAAGAAGCTTATTTCCCTGTGGGTTAATACACTACCTGACACAAATCTTGTCGCCTATCCAAGTTTAAGGAACAACTGATAATAACTTGACTTCTAGTTGATAATTTGGTATCAGAAGTGGCCTATGTGAAAGGCAAAGGCCTCTAGATTACGCTTATTTTACCAAAATAAAATATGATCATGCCTTGATTTTAAAAATTTGAATTAGGACAGTAAGGTCTGACTTTGCTTAGACAAAAGTCTTGAGACTTAACAGAAATAATGTTCAGTATAGAATATAAAGTCATGGTGCAGTGGAACAATAATTAATATAATATTGTATGACTCTTATGAGCTTAGATGACTGCATCCATACATCTCTGCAATGACTCAAATAACTTATTAATGAAATCATCTGGAATGCCAAAGAAAGCGTTCTTGCAGGACTCCCTGATTTCATCGAGAATCTTAGGATTTATCTTCAATGGCTCCTCCTTCTTACCCTAGACATGCTCAATAATGGTCATGTATGGTGACCAGGCTGGCCAATCCTGGAGCACCTTGACCTTCTTTGCTTTTAGGAACTGCAATGTAGAGACTGAAGCATAAGAAGGAGTACTATTCTGCTGAAGAATTTCCCCTCTCTTGTAGTTTGTAATTTAATAGGCAGCACAAATGTCTTGATACTTCAAGCTGTTATTGTTGCTATCCCTTCTGCATATCTCTCGCATGCTCCTATGCTGAATGTAACCCTAAACCATGATTTTACTCTTCATCAAACTTGACTGATTTCTATTAGAATCTTGTCCATGTGGGTTCCAGTAGGTTTTCTGTAGTATTTGTGATGATTGGGATGCAGTTCAACAGATAATTCATCAGAAAAATCTACCTTCTGCCACTTTTCCAAATGATCAACTAGAAGTCAAGTTATTATTTGAATAGATGGCAAGACTTTTGTCAGGTAGTGTACAGTATAAATTGATTATTTTGTGAATCTAAAGTTGTACCCATTATTATCTTCTCTCCCTTCAGCTTGTCATCCATCATGTAAGGAGTGCACTGGCACATCTCAGGCCGACTGTTCTGCCTGTCCCGCTCATGCCAGTCTTCATAACGGTTACTGCCGAACCAGCTGCCCCGAGGGCCAGTACCTCAATTCTGTGGGTTTCTGCGATGGTGAGTGAAAATCGTTTTTTCAGATTTTCCAGACCCTCACCACAACATTGTTGAAAACTTCCAGATTACACCTTTGATCTCAAGTCAGTGCACCTGCTCGGGTTTAAGGGTGTCAAATGGGCACATTTTGCCTTCAAGGGAGGATTTTGTGTTCAAAGGGCATGCCTGTATTGTTGTAAAGTCAATGCCAAGAGTGTGGAATTGGGGAAGTATGCTCATTCTTTTGTCGAATGTGCTCTGAGGCTCTTTAATTCCTGAAACTAATTACGGTACCCTGTTTTTTGGCTCCTAATAAACTTTGGTTGAATTACCAGTCTGTGTCTCATAAAGAAAGGAAATTTTGTGTAATAAACATGAGGAAACAAATCAAAAGAAGCAGTATATGCTTCAGAATGTCTGAGATAAATGGGACTATTAGTTGAAAATAGACATGGTTGTAAAATACAAAGAACAGACTGTGGTATAAAGTATTTACCAATAAATGCATTTTCATTAATTACATTTTAGTTTAGAACTGAGGGCAGTTATTTCTTACACCGAGTGCTGGATTTTGTTGCCATTTAAAAAGTGAGACTTTCAGAAAGGTTCAAGTAAACTTTTTCTGTTAAGACAAGTGAATCCCAAATTCCCTCAAGCTCTAGCAAGGGCAAGAGATTAAAATAAAAACACTTAATATATTATTTATTCCTCATCTTTCTCAGTGACAGTTCAGAGTTCTGGGGGGAAACAAGTCTCTTATGCTCACCAAAATTCAGTAAAACACTAATGTTATAAAATGTATAGAATTTTCAGCTTCATCATAATCTAGTTTTCAGAGTCTCATGTTTTTTTTTTTTTTTTGCTGAAATCATTGTAAAATGCTGAAATCATTGTTTGCTTCTCAATGAACAAACAATAGTTGAATGATAATTATTATTATATTAGTAATATTAATGTAAAACAGTTGTGTTGTGTTTTATTTTTTCCTCAATATTTTCTGACAGTCTAAGATCATAAATATCCTTACTCTGACTTTGACCAGTTCGACTAGGCCTAAACAAATGATAGTACAGATGAAGTTGATAAATCAACAGATATTCCACATCAGTATTTTACAGTTTCTTTGTAAAACGTTTTAAAATTAATTTTATACAAATGCTTTTTTTTTAGTCAATATGGTCCATTAAGGGCCCTATCATACACCTGGTGCAATAAGGCACAAGACGTGTTTTGCCTAATTTGTTGTTATTTTCAGACCAGCGCAACCCTATTATCCTGTTTTTATCCTGAATTTAGAAATAGTTTTAAACACAAATCTTTGCGCTTAACAAATGTAATTAGATATGTAGGCTAATAGCTGTCTTCACTGGAATGCACACAACACCATTTCCTTATCCAAGTAAAGGAGTAAAGTAAAGAGTAAAAGTTAAGTAAAGAAAGTAAAGAGGCCGATTTTGGACACGCCCTGAATGCTTTTACGGCATGCGCTTTAGACTTTCTGCCTAGATCGTTAGAATAGAGCCCTAAATGTCTAAATAAATGTCTAATATGAAAACCTTTTGGAATGGTTGTAAACCAGACTTTTTGTTAGAGATTAAGCTGACCAGTATGATAAATGTAGCAGTAAATGGCTCCAAAATGAAAGCTGGTGGATTAATGCTGAAATGATTGGACGAGTTTACAAATAGTTGGACGAGTATTGCAAATATGTCCTTGTTGTTGTTAAACAGCTTATGGAATCATTCAGACTTTGGCATTGAAATCTGAAAATATGTATGAATTATGAAAAAAAAACATAACTCACAGATAACACCTCACTAGGACTTATTGTCAAAATCCACTGTTAAAACATTCAGCATGTTTACTGTATAACAAATTCATATTTTGATAGGATAATTGAAATGACTTTTATTTTTATTACACACTGAAGGTGACAGCGGCACATTTTAATAATTGTGTAATTGCTTTTCCTCAGAAACTTTCCACAGACCTCCTTTTCTAGTTAGATCTTGTTACAAGAGTCAGTAAAGCATGAACTCTATGTATAATTTAAAGAATCTACCGGTGTCTCATAGTGTCTGCACAATATCAAGCAACCTGAGAAATAAGAGCTTTTGGCTGGCTGATTTGCATCGCTTTATAATCAGCGCCCTCAGCGAGTCCGTGGCAGTGATACCAGTCTATTCCCTCAGCTGATAAACACTGAGAGAGGATACGCAGATAAAACACTGTTTACTTTTACACCTTGAGAACATTTTTAAGATAATGATCTGATAAGATGTTCTTCCTCTGCTCAGTCGGGGATGCTTTTATGGATCTGCATAATAATAATGCATGTCGTCTGTCTGTTTGTTTCTTTGTCAGAGTGCGAGGAGGGATGCCAGCGCTGTGTCGCAGACCTGCAGTCTGGCTCTGGCACTGTGTGTTTGTGGTGTAAAGTTCCCAGAATGCTTCTGCTGGGCAATCACTGTGTTCCCGAGTGCCCACACAAACACTACCGCTGGCATGGAGCCTGCAAAAGTAAGTTTAAGTGGAGTGCTTTCTGGATGCATACAGTTCTGGGAAGTAACTAATCACATGTAGTCTGGATTACATAATCAGATTCCAAAAAAATAGGTGGTTAATAGATTATATTAAATTATTTACAATCACAATACACTTATTACTGATTTATAGATTTGTCTTCATCGTTGCCAGTGGCAATTATGTATTCTGAAAATATTAAAAACCTCATATTTTAAATCTAGTTTGTCAATGGACGTCCATGTCATGCTGGGAAGCCCAAAATTTGTTTGTTAGGTCAAAGCCCTTGATTGAAAAAATCTTACCCATTAAATTTTAATTCAAATCTCAATAATTTCGGTCAACTTAAAATAAATTTGGGGTCTCTGATGGTCACATTAAGATAACTAAGTAAAAAATGTGTCCAAACTATTTATTTTGGTTTATTGAAATTTTACACCAATAATAATATTGGAACAATAATCATCAATTCACAAAACCCCAGAAGCTCCTTCATAAAACTGTGATGTAATAAGTAGCTGCATCCGAAATCGAGTACTTCCATACTAAACAGTACGCTAAAAACAGGATGTATGCCAAGTAGTATGTGCAAATTTATAGAATTCGAAAAACGTTAGCTGCGTTTAAAAACCGCATACTTCCATACTATATAGTACTCTAAAATCAGTATGCGAGCTGAGTAGTATGTCCGAATTCATAGAATTTGAAAAACAGTATGTAAGAAGTACTAGGATGACCTACTACCTCTGCCAAGATTATGAAATGCGTTTTGCATCGACGCTATGATATTCTATGATTCACCGTGAGGGATGCGTCCCTGACACAGGTAGGTCACATGATGATGACAAAATGGCTGATATAGTATGTGTGAGTTCCGTTTATACTACTGACATTCATAGAATGTACTTTTGTAACAACCGAGTAGTATGTTTAAATTCAAATGTAGTACCTACTGAGTAGTAGGCAATTTCGGACGCGGCCAGTGTTTCTTAACCACGTTTCTGGAGGATCACCAGCTCTGCACATTTTGCATGTTTTTTTTAATCAAACACACTTGATTCAGATCATCTGCTCATTTGATGAAAGTGCATCCCAAATCGCATACTTATGCACTATTCTACGTCATTTTTTAATATAAATAGTGTAAGTAGTGAGTTTACACTGAAAACTCTAAAAATAATAAGTGCACTTTAATTTCCCGGATGATGCACTCATTTGACTAAAATGAAGTGTGTAATGATGGACACACACTTAAAGACCGCAGTTTTGCTGACATAGTGGACGGGGCGGAGCTAATGGCCGATGTGTTGGATTACTTCATTTATTTTGGATTATGAAAGTAAAATTCTCCTATGAGAGGGATTATAGCGCCTCCCGATGGAGAATGAGGCAGTAGTCATGGCAGGTATTATTTGGTACTTTGTTTATTTATTTCACTAATTTGGCAACCGTCAAACGTCATCTGGGAAGCGGGTTAAATTTCCGATTTGTAAAAAATCATTAGTGTTCCATTTGGGACAACACTATATACATATACTATGCTATTGAGTGGGTAAGTGCATAAGTACATGGTGCATAAGTGCATAGTGTGCCATTTGGGACGCAGCTAGAGACTGAAAGACCTGTAATGGGTGTGACAGACAAAGGAGAGATCCAAAACATGCAGTGTTGGTGGTCCTCCAGGAACATGGTTGAGAAACACTGATGTACATGATATTTAATCTACTTCATCATGATAATGACAAAGAATAGAATGTATTTAAAAATAATCAAATCCATGATAAATAATTTTATATTCTAGATTGTTACTTGTAACTGTTTGTCATTTGTAGTCAGTAACAGACCCAGATTTCTAAGTAATCAAGTAATCACCAAGCACAGTTTTTTTTAGAGGTACATTTTGAGACAAAAATAGATCTGCTTGAACTCTGCAACATATTTATGAACACATAGTATAGGTGCAAATACAGAATGCAAGAAAGTTTTAAAAGAGTACAGTAGTTTGTCTAAAAATAAAAATGCTGTCATTGTTTAGTCATCCTCCACTTGTTTAAATCCATTTTTTTTTTCTTTTGAACACAAAATATTATATTCGAAAAGACTTTTGCAAACCTGTAGCCATTCACTCCCATTGTATTGTTTTGGCTTCCGGTTCCCAACATTTTTCTTTTATGTTCAACAGAAGTAGAACAAGCACACTACCAATACTTGCTAAATAATTTATTTAATGTAAATGTAATGTTTAAATCTCACATCCTTCATCAGACCTACATTATATACATAACTAATAAATACAATGTGTGGGATAGCTTGTTCTCCTTTTGTACATTTTTCCTACACACATATCGTTGCTTCAGGTGTGTGCTGAGTTTGACTTGATTGAATGTTCAGCAGAAGAAAAATAACTCAAAACAAGCTTGAAAACAACCGAAGCTGAGCAAATTTTCATTTTGTTTTTGGATGTCTTAAATGACATAACAAAGATTTAAACTTTCATTTTGAGAGGTGTTAAATGTGCGAATGGGTAAACAGGAATTATGCTATAATTAAACTTTAGAAAGGCTGGTAAATTAAATTGATGCGAGCACTGCACTTTCAATTTGAAAAAATGCTGTGTTGTTGCATATTAAACAAGCGTGTGGTTTCAGGATATTTTATAATCAATTATGTTAGTGTAATATTCCAAGCAGTTGCTGGTAATTGACTGATGAGGAATTATGACAGTACTGCTTTGTGATGTTTGTACTGTAATAGTTTAGACCATTGTAAAAGTGCATATTTGATCTCCCTCATATTTTTTAAACAGCCATATATAGTAATGCATAAACCTTTTTAAAATATGATTTTGGGGATATTTCAGGCTTGATTATAACTTAAAATCCCACAGGATACATAACATTATTGTTTCTTGGTTAGTATTGGTTGCTAAGTCTTATTTAGTTATATAGGGTTGTGTTCAAGGTGTAAATTATACATTGATGATTGGGCAATATGCTTCAGTGAATCAAATTTGTATATTTAATTCAATGACATTGATTAATCAAACTTATCTTTAAGTTTTTAGTTTTTTGAAGGATATTGAGTGGTTCTTGGTGACATTTGTCATATTAAACAAACAGTGACAATTTTGCATTCCTGGACCAATAAATAAATGACCATGACAGACTGCAATTACAGTATTTATTATTTTACTGTTTAACTTCCATGGACGAGCAATTGCATAATAAAAATACAAACAAAGCATCTAATTTGATGTTACTTTTAGGCTACATGTTGATACAAACACCTATTTTACAAGAAAATGTTTCGTGAAATCTTACGCTGTCTGTCGGTGCTCAAGATTTACTACTTTCAAATGGCTGAATTGTTATTTTTCATGCATTCACAATGGTATAAACCATTTTAGGTCTGTGGTCAAATGTATGTTTGAGTTTTCTATTATTTTAATTATTAATATTATTATAATTATGAAATCTGAAATATTATGATAGATGTGTAATTAATAATTCCTAACTACTGAATTGGAAAAACACATTGCTTGATCACTTTTCATTGTGCTCCTTTAATGCACCGGTAGATTCTAATGTTATCACTCGATTGAATGGGCATTATTAGTGGTTATCAGCTGATAGATATAGGCCAGCAGGGGCTTTCTGTGCTTAGAAGTAGGCCTAGAAAACTGTTATCATCCATCCAAATTGTTAATCAGCTATAGATCACATATGTCTGCGTCCAGAAATTTAAAAAAAACTATATATATATTATTTATTACATTTCCCATTAATTGTATTTTATTAATCCCCAACCTTACCCCAACCCTAAACCCAACCTTCACAATAATGTAAAAACATATCTGGATCTGGCGTCTTCTCTATTAGTATAGCTGATTAAACGCAATAATTATTTATATTATTTATTCAATTTATCCATTACCAGTATTTTATTAACGTCTACCCCAACCCTAAACCCAACCATCACAGTAATGTAAAAATAGACCTAGATCTGGAGTCTTCTCTATTAGTATAGCTGATTAGACATGTGGATGGGTGATAACAGCCTTGTAAGCCTACCAGTAGGTGCAGAAGGCCCCTGGAGGCCCATGTCTATCAGCTGATAACCACTGATAACGCCCATTCAATCGAGTGATAACATTCAAAGCGGTTGAATGCACTCCATTACCATGTGCTTTTTGCCCAAAAAAGTAAGCACTGAGCCCTGTGTTTTGTATAGATTATAATAATAATGCATTTTAATACAACTGTGAGCTAATGCAGTGCCAAAAGTACAAACTATCACAAGTTTTGCTTATTTTTAGGTTATAACTAACAATTTACTCATGGTAAATGGAATCTAGAACATCTATATAAGCAAATAATGTGAGAAGTGAAAATTTGCCTGCCCTTTTTTACCTAACTGCCCTTACGTATTCTGCAGATGTTTTATAGACCTTTTCCATATGGTGATGTTATTGGCCCATAAACATTTCCTGCTTGTAGTCAAACTATTTCATTTCTGTAACAAGAGGTGATTCAATAACAGCTATCGTAACAAGATTTATCAATATGTTGAACTTTTTGGACTCTCAGAAGCTGTGTAAATTTAAAATGTAAAACAGGAAATACATCAGGACCATTGTTTTTGTTTACATCCCTCAAAATGGTCTATATGCATTTTTATATTCATTTTTATTTGTAGTCATAAATGATTAAGCAGTCCTTCTAAACAAAGTATTAACTGTTATACACATTTCTAGTTTTTGGAAAAGAAAAAGCCCAAGGTTGTACCATTGAAAACCTGTTGATGATCTTGTCACAATATGCTCATGCACAAACCTAATATGCATCACACAATAATGACAATTCATCTTGTCTTCCACTGAGAAAGGCCCTCTGCTGCCTTTCAGTATTTCCAGCATGGAGTTTCATTATGTAAATTGAACATCAGTCACATACAGCTTCTCCTCCCAACACCAGCATTCCTCTTTATGCACTGATTTGTCATTCTACATGATCTCTCAATGTAATATAGCCAGTGCCTCTGTTTCCATAACCCTGATGCAATTACCTGTGATGCTTCAAAAGTGGCCCCTCTGCTGACAGTGTGGATGAGACGGTGCATTTGTTTTTATTAGGGAGCGTGATGCAGTGCTTGGCTTTAATGCGGAATCTTTTAAGATGCTGATGTAATCTATAAACTATTATGGCCTTCTTTAATTGCCTGGCTTTAAAGCGATGTCATGAGAGTGTACATGAATGTGCGCGGATACATTTATATGCACAAGTCTGAATAGGATCTATGTGCATTAAAGTCAAAACAAACACTTATTGGAATTTACTTTCACTTACCTAGCATTTCAAGCATCTATACCCTGTTTCAAGGTAATATGTCAAGTTGACAGAAATCTGACCATCCTATGTAAATAAACATTTTAGTTCAGGATGTGAATAGTTTTCCTTTTAAGTGTCTTATTTCTTTATTACACTGAAATGTGAACGTCCTTGGCAACATTGCTTATTAAAATGTCAAAATGCAGTGGATCTACTTTTTAAGATTGAAAGATTTTAATGCCATTATCTGCTATCGCTGAGTGTGGTCTGAATCAGTCCTACTGTATACATCTGGACATATTATATTCATCAAAGGTTTACAGATCATTATGGTATGTTTATCTGATTCATAGGTCTAATTCAGGTCACACTATTTATTTATTTTTTTTAGATATCTTGGCTTTATTCTTATTGTCCTGCTCATCATCTTAATAATCAGCTCATCATTCTGTTATGTGCTTGTGTCCTCCAGAATGTCACTCTTCCTGTGAGGAGTGCAGTGCTGATGGTCCTCTTTCTTGTACCTCTTGTTTGGCCCCTGAAGTTTTGGCCCCATCAGGACTCTGTAGTCCACGCTGTCCGACTGGATATTATGCTGATGAAAACCGAGTTTGCCAAAGTAAGTCTGTCTATTAAGGGTGTAATTGATGATGTTATTTTATTTTATTTTATTCCATTTTAATTAATTTTATTTTATTTATTAAAGCTAAGATCATCAATTATGACTTTTTGTTTTAATTTGAACAATGATGGAGCTATACATGAACCATCTTCTGAGAATCAGAATTGGTTTTATTGCCAAGCGTTTTGGCTACAGAAGCTTCCAGTGTACGTAAAGTGACAAGTGACAACACAAAATAAATATGAGAAAATACAACATTAAAAAGAAATACAATTAGACAAAAAGCTATGGGTGTTAAATTGTATTTACAGATTTGTTTGTACAAATGCGTGGGAGAAAATATTGCATTGTATATTGTTATGCCGTGTACAAGTGCGTTTGAGAAAGTATTGCACATGTTTATTGCACAGTAGGGGAATATTTAACTGTTCATGAGGTAGATGCCTAAACCTAAACCTAAAACCAACCTAAAATTAACCAAATATCAACGTTTAATGATTTAACAGCTTGATGTTGTGTGGACTATGATGTCTATCAGATGTTGGATGTTGGTTGCCATACCTGACAAATAAATGTCAGCATTTGACGTCAATATGATGTTGGTTTAAGATGTTGGCTCGATGTTGGATCTTAGTCACTTTTCTAACTCAACCTAAAATCAACCAAATATCAACGTTATTTGAAGTCATTATTGGACATCAAAATAACGTTGTCTATAGATGCTGGCTAGACATTGAATTTTGGTCACTTGACATCACAACCTAAATCTTACCTAATTTTACTGTCTTATGACATGTGCCTGCTGGGCAATAACGAAATGCACTACAGAATGTTACTTTTACACACATTCACAAATTACATGTAAATGCATCAGCTTTTCACAGCGTAATACGCACTAATCACTACTCTTGAGTACTTTTGAAAAGTCTACTTTTTACTCATACTTTGAGTAATATTTACTATATTAAAAATATAAAAATATTTTACAGATACTTTTAGTCTACTTGCACCACATTTTTAGGCAAGTAATGATGCTTTAAGTATGATTTTGCAGTACTCTTTCCGCCACTGTATATAAAAGAATTATTGACTAAAGTAGGCTGGTTTGTTTAAAAAAAATCTGTCATTGCTGCTATATAAGGGATTCTTCTTTAATTTCTTATTAATATTTTGTATTTGCATTGCCAATCATATGTTGTGTGCACTTCTTATTTCATACTGTAAATTAATTGATTATGACTGTGTGTGTGTTTTAGAGTGTGATTCTCAGTGTCTGAGCTGTGAGATGGCAGGCGTGTGCTCGTCCTGTAGAGATCCAGCTAAAGTGCTTCTGTTTGGGGAGTGTCAGTATGAGAGCTGTGCTCATCAGTATTACCTCAACACCAGCACACGCACATGCAGAGGTGAGTCTCAGCCCGCTAACGGCGCACAGCATCTGTCAAACATAGAATAATCACAGAGAAATATTCATGTAGACCAGAAACTTTCCTGCTTTTACTTCTGGATCAATTCACGCATTTTTAAAATTGAATTATTTTAAGTTATGGATCCTGCAAGGTTGAACTGAGTTTTGTGTTTTTGCGTTATAAGGACTACACTACCTGAAAAAAGTCTTGTCGTTGATCCCAGTTGTAAGAGCAACAGATAATAACTTCTAGTTGATCTTTTGGAAAAGTGGCAGAATCATCTCTGAATCATCTGTTGAACAGCATCCCAATCATCACAAATACTGCAGAAGACCTACCGGAACCCGCATGGACCCAAGATTCTCACAGAAATCAGTCAAGTTTGGTGAAGTAAAAATCATAGTTATGGGTTACATTCAGTATGGTCATGTATGAGAGATCTGTAGATTGGATGGTAACATTAACAACCTGAGGTATCAAGACATTTGTGTTGCCCATTACATTACAAACCACAGAAGAGGGCAAATTCTTCATCAAGATAGTGCTCCTTCTCATACTTCAGCCTCCACATCAAAGTTCCTGAAAGCAAAGAAGGTCAAGGTGCTCCAGGATTGGCCAGCACAGTCACCATACTTAAACATTATTGACCATGTCTGGGGTATGATGAAAGAGGAGGCATTGAAGATAAATCCAAAGAATCCTGATGAACTCAATGACTTTATTAATAAGTTATTTGAGTCATTGCAGAGATGTATGGATGCAGTCGTTCAAACACATAGGAGTCAGACTCAATATTAACTATTTTTCCACTGCACCATGACTTTATATTCTATACTGTACATTATTTCTGTTAAGTGACAAGATGTTTGTCTCAGTGAAGACCTTACTGTCCTAATAATTAAAAATCAAAGCATGATCTTGTTCTGTTATGGTAAAATAATCATAATCTAAAGGCCTTTGCCTTTCATATAAGCCACTTCTGATGCTAAATGATCAACTAGAAGTCAAGTTATTGTTTGATGTTCCTAAAACTTTTATAAACAAGAAGACTTTTGTCTGGTAGTGTATTATAGTCATTTTTGGTCTTGTTAATAGAGAACATTTATTACACAAAAAAGTGTCATATAAAGGCTGAATACACTACAATTTTTGTTTGGGAAGTCGGCTCTAAAATGTCTTTAGCTTCAAAACGTCTGATATTATTAGCAGATTTTAGAACTTTTTTTAGTGTTGTGTGTCTCTTAGCAACTAGGCAACGTGTTTCTCTATGACTGTGTTGTGTGATTTGAAGGTTTGTTAGTGAGAGATTGTCGGTCTGATGCCCAGTTTTTCTTTGTAACTATTTACAAAGTCAGCTCGTGTATATTGCTTGTGGCGTTTTAATTTGTGTTCAGTTTTTAAAAGTAGTGTATTCCGGCCATTAAAGAAATATTCTTCCAGTCCATTATATAATATATAGACTTAAATACCAACAGAGAGCAGTTAGGGAAAAGCGGATGCATCTTTCATCCATAGCAATTAAGGTCAAATATATTTCACAGAGGCTCATCATGAAGTAGCAAGAATAATTGCAGAGAAGATTGTTATTTTGTAATAATTGTGAGCATGTTCAGATCTTAATGCGATGTGGTTTGGGATTTGGATGTGGAACAGACCCCATACAGTGAGACCTTTATTTCATTTTGATGGGATTTACAGAGGAGATCAAAAGGAGACAGAGATTAGTTTTTGTCCCTTGAGTATTTTGGTGTGTGTATATGCGTGTGTTTGTGTGAGTGAGTGAGTGTGAACAAAATAGAAAGAGAGACAATAACAAAGCTTGCAGGTATGTAAAGCGGTTTACCTCTGCAGTACAATAAATGAAGGTTACCTTGACAGTATTTGGAGGGAGCACTACAGAAATTCAGGATGTCATTCAGTTTGGGTCTGTGGATGGAAATGTGAAAGACAGTCTAAATGTCATATTCAAATGTGCTGCTTTTGAAGCAGTATATATGGACATCACCAGTGAAGTTTAAATAGGAAATAGAGTTAGATGAAGTAAGCCAGTGTGCTTTTCAGATGTACATTTGAAATGTTTAGGCTGGGAGGGTGGTTTTGGAGAATGAGGGCAGAGATGATGAGGTTATGTGGGTGAAGCGATGACAGAAAGAGCATGATAGGACTTTTTAATGAGCTGAGCTGATTTAGAGAGCGGGGGTCTGCTGGTGTGTTATCAAATGGTTGGCTAGTGCTCTCTATAATAGATGATTGTAGAACTGAAACATTGTCTCTCTCGCTCTCTCTATCTCTCTCTTTCTCTTTCTCATTGTAAGTCAAGCAGCGTTTCAAAATGCCTCGTATTACTTTTTGTTCTGGCACTATTCAAATTTAGTTTTACAGGTATTTTCAACTGTCTTATTTGTGTTTGTAAGAGTTTTAGATTATAAAAATGTAGACTTTAACAAAATCTTCATGAAATGTATGTAAATGACTAATGAAATGTATGGTTTTCATGCTTTTTAATTGGTCATACAGCGTACCTACCATGTTAAATTAAAGAATTAAGCCCCAAGAAGCTATTGTTTATGATACATTTAGAGCATTGTCATAAATGTTTTACCACAGTTTAATCATATGGAGAAAACAATGATATTTACTCACACATCTGCTTATCTCTGGACAGAATATTCTTACGGTGCACAAAAAATTGCATCTCTACTTCCCTACGATATTATGTGAAAGTACTATGTCCACATTCATAGAATTACAAAAAGGGCAAGATGACTTAATTCTACTGCTGAGATTCCGAAGTGCACATCCAGTGGAAACTTTATTATGCCATGCCATGCCATGCCATCAAGAATTTATGAATTCTGAGGTTGTGAAATAAGTTAAAATTCATATGTAGCTAGACATGGGCCAGAATAAGTTTCTGACCGTTTGATAATCTTGGATAAAAATATCACGGTATCAAGGTATTTTATTAGTGTTCTAAAAAGTTCTATGTCTGGGTAAAAATAGTACAACTTTTTCCCCCATTGAACACAATATATTTTATTTCAGAAAACACTTATAATATTTTGGAACAGTAAACATGCCAGGCTAAATAAATTAAAATAAAATAAATAAATTCAATAATTTATAAATTTATATATAATAATAATAAATTAATTAGAATAAATAATTGACTTCTGCTGTCTGTGTTAGTTTCAAAACACAGATTTATTTACAACACATAAAAAAAAATATTACATGTACCTTATAGTAACGGTATAACAGAATTTTTTTGTGGTTTTAAAACCTTGACTTTTCTAAACCACGGTAAACCTTGAAACCGGTTATCTTCCCATGACTATATGAAGCACATTTTCTGACAAAATGCAATTTTAGATGTGCTGATAGTTTAAGATTGCTACATTAAACAGTTTAACTCCAAAAACAGTACCTTTCTTGAAACAGAACACATTTAAATAACTTTTCTTTTGCATTTCAAAAACAGTGAACTTTCACAAACACGTGCTAACATCAGCAAATTTTCTTGCTAAAATATACTCCTCTGTCAGAGATGCATGTGATAGGTGTAAGCCATCACCAGCGGATCTAATACATATGTTGTGGTAATGCACTAAATTATTTGATCATTGGGCTAAAATATTTAAAACTTTGAAAGATGCAATCGACATAGACTTCAGGCCATTTTTGGGTTTGCAATAGATGCTAACCTTTTAGTAATGGTCTGCAAGGCTTTAGCTTTTACTACTTTGCTAGCAAGACATCTCTTCCTCTTAAAGTGGAAACATGTTTCTCAACCCTTTATTATACATTAAATTGAAAAGGATTAGACTTTCACTTATTGGTTCTTTAAAGACCTTTCACAAATTGTGGCGCCCTTTTTTGATTATCTGCTTGCTAACTCTTGATTCTTAAGCTGAGCAAAAAATATTTCTTAGTTTTTTCAATGGGAAGTTAGGGGCTGTAAAGGGTGGAAAGTGTTTATTTGGGGTCGTGTTAACAACATCATGGAAGGATAATTATAGAATGAATGTTGTAATTGATATTCCATATAGAAAACCTAATAAAAGAACTTAAAATAAATAAATAAATAAACTTTGTCCCCTTAATCAATTGAATTGATTAGAAAAAATCCTGGAAGCCACCTACAACAATCCTTTTTTTCTTTAAACAAATTCTGATCTTTTATTGTTTTTATTGAAATGTCATCTTCTATCAGCACAATAGCCTCGTGGGCAGTGCAGCAACATGTAGCACAACTTTACTTAGAGCAGCCTGAGTTTGAATCCTGGTTCTCTAACTTTTCCCAATTCCATGCTTGCTCTTTCTCTTTACAAATTTGCTTCCAAAAATCTTTCCAATCAAAATAAAGGCAAAAAAACGTGAAAAATAATTCTTAAAGAAAAACTCATTATTTCATTTCATTGACATGACAGACTTCTCTCTGATCTCTCTGATTAATTTAGCTAAAACCTCAAGCTGACATTCAGAACTGCTCGATGGCATAGGTTTCCTCCTGACATTGGTGGGGACCTGTGAAATTGACATGCTAGCTTATTCTGAGAGAGTAGGAAAGCTGACAGGGATCATATTATTTATATTTTTACATTTAGCAGATTATTGTGCAGTTATCAGACCATATTGTTCACAGACTATATCAGCGTGCTATAATGTTAGATTGTATGTCAAAGTGGGGGAAAAACACTACCTTTTTTATTGTTACCATTATTATGATAGACAGTGTAATCCAGTAGCAAACTTAAGTGTATGTGACTTACACTTAAAAAAAAAAAATGTCCTCCTTATTCTTTTTTTGTTGTTGTTTTTAACCATCCTCACTTGCGTGTCACACACCTCACACACTTTATTCTTGCACGACAAAATTTTCAATTGTGTTTTGGCGGTCTGACTCGAGTAGAGAATGTAATTTAACTCTTTCTGGATGTCTAGGTTAATTTTTACAAGTGCAATTTTTTAAAGGTGAATTAAGAGAAGTTTATTTATATAGTAATTTCGACAGGATCACATGCTTCTCATGAAACACAGCTAGTCATGCATTAGCCAATTCATCATTCACCAATCAGACAATTCCTAGGTCACTATAAATACCCTAAGTTCCATATAACTGCCATCTTCATTTTGAAGAATCCCCCTTCTATCCCTGCTCCTCCTCCTTTGCTAGATGGGTGACACAGTGGCCCAGTAGTTAGCAATGTTGCCTCACAGCAAGAATGTCACAGGTTCTACTCCTTACCAAGCCAGCCGACGTTACTATGTTGAGTTTACACATTTTCCCCGTGCTCACATGGGTTTCCCCTGGGTCCCCCGGTTTTAAAACATAAAAACATGCAGTAAGTTAATTGACTAATCCAAATCCGCACCATAGACATGCTCCTAGTTAGTAGTTATCTCTTAAGAGCAATCACTATCGGTTCTTTATCTACTACAGCGGAGGAGTTTTGAGATCTACCTGAGCTCAAACTCCCCTCTCATCCTGCCATGAGAGGGAGCCCTGGGCTCGAGGATCTTAAGAGCCCAGTGTTCTCTCCTGGGACAGCATGCCGAACACTCTTTATAATTAATCATCAGCTAAGTGTGAACTCTTGAACTTATTGGTGAGGACATTTCAGTAGTCAATGGATCTTAGTGGGTACACGTCCCCTTCGTCCATGCCAATTCTATGCCCCTGGATCTGCTGCCATTCACTTAAAAACATAAAAAGTCTCCATCCCACAATTCCTCAATATTCAATCCAAGCGTACATCACAGTACAGAAAAATCCGACACTATCTATGCCAAATCACAACTTCAAGGGATGTTTAAGCGCTTTATTCTGAGCACTCTTTACTTACAGTACAATCACACAGCCTCTCTTGGCGTGTGGCTTCACTAATTAGCATGTCTAGGAAGTTCTTCATTCCTGCAGGCAGTAATGCTGTTGAAATTTGCATGCTGAATTGAAAGTGATTGGGCTTTATCATGGATTGCCTTGAAAGCGCTGGTATTTTCTTCAATAAATGCAAATCAAGTTTCTTTCATGCTCTCTCATCGCTGTTTCTTGGCCTTGTTTTGTTTTTAATTTGCTCTCCTTTTACTCTCTTCTTCAGCCACACTTCAATTTGTCATATTTTCCTGTTATATCCCTCCCACCCACTCTGTCTTTTGCTGTGTTTTTGTCAGAATGCGACTGGAGCTGTAATGCGTGCCGTGGACCTCTGCGCAGTGACTGCCTGCAGTGCATGGAGGGATACGTCCTGCAGGATGGCATTTGTGTGCCGGGTTGCTCACCGGGATTCTACCAGGATGCAGAGAGATGTCTGAGTCAGTCATCAAGAAAAATAACAACCTTCATTATGATTCTAACCAATCAATTTTCCAGCTCAATAAGCTTTGACATTTCAATCTCTCAGTCAGTTGTCACAGTCGGGGAAGCGAGGGAGGGCCACTAATGTCTGGTGGATAGTGCCAACATCAGCCGCTGTGCAATAGCCAAGGTTTAATGGCACTTTAATGGATCAATTTCAAATTAGACTGAAAGACGAGTCTATCAGAGCCGCTGTAGTTATGAACCAGATTAAAGAAGCTCCTGACTCTCATTTAGAATTCACTTTCTTCAGACTTTGATTGATAGTATCCTGCATCATTCAGCAATGGTAGCAGATGCTGTTAAACCTGCTGAATCACTTAATCAAAATGCAGCATAGGACCTGAAGTTTATTTTTAATTTTGCTTTTTTTTTGTTAGTTTTAATTATATTATAAATGAATAGTATTAATAATATATTATGTTATTATGTTTTTAATCAATTATGAGATCAGTAAGTTTTTTTTTTCAAGAATCTAGTATTTTTGCTCATTAATTATGTATTGAATTAATAAAAAATATCAGTAGTCATTTCTTAAGAAAAAAAAAAACCAGGCTCATTCTGAAAAAGTACCTTTTTATACATTTCTGGAGAGTGCCAAATATGTCCCAGGAGCTAAATTTTTTGCAGTTTTGTTTTTGCGAATCCATTAGAGGGGCCAGAGGGGTACACTTTTTTTGCCATTTGTGCCTGCTGTTCTCACGTGAATCCACCAGAGGCTGCTGTTGACTGACTGACTGACTGACTGACTGACTGACCAACTGACCGATAAGCCCACCCACCCCCTTCCCTGAAGCCAACCAATAGTGTTTTTAAAAAGGCTCCGATTGACCCGCCCACTCCGTTCCTTAAACCTAAGAGCAGTGTTTTCAAAAGCAATCCAGAAAAGGAAAAGCCCTTACGACAGCCTGATTTTTACTACTTTTCATTTTGATCTTATCAGCTGACCCCGTACATCGACAGACTTGAGACGCAGAGATCAGTTGACCACGACTAGAGGGTTTAAGTCTAGCAAAGTATTCCAAAGGTTCCAAAATGAGGGTAAGACAAAAACAAAAGGCAAAAAATAAAATAAACAGATAAATAACAGGGTGAGAATGTGGTAAAATCTGAAAATGTGGTAAAAATTTGTGGGCTTTATTTTCTAGATTTTTTTTTTTTTGTTGGAAACTTTCGTTTGGGTTTAGGGAAGGAGGAGGGTGGGTCAAATGATCGTTCAGTCAGTCTTGGATTTATGCGAGAACATGCGCAAATGACACTCGCAAGAGAAATTTGAAATCTGAGAAAGCATACACAACGGACTCTGGTAGATTTTTTAAAACAAAAACTGCAAAAAATAGTAGCTCCTGAAACATATTTGGTGTTTTCCAAAAATGTATATTGGGCTATGTTTTTAGAGTAAGCCTGGGTTGAGTAAAAAAAGCTTTGCTCTCGGAAAAACAAAAATAAAATATATAAAAATGAATTGCTTTAAACTTTTGTGGTTTTTCAAAACCTCATACTTCTTAATGTAGTTCTATTATTTTTTTAATCAAATAAATCCAGCCTTGATGAATTTGAGAGACTTTCAAAAGTTTTGCTAAGCCCAAAAATATATGAACTGATCATCTCATTTAAATTGTAAATCAGTTTTTGTAACTTTAGTCTCTCTCTGCCTTTGTCTTTCTATGAACAGGCTGTGAAGAGCACTGTGAGCAGTGCCAGGCTCATGGTCAGTGCCAGCGGTGCCAGTTGCCGTATGCCTCATTTAACGGACATTGTGTGCTGGAATGCAGAAAGCACTATTTTCTAGATGACTCGACTCGACAGTGCACCGGTGAGAGCTGTGAATCTGGTCTGAGATAGGGATTGTGACTGCCTAGATTGCCAATTTTGGCCTGCTAATTTTAGAGGAGCTCAGTATAGTGTGGCACAGTTCTCTCTCGTGTCCTATCTGAGTCTAATGGCAGATTGTTTTTCTGTTATTTCCCAGCATGCTCAGCTGGTTGTGTGGAGTGTGTGAGTGCAGGCGAGTGTCGCGTCTGTGCTGAAAACACCTTCCTGAAGGATGGCAGATGCATCCCAGACTGTGGTCATGGATATTATGCTGACCTAAAAACAAGAGCTTGTCATGGTAATCTTGACTTATTACTTTGCATATTTGATAGAACAATAATTTCTATAGAGTAAAAGAAATCATTAAGGCCTGTTCTCATCAAGAAAGATGACTATAAAGAATAATTACAATTGTAAATGTTGTATTTTGATGATCTCCTTAAGACATTCTGACTGTAGGTAACTTGTCATGTCAACTAGTAGTCATTATAGTAGAGAGACTGTTATCTTAATATCAGCATTTTCAAGGGTCTCCCAAGTAACATTTTACTGACTAAGTTAACTATGTACATCTACTAACAGCCTGATGAAAGTTAGTTGACAGATATTTGCAAGTTTAATTTTTTTAAGAATATCTAAAGAGTACAGTCAAAATGAAGTGAAACCAAATAGCAGTAATACCGTTCACATCAGCTCATGCTAATTTTCTTGTGGCGATTTGTTCTTATGCTTATGATTCTTTCCTATGTTGTGTTTCTTTACTTTTTGTCAGTGTTTGTTCCTGTTGTTTCTGTGATTAGTTTTCTTCTATGGTCACTCAACAGTTAATTGTCTATGTTCACCTGTGTCCGGTTTGGTTCCTCAAGTAACCATAGTTTTAAGCCCTCTTGATTAGTTGCATACAAGCCAGCTTATATTTGATCTTATTCTCTGGTCTGTTGAAATTCTTGATTGTGATTGGCTGGAAAGTGTACAATAAAATCCTTTAAATAATAAATAATATAGTTAAATCATCGGTTTTGATCACAGTTATCAAAGAAATGAATGCACACGCAGTCTCTCTCTCATCCATGCTTCCTCTGTGCCTGTCACAGATTCAAAGCGGGGACTAGGGGATATACCATGTCATGTAACTGCCAAATATGTTGTCAAATATTACACTTCAAAGAGCAAAACTATTTTTAATTTGTATATAACTTGGCAAATGACCAGGGAAAAAGCTTCACGTTAAGCAATGTTTTGCCTCTGCATCGTACATTTATAATTCTTTATTTCACAAAAATCTATTTCTAATCCATCTATTTCTAATATCACCATGTGGATCCATGGGTGATTTTAGATGTGACATCTCTGCCCTAAGTAAAAGTGCATATGTCTGTTTAGAATATGACATGATGCTTTGTGCTTTCACACCATTTTATAGATCTGAACACTGGTGTAGATATTAGCCTTTGCAGACTCTAAGAGAAAATCTGTGTGTTTGTGTGTTTTAAATTATTAATGATACAACAAGTGAGTTAAATGCTTTATAAAGCAGGATGGTAACTCTGCTGTCAATGCTGAAAAAATTCAGATGTTCTCAAACTGATTCCAGTAGTATTATTCAAAGGTGCGTTAATGCTGATTGTATTTTTTCAGTACTGTTGAACAATTAAAGAAAATACTTCTTTACAATTATCGTTTTTGGTGTGAACTGGCCTTTAGACTTGGTAGTTTTGTAGTTTGCAGTAAATATATATATATATATATATATATATATATATATATATATATATATATATATATATATATATATATATTTTTTTTTTTTTTTTATCAAATTTCTTACCTTATTATTACAATGTAATGACCTTTTGTTTTACAGCAAATAGTCGTGCTCCTTCTCTTTACATCAATGGCTCTCTGCTGGTTCCTATTGGTGGAGTTAAGCCTCTGGATCCAGCACTCCTGTCAATTAAGGATGCAGATAGCCAATCAGAGAGCATGTTGCTTCAGCTCCTTCAGCCGCCCAGTAATGGCCACCTCAGGCTGCTGGAGAATGACAGAGAGAGATCGCTGGGCAAAGATGACACTTTCACCTATACTCAGCTCAAACGCAGAGCGGTGCGCTTCATTCACGACAAAGAGCAGACCAAGTGAGTTTTTCTGTGTGGAGGAATTAATCCATGTTATTGCTGTACAATGAAAACCATTTCCCATGTAAAACAAATTTGCGGTAAAGATGCTATGCTATGGATTGATACATTGTGTTAAATTATCCTCTGATATCTACATGCAAAAAAACTTTCGAGAAACAGTTTTACATGTCCAATTACAACTAGGACTTGCTCCTATGATAAAGCACACAAACTGTTTTCCATGCTGAGCCATGTAGGTAGGTAAGTCTAGAAGGGATACAGCTACAGATTTTTGACCGGAGCACCCAAAGGAGCACCCAAAGGAAGCCGGGTAGAACCAAGGAAACGAAAGAAAATACAAACTCCACACAGAAATGCCAACTGATCTAGCTAGGGTTCGAACAAGCGACCTTCTTTCTGTTCGGTGACAGCGCTAAACACTGCGCCACTAACTTTTCCCGGTGGCCTGGCGGTCAATCTTACCTGCCACTGTGGCTCTGGCCAACCGCCTAAAACCAACACTGTTCAATGTTTAATTTAGTTCAGTTTAAACAGAAATGGCTTGACCAGTCAAGAAGTGGTTATAAAATAACTACTTACGACTTGTGCTGGTGGACCATAATGACTATATTAATTGCCCCCCTTTTCAAAATCAAATTTTCTGCATAGCCTACATGTTAATCCCAACTGTGTGGTCACGGTTAGGATTAGGATAAGGTTCAGGGTTATGATACTGTATGTCAGGATATGTATGTGGCTTATGATTGACTTGTAAACTCACCGGTCACTTTATTAGGTACACATGTCTAACTGCCCATTAATGGAAACTTCTAATCAACCAATCACATGGCAGTAGCTTAATGCATTTAGGCATGTAGACATTGTCAAGACGATCTGCTGCAGTTCAAACCGAGCATCAGAATGGAGAAGAAAGGGGATTTAAGTGACTTTGAACATTGCATGGTTGTTGATGCCAGACGGGCTGTTCTATGTATCTCTGAAACCATTTCCAGGGTTTACAGAGAATGGTCAGAAAAAGAGAAAATATCCAGTGAGCGGCAGTTCTGTGGACACAAATGCCTTGTTAATGCCAGAGGTCAGAGAATGGGCAAACTGGTTTTAGCAGATAGAAAGGCAACAGTAACTCAAAAAACCACTTCTAACAACCGAGGTATGCAAAAGAGCATCTCAGAATGCACAAAACCTTGAGGCGGATGGGCTACAGCAGCAGAAGACCACACCGGGTGCCACTCCTGTCTAAGAACAGGAAACTGATGCTACACACAAGCTTAACAAAACTGGACAATAGAAGATTGGGAAACGTTGCCTGGTCTGATGAGTCTCGATCTCTGCTGTGACATTCGGATGGTAGGGTCAGAATTTGGCGTCAAAAATATTACAGCATAGATCCATCCTGCCTTGTATCAACAGTTCAGGCTGGTGGTGCTGGTGTAATGGTGTGAGGATTTTTTTCTTGGCACACTTTGGACACATTACTTCCAATTGAGCATTGTGTCAATGCCACAGCCTACCTGAGTGTTGTTGCTGACCATGTCCATCCCTTCTGATGGCTACTTCCAGCAGGATAATGCACCATGTCATAAAGCATGAATCATCTCAGACTGGTTTCTTGAACATGACAATGAGCTCACTGTAGAACCCAGTCACCAGAACCCAATCCAATAGAGCACCTTTGGGATGGGGTGGAACAGGAGATTTGCATCATGCAATGTACAGCCAACAAATCTGCAGGAACTGCCTGATGCTATCATTCCAATATAGACCTAAGTCTCTGAAGAATATTTCCAGTACATTGTTGAATCTATGCCACGAAGGATTTAGGCATTTCTGAAGGAAAAAGGGGGTACTAGTACTAGTAGGGCGTACCTAATAAAGTGGCCAGTGAGTGTATGTTCTGATTCACCAGCTTTTCAGTGGTCTTCTACTCAAACATGATTTACATAAGAAGGAGGAAAGAATAGTGTTTTTTCACAGAATGTCATTTTCATGGACTGAACTCTTATTATTCAGCTCTGCACAGGTATATACAGTATAGTTTTTCCATTTTACGGCATCTTTAAAGCTGGCGGATGTTGAGTGAGTAGTGCGCACAGTCATTAGCTTTAATTACCTTTGTAAAGTTGCTGAGGCATTTGACAGGACACACACACTCCACTGTGCTCATAAGCCACAACATTTTTGTGAGTCACATGCAGCGGTCACTAAGTCTGACTGACTGCCGACCTTCAGTTTTCTCTAAACTTTCTCACAGTTTATCTCTTTAATGGCTCCTCTCACTCCCTTCAGGTCTATGGTTTAATTAACAAGTGCCCTCATACACTCACTCCTGTTTTATTCTTCATCCCTCTTTTTTCTCAATGCATCACTTCTCCAGTCTTTATCATTTCTCTTTAAAAGCCTCTCAGTCTTTTTCTCATTTTGGTTTCTGCCTTTAGCTTCTTTGAGTTTCTTATTTATTGTGTCTTTTTCTTTTGCTTTCTTCCACTTTCTACACAGACACAAGTTTGTTTTTATGGCACAATGTGAAATGGAAACTATTACTTCCCATTGACTTGCGGTGTTGGGATACGGAGCTGATTATTTTCAATAGGACATTGTTTGGGTTGGTTATTTCAGCAGTGTGACATTATTTAGTATGTTTACCAAGCTGTTTTCATTGTGTGGACTGTTAGCTGGCCTTCACAATATTTCTGAGGTTATTAGCAAAATGTAGGCAAACACTGACTCACCCACATTATTTATATCCTTAAATCTGTTTACAGTAGTGCAATGTCGACTTGTTTTTTTTTTTTCAGAAGTGGGCAGTTCACGTTAAGGGCAGCAGATCCTCAACTGTTCTCTCAGCCTCAGACTGTTACTGTGCAGGCTCTCTCTCAGCAGGTAAACACACCTACCATCACCCACACATATCTAGTGCAAGAACGCTGAGTAATAGAGCTCCGTTCTGCATTCACATACTAAGTAAAACAAAAAGAGACAGTGGACACGATTGCTCTCTTTCATTAATAATTACATAAATTATTTGAACACACAGGAGAAATTGCCATAGACGGTGTACAACTAATTCAAGACACATGCAGTGGATTTCTTCTTATCCTTGTTCTAATATAAATTATTAAAATATTAACAGCTCACCCAAGATTAATCATTTGCAAGCAATCCAACTAAACCATGTTCATATTGAGGTTTTCACATAGGCTTTTCTTTACAGACACTCTGCTAGCATATTGTTTTAATGTGTGTGTATGCGTGTGTTTGTGTGTGTGTGTGTTTTGTGAATTATGTCTTGTTTGTGAGAACATTGTATATAGGCTTCACACACAAATGTATGCATTAGATTTTTGGCCGTTATAATATCATTTGGCTTATTTTAGCACAACATTTCAGAACCTTTGTCCACATTGTTGGAAAAATGAGAACCCTGATCTGAAGACTCGTTACAAGCAGAATTGTTTATTGAGACGTGTTGGTTGTTCTGCAGTCAAACAGCATCTTCACAAGAAGTCCACATAACTCTAACACAAGTCTAGCAAGTCTAAAACAAGTCTGATTTGAGACAGATTTGTCCTTTCTGTATGTTTTAGGAAGGGCAGTGTATAGAAAATGGGCATGACAAGTTTAGTTGAAAATCTTGTTTCAGGGTCTTGACTAGATCCTGAGGTTTCACCTGCACTGACTAGCTTGAAAGTCGGTCATTAAGTCATTGGGACCCTTGCTTTAGCATTAGCATCATTTGGGCAAATGCTAGCCAGTAGCCAGTGCTTAGGAAGCAAAATGTTAACTTTTCAGTTATTGCTAATTTGGAATTAGATTATATAAATTTTGATAAGACTTGGTTTTGATGGTCCCTATTGAACATATTGTTGACTAAAAGCATTGCAACTGCTTGCCAATTATTTCACATTTGAGAATTAGTAGACTGTCTGCTTAGCATCTACTGATACTGCTCCTTCAACAGACATTTAATTCACTTTAGAAACTTTGCAAGTACAAGTCAATTCACACTAATCCTAACCCCAAACTAATGGTCTACTTAAAATCTTTTGAAAATTATTTGAAATGTAGATGCAATGTAACTTTGAAAATTCAACAAAATGCGTTAAAGCGAGCATCAAAAAAAATTGATACCTAAATTTTAAATTCTACAACATCTTATTTTGATTTTTGTTTTTGCTGCTGTTGTTGTTGTTAATAAGCCAACTTATTGATCTGCATATAGAAAATGCATTAAGGAGCCACTTTCTCAATTATCAGTTTTTCTGTGTTTGCTGGATGTATTAGGCACAGGTTTGAATAAAATGTTTATAAATGTTTTATTCCATAAAGCATGTCTGATATCATTTCCTCCAAATTTCTGATTGCTTCCAAATCTAAATGATCATTTATAGATTTTTTGGACAGAATAACAAATGGTTTTATTTGTTGTGGTTAAAAATGTAGGTTAATAAACCAAATAATAATTTCTTTACTTTTCTTAAGTTGAATTCATATTGTGTTGTCTTAAATGAATATAAACATCTAAAACGCATGAAAACTTTTTGTTAGCTCGTTTTCTGCAAAAATGCTCTCATGACCACATTTTCATTTTACATTTGGAAAAGATCTCATCAGTAGTCTTCAAAACTACTTTTTAAAACTGTAAACATACTGTGGAAAACATCATTTGTCAGGTTTTAATATAGAACAAGGCTGCCCAAACTTTTTCTCACGAAGGGCCAAAAGCCAAACTTGATTGAGCGGGATAAGCTGAAGCTAAATATACCAAACCAAAAATAAATAGGAAAATATGCTTCAATCATATTAATAATTATGTTTTTTTTTTAAACACAATGGTGTTCAATGCTAAATACACAAGTCAAGTTCAACCTGCCTTTGCCTTGATTTGCTTGGTAATGTCTTGTGTATTGTCCTCTACCTTCGAGTGACAGTATTTACATTTTTAAAAATCTGATTCATGCACAAAATTTAATTAAAACATTTAAATTCATTTGACTTTTTTGTAACTCAACAATTAAACAAACAAAAGGTTAGGTTAAATAAGGAATGATGATCTCTGTTGAAGGCATTTGCCTCAACCTTTATTCTAATTCTTCTCAGATGGGACGGCCAGCCAAATGAAAGGATACCATGGGCCTCTACTTTTGGGCATGTCTGATCTAGAGGATAACCTAGAGTCTATAGGACAAAGTCCCTAAGAGGCAGATCGGTTTACAGAACACCATTTTATTCCTCCAGTCCCCATATTGAGTGTTACAATACCCATGAAGGTGATTGGCACCACTGCTGTTCAACTACAAAGTGGGACCTCAGCCCTCAACTGAAACGTATGCTTTTTTTGTCCATATAAAATATGAATGTGTACGTGGACTGTATACAGTCTCTTCTTACACCCATAGTCCACATCATTAGCATAGATTGACTGTCCATTATCCTCACACTAGGAGAGCATTATGGCTCACATTGAGCCAGTATGTCTTTTCTCTCCCTCTCTGTCTCTCTCTGTCTCTGATGCTCATTCCTCTGCAGCATTTTGTTACACCACAAAGATACAGTCTCAGGAGAACTGCCTGTGTATTAATGTCTGACCTCCAGCAGCCCAACAGACTTCCCATAGACATAATGATTTTTTATACTGCACAGGCTATATTATATCCCCCTACACCTAAACCCAGTTTATACTGTAGAACAATCTGCATTTTTACATTTTCTCCCTGAATGCTTAATTCGGTGTGATTCATGAACCATTTGTCTCATGAGGACAAAAAAAAATTCCCCACAGGGTCAAAATTTACTGCCATTGCTTTACTTGTGGGGTCATTTGGTGCCCTCAATTTGAGGAATAAAGGTACACACACACACACACACACACAGAAAGAGAGAGAGAAACCTGAGCTCCCCAACAGAATTGTAATGGATTGCAACAAATAACACCCAAAATAAATTCCTGCCCCACATTGACTGATAACAGAAGCTCAAGAAGTCTTCCTTCTGTTGAGTGAGCAGTTATAGCTGAAATGTACAGGCTGCATGGCGAAGCGAGGAGAGAGAGAGAGAGAGAGATAGGGAAGTGAATGAGAGAGAGATATAGGCCACTGAATGTAGTCCTATGAGAAGGAAAGTAAAAAAAAAAAGTGTAAAAAAAAATGCAATAATCCCTCCGGGGGGGAAAGATTGTCTTTTTTAAACAAACCGTTTACTCTTTTCTTTCCTGTACGTTGGTAAACAAAAGTGGCCTGATTTTCTCCACGGCTCTGTGTAACAGCAACCTAATGAATGTTCATTAGGGTGAATTGCTTTATAGAAAAGGGGTATTGTGTATGAAATGCTTTGCTGGTCATGTGAACAACACAAGTTCAAATGCTGCCTGCTAAATCTATATCTCATTTATTTCTTGCTTAAAAAAATTACCAAAACTTTATTAGAGAAAATTAAGTTGTGGTAGATTAAGTGAAATTGAATGCTGGAGGGCACTAGATCACAAATATGGACTTTAAACAATCTGACCGATAGCAACGTCCAGTATTTTTTATCCGTTTATATCTGTTTGTCATTTTTCAAAAGCAAAAAATCAGCTATTTTTCATGCATCTTGTCATTGAATTGAAAGTACCTGTAAAATGAAAATGAAAGTTTTTTTAGGTGTTAGTATTGATATGTTAGTCTTAAAGAAGTAGCTCTCTTTAAAATAATCCGCTTATCTTCCACTTGTTCCAATAATATACTGTATACACTCATTGGCCACTTTATTAGGTACACCTGTCCAACTGCTCGTTGACACAAATTTCTAATCAGCCGATCACATGGCTGCAACTCAATGCATTTAGGCATGTAGACATTGTCAAGACGATCTGCTGCAGTTCAAACCGAGCATCAAAATGAAGAAGAAAGGTGATTTAAGTGACTTTGACACCCATCTCTAGGGCTTTACAGAGAATGGTCTGAAAAAGAGAAAATATCCAGTGAGCGGCAGGTTTTGGGTGCAAATTCCTTGTTGATGCCAGAGGTCAGAGGAGAATGACCAGAATGGTTCAAGCTGATAGAAGAGAACCACCGACTCAAATAACCCCACTCGTTACAATCGAAGTATGCAGAAGAGCATTTCTGAACACACGACACATCGAACCTTGAGGCAGATGGGCAACAGCAGCAGAAGATCAAACCCGGTGCCACTGCAGTCAGCTATGAACAGGAAACTGAGGCTACAATTCACACAGGCTCAGATTGGTTTCTTGAACATAGCAATGATTTCACTGTACTCAAATGGCCTCCACAGTCACCAATCTCTATACAATAGAGCACCTTTGGGATGTGGTGGAATGGGAGATTGGCATCATGGATGTGCAGCTGACAAATCTACAGCAACTATGTGATGCTGTAGATTTGTATCATGTCATTATGGATCAATATCTCTGAGGAATATTTCCAATACCTTGTTGAATCTTTGCCACAAAGGATTAAGGCATTTCTGAAGGCAAAAGGGGTTCAACCCTGTACTAGTAAGGTGTACCTAATCAAGTGGCCAGTGAGTGTATAAATATATATATATATATATATATATATATATATATATATATATATATATATATATATATATATATATATATATATATATATATCAGACAGTTGTAATACAGACTAAATGCTATTGGCTGTTTTTGAAATGGGGATGAGCTACTATGTCCCACCTTGTTGTCTTGTTTCAGTTGTGATAATGTCAAACATCAAATAAAACAGAATTCATATTCTCCTCTCTGTACACCATAAAAATCTAAAATATGCTGATGTAAAAGAACATAGAATAAGGGCATTCAATAATAAACGTATAGATACTTTTTTTCTGAGTATTGTCCTGTAATTTGTTTACTCTTTCCACAGCCACCCACTGTAATCACCAACCAAATCCTGTACATTAACTCTGGCGAGACAGCCGTCATCAGCAGATCTATTCTACACATCAGCGACCTTGACAATCCTCAGGACGTGTTCATCACGGTTCTGGATCCACCTCAGCACGGTCGCCTGACATACATGCACAGTGATACGCAGGTCACCCATTTTAAACTGGAAGAGCTAGATGGCGAGCAGCTGCAGTATGTTCATGATCGTTCAGATGGAGACCAGGACAGACTTCTGCTGCAGGTCAATGACGGACACAGCTACCAGAACGTCCTGTTCCACATCAGCATTGAACAGAAGGTATGACATGACAGCTTTGAGTCTGAAAAAAAAAACTTAATGAATAACTGATTAAAATTAAATTGATCTGAAACTGTTTTTATCAGCCTTTTGTGAGGTGTTATTCTGTCCTGGTTAAATTCTTTGAAATGCTAATTGCTTTGTTTTTTTAAATGTTCCCCTAATTGATCATGTATAATTATTCATCTGATAGGAGTATTTGATTTGTTCTTTAAAAGTCTCATTTTTTATCTGTTAGCTATACATTAGATGCCTTATGAAAATTTATAGGTCTATCAATGTGTCATGTACATTCACATTGATGTAAAAAATACGAAGTGTGAGAAACAGCAGGCCATGATCTCATCTGAATTTTGGATTTAGATCAAGGTTTTTTATTATTATTATTGGCTAATTATGGATTCCTGCACTTCGCCTGATTCTGAAGAGCCTTGATGATTGAGCCTCAGGCTGCCGATGGATTATGTTGTGATTTATGTGTTTCATGTCCACTGTCATAATGAAATCACTTAAGGCTTTTTCATCTGTCAGATGAAAAAACGAGTAGACAAGGAATTAGAAAGCATAGTGCTGTATAGATCTACATGTAAATACATTTAGGGTTTTTTAAACTATAGTTTGGGGAATTCCTAGAGACTGAAAGTGTCTGAGGAACTTTAAGATTAAGGTCCAGATTTACAAAATAGGGTAAAATTAGAGCAAGAGCACAATCCCATAAAAGCACAGATGGAAGTGTACAGATCTTTCAAGGGAACTGTTGACAGTGCAAAAAAAATAAAGTATGTGGACCCAGCAGCTCATTTCTGCTATGTCTAACTTAAAAACCAAGGCAAACAGAGCCACAAACATGCAGTCAATGATGATTAGTGAGGGCGCTAAGAAGGGTAATACCATTTTTTTTTATTATAAATTATTTTTTTCTCTCTCTCCCTTTTAAAATTTATTTTAATTAATTAACTTTAATTATATATTTTATTATATTACGTATATATTACATTATAAATATAAACAAAAACTAAAATGCCATGTGTATATTTTTATAGCAATATTTTGCCCTTGCTGTATACAGTGTATAATATGCGGTATATGACACAGGCCAATATGTCAGGGAGGTCACAAATTTAATACAAAATACTTCAAAAGTCAAAAGTAATTTCATGCTCTACCACCCCCATGTCTTGCATATAACTGTAGTGTTTCCCAGATAGAGAATTTACTTGGGGAGGGCCAGGTTTATTTACAGCCACCCAAGTATATTAAGTGACATATTTAGTGTATACATACATATATATATATCGACTCTTCAGATTTGGAGGCCGATAGTCGATATATATAGGCTGATAAATAGAAATATTTCAAAATATTAAATTTTTACAGTGAAAAACTGTTTTTATTTTAAAAGCTTCATAAAAGTTTGAACTGCTCTTATAAACTGATTAGTCTATACTCAAAGCAAAAAAAGCTATAATTAAAAAATTGCAAGGTGATTATATAGAACTATATTCACAATTTCACATAAATTAGCATGCAAAAAATCTATTATTTCCTTTTCTTCACATTGCAAATTAACATGCAACTTAACTGTTGCATAAAATAATAGGTTAAATAACAAAATGGGATTTAATTAACAAGCAAGTTAAATAAACTTTAAATTAAATAAAAATGAAAAAGATAGGGTCTAAAACCAGCTCAAATGGTCTTGAATAAAAAGTGTTACTGAGTTAACGCACATCAGCAAAACATCCGCAATCGATTAAGCAGTTCTCTCGTTTACCCGTTTCGATCTGTGTGCATGAGACCTGTCAACACTCCCACAGGCAGCCTCACATGCTCTGCAGAGACCCACAGAGATGCACTTTTTTGGACTTAAAAAATTTGTCCGCCCTGGTTTGTAAATCTCCTAAAATGTCAGGGATTCAGCTTTTGCTTCCTAAAGCTGGGGTTAGTCATATGGGTTTTTTATTACCTTTTTACTTAAGCCTACTTTCTCTTGGCTTTGCAGCTGACTGAGAGCAAGAGAAGTGATGAATAATTTATTCTTTAAACGACTCCAACAATCTTTACTACTGTATGTACTCGGAGAGGATGAAATGACCAGTCTAAACTGGCCGCAAAATAAATATATACACCATTAGTAACAGTTAATACATGAACATACCGTATTTAAATAACCTACACATTTTAATCTTGTAATTATTATAAATTTTAGAGATATTGTTTGTTTTATTCTTTTTCTGTCTTTAATTTCTCATTTGCTGTATTTTTTATTAATCTGATAATGTGATTAGGCCATATTACATAGGCTATTATGATTATATATATATATAATGCGTTGGCATTCAAATTTGTTTTGAACTTAAAAGAGAGAGAAGCAGATTTGAACTGTCAGTATGTGCACATGGCTCCTGAATAGCATAAAAGTAACAGAAAAAGTTACATTAACCCATTGAAAAAAAACAGTTTATAGCAGTGTCATAATAAATTAAATTATTGTTAAAAATTAAATTATGTTTTGTTTGTTGCATATAATTAACTATTTATGTGATGTGCGTAAATGGTGTGTTTGAATCCGACTACTTCTGCAAGTATATTTCAAACCTGTGGGAGGCACTGAATTGTAATATCTATTTTCTTATATCTGTATCAACATCAAATAATAGCTTTGTTAGTACTGATATATTGATATTGCAGAATTGATGCACCCATTCTTATTAGAGAAACAGATGGAAGGACTAGATGGTTGAAATAAAATATTTTAAATAAAATTAAATAATAATAATAATAATAAATCATAATGATAGCTTTAAAAACACAGCTGCCATTACAATTTTAAAAAAGATTGCTGAACTTGGGGTAAATATTGGTTAAAAATTGGGGGTTAGTTGTTAAGTGGTTTTAAACTACAAGATACATTGAAACCAAGACACAAAAATAGAACAATATTTATATTTATCCTTAAGATGTAGCCAATTTCAAATGCAAAGGATGAATTCTTTGTTTAGAATTAGAAAGTTTTATTGTCTCATACTAGTGTACAAAAATTTTTGCCCCCAGTAAAAAAAGGAAACACAAACAATTATACTGCATAACAAGTTAAAAAATTTAACTGTCATAATAAACACTAGTATCTCATACCTCTCTCCCACCAAATCCACACAAATACAATCATCACTACCCTTTTTCCGCTTGAAATCACCCCTTTCTGACTATTTGGCATGTTCACAGCCTGCTGATGTCTAGACAGATTGCAGCACTTTGTTTGCTCTTTCAGTCCTCCACACACACTTATCCACACATCTCTCTGTAGTGTCATCCGATTACACCTGCCTTGTTCCCTGCTGTAGCCTGTTATCTCCCATCCTTAGCAGCTTTTGACTAATGGAAGCCCTGTTTCTGGCTAAGCACTCTGTTTTCAGATCAATAGCAAATTGCCCCTATATGTAGTATCGCAGCTAGTTTTATCAGGCGCAATCGCATCAAGGTCCATTGCTCTTATACAACTAGTATCGAGTGGAAAGGTCAAGTTACGTCTGCAGCACGAGTCATTGAGAGCATTGGGGCGACCGATGTGTAGGTTAATAACCTGTTCATTGGTTGTAGCTTGGACTTCAGGAGCAAGGTCTCCGCTCTCAAAAAGATCTGCAGTATGTGGAATTCTGCAGTCAAGACAAAGGAGGATAAAAGAGGACGCTGACTTTCAATTAGCCTTTTGCAGAGAAGTCGTTTGCCGTTTGTAGACTTTGATTTATATAAATGGTCAGCACTGGTGAATGATCTTTGGTTTAATGTGTTCTCTGGAGACACACAGTGCCCGCATTCTCCACCACATTCATCTCTAAATCTAAAGATCTTTGTATAAAGAAAGAAACTTTGCCTGGTAACAGCTTCTCTGTAAGAGATGTTTTGTCATGTTTATTCAAAATGAACTGGTCAGATGTTATGTACAGTGCTGGGTAAGTTACTTCAGAGAAGTAATTAATTGCTAATTATATTATTACAATTGTATTTTAATTACTTTTAACTTACTTTGTCTAAAAAAGTAACTTACTCAGTAATTGAATTGCCTAAATACAAAAAATCCACATAAATCTCAACTCCTATAGAACACAAAATTACCCATTATGCTTTGCGTGTACGCGTAAGCAGGATGCTTCAAACTTCCTGTCGACAGCTGGAGGGAGGGCCGGTGTCCCTGCAGGGTTTAGCTCCAACTTGCCTCAACACACCCGCCTGGGTGTTTCAAGTATACCTATTAAGACCTTGATTAGCTTGTTCAGGTGTGTTTGATTAGGGTTAGAGGTAAAACTTGCAGGACACCGGACCTCCAGGAACAAGTTGAATAACCCCTGGTATAAAGAGTCATAATTGGACAGCTTTGAAACGATAGTTTTAATCTATTTTACTTGTGTCTTAGACCTTATATGGATGTTGATCAGTGCCAATTCCTGGACTAGTCATTTAAAAAATGTGATCTAATGGGAATGAAAACAACTGCTGCCAGGCATTTACTCTTACCATCAGATGGCATCTTCTGCCATTTAATTGGAGCACCAACATTGCTAAAATGAATGTTTTCTCTTTTTTTCTCCAATATAAAACCAACCTGGCGGTACGATGGCACAGTGGGTATTGCTGTCACCTCACAGTAAGGAGGTCACTGGTTCAAGCCCTGGCTGGGTCAGTTGGCATTTCTGTGTGGAGTTTGCATGTTCTTCCTGTGTTTGCGTGGGTGACGCTTTCCCCCACAAGTCCAAAGACATGCGTTATAGGTGAATTGGGTAAGCTAAATTGTCTGTAATGTATATGTGTGTTTGTCCTGGTCGTCAAGGTCAGGGGTTGAGCATTGAGCTAACAACCCACCTCGTAAAAATTAGATGTTACAAAACACTAATATGGTGTGGCTAAATAACAACTTTGATATATGGAATTATTAGCCCCCCCTGTTTATTTATTTCCCCAATTTCTGTTTAACGGAGAGATTTTATTCAGCCCATTTCTAAACATAATAGTTTTAATAACACATTTCTAATAACTGATTTATTTTATCTTTGCCATGATGACAGTAAATAATATTTGACTAGATATTTTTCAAGACACTTCAATTCAGCTTAAAGTGACATTTAAAGGCTTAACTAGGTTAACTAGGCAGGTTAGGGTAATTAGGCAAGTTAATGTATAGTGATGGTAAGTGTGAGTATATAACCAACCCAAACAAATGTAATTCACCAAAATGTTTTACACACACACGTGCTGTCCCAGCAACACATTGATGAAAAGAGGGGCACAAAGTGAAAATAAAGTTGCATTTTAAAATGACAGAAATAACATGCTAAATTAAATGAAACATAATCAACTCCCAATAAGAATCAACATACAATTCACCCAGCAAAGTATCAGTAATGTACTTTTATTGGTAATTTTTGGAAATTGTATGGCTTACATACCTGTTAAAATTCATGCCAGTAACATGGAATATATTGTGTGTGTGTGTGTGTGTGTGTGTGTGTGTGTGTGTGTGTGTGTGTGTGTGTGTGTGTGTGTGTGTGTGTGTGTGTGTGTGTGTGTGTGTGTGTGTGTGTGTGTGTGTGTGTGTGTGTGTGTGTGTGTGTGTGTGTGTGTGTGTGGCCCACTGAGCACAGTATAACAGCTGACAATTCGGTTCAACTGACTCTATCTTTCAACACCCTATCTGACGGCAGTCACTGAATTAGGAGAACGTTATTTCTCTTACGCTTGAACCACATCTGACAGAAGTATAACGGCTTTAACACACATCTTTCAAAGTAAAGTTGTGCATCACAAAAACACTCAGTAAGCCACTCAAAACATTACTTTCAGACCGATAATTACCAGTTCAGAAATGTTGTAAAAGGAAAATCTAAGCATCCTAGCAGAAGACGCTGGTCACTATGTCATCCTTCATGCAACAACAAAGAAAAAGGTCTATAACGTAAACTCTTAATTCTTTAAATTTGAGTGAAATAGGACCTTTAGTTTTTTGTTTGTTTTTTACTAATACATACATTCATACGTACAGTGTATTGATATCAATTTCTAAATCATTTAATTTCTTTCTTAAGAATGTGTAGTTGTCAGATAAATAAAACATTTTAGTTGAAAAATTAAGCTACAGTATGTAAAATGTATGAAAAACAAATATATATATATATATATATATATGTATACAATTACTCTGCTTCTCTGAATTTATACATTGTAGTCATTAACTTTTTCTCATTGTTGACTGATAAATAATAAATGTTTTTTCTTTAGTTGAAAAATAGAATTATTCTGCAAAATATATGCATTACTCTGCTTGAATGAATTAATATAGAACGGTTGAATGTATGTACAATATGTACTGTAATTAAATGACCTAAAAATGAAAAATAATCCCTTACTGTGTCAGTGGAAAAGTAATTTAATTACATGAACTATTACTTTTTATAGCTAATTACACCCTACACTGGTTATGTAACATCAATACATTATGAACACATCAACTTTAGTTCAGGTTGCACCAGCGGAAATCAGATAAGATACAGTAAGTTCACAAAATTAAAGCTAGCTAAACTTTCAAGTTAGTTGAGACTATAGAGGACATAGATGAACATTTTGACCTATGTGTGAACTCTCGCATAAACACCTTGCCTTATGAATCTGTCGTGCTCTCTGAGAGGTGATCAGGATCAGCAGGAATGTGCTGGAAATCTGCCACAGCGTTTCCTCTGTGAATCGCAGCTTTCATCTCCCCACATCCTTGAAAGTCTTTTGATTATCGTTGTGTCAGGTGATCTTTTTCTCCACAATGAGCACCTCAACCAGCATTGGAATGTTCAGAGGACTGTAAGGATCTAAAGATTCCTGGTATAGCAATAGTGGAGTATTTTTTTTTGTTTGTTATTCGTAACCTTGATGTTTTTCAATGTGAAACGCAAAAAAGATATGTTCTTATGTGCTTTCATAAGGATGAAACCATTTCAAAAACAGCAAAACTTTCATCCTAATAGTTAATTTATGATATCATTATTTTTATTTTTATTAAGCAAATAGTAAATGAATCCAATATAACAGTAAATACTCCTTTTGATAATTAATTGATAATAATAATGAATGCTTTTGTAACACCAAAACTGCAATCATGGGAATCTCCGTGCCCAACTCCTTGGGAAAAATATGGAACTGATTCTTCGCAAAGTCCCACCCCCTTCTCACTGTCCAACATGCTTTCAGTTTCAGCCATGGCCTTCCACTATCAATTTGTGCACTCCCAGGGAAATCATGAATAATTTCAGTACAAATTACACACTGTTTTCAGATAAAAGCATGACATGAGCATATATGAAAACAAAATAAAGACATGCTGCTATAGTCTACAAGTATAATGATGGGAAGTTTGGATCATTTGAATACCATTAAAATGTTACAAATAGATTCACAAACACATTCTGAAATAGACAATAATGGATCTATAAATATGTAAGAGACAGTAAAGGTCAATTCTTTGTTTAGCCTGTGTCTCCAGGCTATGCGGCTTAGCTAATTTCACCTCACCTCATATGCTCAGACAGTTTACTGGTTATTGTCATGTCACATATCCATAGACAAAAGTTTTTGTTGGCTATCCAATAACAGAAAAGTTTAGTTAATCAATCTCAATCTAACAAGGGACAGCACTATTGACTGATAGTTGATAGTGAGGCCATTCACATAAACTTGTTCAATCTCTTCTCTAGGTTTCAGGAAAAGATCAAATGTATTCTCAAATAATAAAAAACCTAATGTCTGCGTTGTAAGAACATTTTCATGTTAATCGCCAATGTTTTTTTTTTACTACTGTATACATGGTTAGTCTGTCTGTTCTGCTTGTCAGAGAAAGGGGCACAGTATATCTGCTTTATGACTGGTCAGATTGCCTGTCAATCAAACAACAGCAAAAGGTCAATTAACAACATTGTTTGTTTTCCCATGGACTCGGGCTACTTTAACACGGTTGCAGAGGGAGGTTTTATTATGCATTTTTTAACCCATTTGGGATCATTTTGATTAGCTGTTGGATGGCTTTTGTTAACTTAAACATTAACTTCAATACGTCTACCAATCGTTGTTGAACTAATAAATGCTTAAATGCACCAAATGACTTCTGTTTTAATAGACCGGCTAATTGCTGAGATTACTCAGATGATACCCTATCAAAGCACAAAACGGTATATGCACAGCTTGTGTTTCTTCCCATACTGATAAACTTCCAGTAAATGGTTAATGTGACTTTTTTCAATTTTAGACGGTTCCTTTTACAGCATCAGTGTTTTAATGTAATTAAAAAATAATCAGTTAAATAGACTTTAGCATTCATTTAGTTGTTCAAGTGTAAAACGAGATGAAAAGCTGTTTACGCAAATGCTCCGTCAGGATCAGCAGGTTAGCGCAGAAACGCCATTGGAAATACTGGGGTAAAATAAATGTTCGTATTTTAAAGACATGCCACAGAAAAAAATGTAATTTAATGCAGTGCTTCTAAGACCCACTTTATATTGTATATCTATCAGGCAGTAAAGATAGTTGATTTGTAAAGAAAACAGACCTTAAACGCGCCGATTTTGTAACAGCATACAGTTCACCGGAATCGCTTTACCCTGGTTACTGAAGTCCTTACTTCTGTATATACCCTTTACAACTGATAACCCTAACAATACTTCATCAGATACAGGAGAAACTTGTTAAATTTATTAAATGAAATGTATAATCAATATGTTATGCATCTATATATTTACAGCATCAACGTGTAGCAGTTTAGTAGGTTTTGTTACACAGACCTGACAACTCTTTCAGCATATTAAAATGCTTTCTTTTCCTTTTTTTTTAATTTTACGTGACACTAAACAGAAGTAACGGCAGCTGAAGAATTTGCTTTGCCATCAATAATGTATACATCAACAATAGTAAACTTTTAAACTTGTTAAAAGAAATACAAAAAGTAATACATTTTTTTTTTATCTCTCAGCGGTTTTACAATACAATACAAAATATTTTTAGAAAGCACATTTAAAAACAACCAAAGTTGACCAAAGTGCTCTACATACACTGTCAAAGTATTCGTACAGTTTGTGTATTTTGTGATTCACGTTTTTTTTTTTTTAACCATTTATTTATGCTTTTGAATTTAAATATGCGGCATTGAACTTTCGTCCAACAACATTTAACCTTAACAAAAGCTTTTAAAAAGTTTTTTTTTCTTAACATATTTAATAGTTTATATGATATATAGTCTGGGGGTGTTGTTATCACGGTATAAAAACCTTGTAATAAGCTGCCAGTACTTATTTTTTATGTATTATTTCTTTCTGAATTATATTATTTCAAACTAAAATGTCAATAAAAGTCACTTTGTTAAATTGTAGAGTTGAATTTTCCACATCAGATGTCGACAGAGCAGAGATCAAGGTGCCGTAATGCAATTCACAACCGAAAATAAACTGCAGATTTTTTGTAAATCACATAAAAACCCAGAAACTGTCAGTTAACATATTTTTTACAGTGTAGGGGTACTAAGAAAATAAAAGGTATAAAGAAAAACAAGACTACCAGATTAATCAGTAAAAGCAATAATAGAACTAGTAATTAAAAAGCGAGAGGAAAACGGTTGGTCATTAACAATAGATAGGTCTTTTACACTGACACAGACGCAGCGTTAATAATGATGATGATGTTTTATGCTTTCTCTGTAGGTTGGATTGACTCCGCACCTGCGTTCAGTGCCCAAAACTTGGGTGAAGGAGGGAGGAATGGTGCAGCTTTCTAAAAAGTGTCTCAATGCTCAATTCAAAGGAGCCAGTGACTCTGAGATCCTGTACAGCATCCATTCTGAGAGCGGACAGCCCAAATACGGTAACCTCAGCATATTCTACCTTTATTATTTCTCACACATTATCTGCCTTTTGTTCTGAACTCATTTTAGTGCAATGAACTAGGCAAAATGTTTCTTGTGTTTGTGTGTGTCTAGGAGAGATTGTGCTGGTGTCTATGCCCGCTGACGGTCCTGTGGAAGCGTGGCAAGCCTTTTCTGATGGTCAAGACTCTACACCCACCAGCTCATTTACACAGCAAGATGTAAATGAAGGCACTGTCTGGTACCGACATTATGGATCTGGAACACAGAGAGACACTTTTCAGTTTCAGGTGAGACATGAATAGATTTAACCCAAGGCAAATACTGTCACTTCAGCACGAGCCCCGAGGCTCTGTGTGTAGAGCTAAAGGTGCCACTTAACGTTTGACTTGTTAAAACATGTCTACTCCTATAGCTCTTTGTTTTTTTATTGATTTGGTACTTAATTGGAGCAATACTAACTTAAACGCTCATCATAAACACATCGAGTAATTACTGTTAAACTTTTTGCCGTGCTCAAAGGAGCAGATTCTTCTGGCTTCTGCTTTGTGTTCTGCCAAAATAATGCTCCTGACAAAACATGACACTTCGGCAGATAATATAAAAGGGTAGATTGCAACTACTTTGACTTGTTTTTTTAGTTCAAATTAGCAATGATCTAACATATGATACATTACTTATTAAACATTTACTATTTAATGCCTAGTAATGTGGCTGCAAGAAATGAATACTTTAATACTTTCTTTTCTATGATTTATTAATCTAATAAAAAAATAATTTTTGAGATCAGGAATAAATTGCACTTTAAAATATGTTAAAATAAAACAGAATTATTTTAATTGTTAATACTATTTCACAATATTTAACAAAATTACTGTTAATTTGGATCAAGTTATTATTTGCTTAATACTTGCTAGATATAAAAATATATTTTTCTAAAATAAATGAAGGCTCAAATATTTAATTATACTGTATATACAGTGCACACATAAATGAGTACAGCCTTTTTGAAAATGTTTATTTTTCTAATTAACAGTTTATAAACAATACCTGACAAGAGTCTTGTCATCGATCCCAGTTGTAAGAGCAACAAATAATAACTTGTATTCTAGTTGAACATTAGGAAAAGTGGCAGAAGGTAGATTTTTCTGATGAATCATCTCTTGATTTGCATCCCAATCATCCCAAATACTGCAGAAGACCTAGCGGAACCCACATGGACCCAAGATTCTAATAAAAAAGAGTCAAGTTTGATGAAGGAAAAATCATGGTTTGGGGTTAAATTGAGTATGGGGGTATGTAAGAGATCTGCGGATGGCAACATCAACAGCCTTAGGTATCAAGACATTTGTGCTGCCCATTACATTACAAACCACAGGAGAGGGCAAATTCTTCAGCAGGGTAGCGCTCCTAATACTTCAGCCTCCATATCAACATGAACATTATTAAGCACGTCTGGGGTAAGATGAAGGAGGAGGCATTAAAGATAATCCAAAGAATCTTGATGAACTCTGGAGGTCCTGCAAGAACACTTTCTTTGCCATTTGAAGTTGTTTGAGTCATTGCAGAGATGTATGGATGCAGTCTTCCAAATTCATGCAAGTCATACACAATATTTTTCCACTGCACCATGACTTTATATTCTATACTGTTCATTATTTCTGTTAAGTGACAAGACTTTTTTCTAAGCAAAGTCAGACCTTACTGTCCTAATTAAAGAACTAAAAATCAAGGCATGATTATATTTTATTTTAGTGAAATAATTGTAATCTAGAGGCCTTTGTCTTTCATATAAGCCACTTCTGATACTAAATGATCAACTAAAAGTCAAGGTATTATTTGTTGCTCCTAAAACTTGGATAGGCAACAAGACTTTTTCAGGTAGTATATATATATATATACACACACACACACACACACACACACACACACGCACACACACACACACACACACACACATAAACAATAAAACATTTTTTTGCCAAATATATTTATTAACATTTTGTGCAGATAAAATATCATATACATAAAAATAAGTAATATTCTGTTCTGCTTTTTCACAACTAAGAGCCTAATAAAATAAGAGCCTAAAACTAATGACCATAAAAACAATATAGTTATTAAAAAAGCAGTAAATGTAAAAAATAAAATTAAATAATAAAATAAATATAAACAACAACAACCAAAAAAAAAACAATAAAAGCTATAAATTAATCATTATTATAATAATAATAATAATAATAAAATAAGCTTTATTCCTCTTTTGCCCCAAAATCAATAGTGTCAATATAATTCAACAAAGGTTTCCATGTTTTGTAAAAGCATTTTAAAACCTAATTTTTCCAACTTTAAACACAGAAAAATCATATGAAGGTGGAGATGATTGAAGATGGAGAAGCCTCCTAGCCAATAATGTAGTAAAAGCCACACCCTTCTGTGTTGTTGAAGGCAAATTTGTCTCAAAAGGAATTCCAAATAGTGCTGTTAGAGGGTTTGGAGTGGCTGATATGTTAAAAGTTTTTTCAAATGTATTGAATATTTTAGACTAAAACACTGTCAATCTTAGACAAGGCCAAACGTGGCACATGTGTGTGCGATTTGCTGGAAATAGACACCTATTACAAGTATTACTTTTATTTGTGTATAGTTTGGCTAATCTGGCATTAGTATAGTGTGCTCCGTGTATAATCTTGCATTGCATTAAATTGTGTCGGGCACAAATAGAAGAACTGTACAAAATTGAGTATATATTCCAGTTCCAGATGGTGATCCCCAGCTCATGTTCCCAGGTATTCTTAGGTAGTTCAGAGGAATCAGAATTTAAAGAATTTATTGACAGATAGATGATAGAGACCATACCTTTTCTGTCTGGGTTAAAAAAAAAAAGAACAGTGTCCATTTTTGAATCAGGAGGAAGATTAGGAAACTGAGTAAACTGATTTTGTAGAAAATGTTTTGTCTGAAAGAAGCGAAAAAGATGAGTTGTGGGTAGGTGGACAAATCTGAAAATGACCAAAATATACCTTTGTCATACCTTTAAGTCCTTAATGGTATCTAAAGACCCCTTGAAGACCAGTCATGAAAAACAGAATCAGAACACGATGGTAAAACAAATACATTTACTATGGGTGCTAGTGTGGATGGACTTATTAGCCCAAAGTGTTTTCTAAAAGTAACCCATATTTTAATATTATTTGTCACCACTAAACTGTCTGAGACAAGTCCATAAAACATTTTAAACAAAATACAACAGGTTTTAAGGTCAGTGTATCATGTAAGTGACGGCAAAACAAACAGAGACCATTAAGGGATGTAAACACATTGTTACTATCTCCTGCCCTAGTGGATTGTTTTCTCCATTTTACTTCAGCTCTGCTCCACTCTTAGACCAATTTGTCCATCTGTCCTACTTCTCCTTCAGCAGCCTCACTGCATTATGTGAGCATAAATGAGCTAATTTGTCTTCAAATCCAGTTTCAAATCCGTATAAGCAGCATTAAAGGACATTCAGTCACATTTAATTCATCAGCTTAAAGCCCTAATGATTCTTGACACAACAGTTTTTTGTCCTCCACCAGAAAATTGCTTTCCTTTCTAGTTTGTTCTGTTCAGTTCTCATCTTGCCTAAAGCTGCACTCTGTGTTGCAGACTTCATTAAATAAGATTTGAGTTTTAATGGTTCGACACGGTTAATTTATGTCCTCTGGGGTGTGTTTGTGACCAAGTGTTTCAATGTATTTGTAAGTTTCTGCTCAATATCAACATGGAAATAAATTTGTATTGACAACAGAGTGGAGTAAATTGAGTCACGTATTAAGTTGAGTTTGATTTTTATAATTATGTGATTCATTAATGATTAGCAATTATTGTTTGAGAATTGTTATTGTCTGAAAAGTTTGCGGCAGCTCTGTCTGAATGGTTTATATTTTCTCATGGAATATGTATATGTGCACACTGTGGTATTTGTTTATTAATGCTTGAGCTTTTGTTGACAGGTTTCAAGTGAGATCTATCCAGAGACTCTGAGCGATACACAGACCTTCACTATAGGAGTGATGCCTCAGAGCCCTGGCATGCCTCAGCTTTCACCTGGAGTCGATCTGCAGATCACTGTAAGATTCAGACAGCGAGACTTAAAATATATATTTTAAAAGCTATGCTTTCATTTTAGACAATATTTAGTTCATGCTGTTACTGTTTAGATACAAGTGCATTTTTATTATTATTCTTGAAATACATTCGCAGGTAAATAGTGAGTAATGTTTGACATCAGTATGATTTTTAGCAAGGACAAGTTGAAAACCTTTACTCTGTTACAAAAATGTCAGTTGTTCTAAATGTTAAACTCTTCATTCATGAAGTACCCTGAAAAAACTGTATCCTAGTTTTTACAGAACTTTTAAGCAGCGCAGCCGTTCTCTATTGTGACAATAAATAGTTTTCTTGAGCACCAGATCAGCATATTCGAATGATCACAAGAACATTACATTAAACAATGAAGATTCAGGCGACGCAGTGGTGCATTAGGTAGTGCTGTCGCCTCACAGCAAGAAGGTCGCTGGTTCGAGCCTCGGCTGGGTCAGTTTTCTATTTTGTGTGGAGTTTGCATGTTCTCCCTGTGTTCGCGTGGGTTTCCTCTGGATGCTCCGGTTTCCCCCACAATCTAAAGACTTGTGCAGGTGAATTGGGTACTCTAAAAAATGTCCGTAGTGTATGTGTGTGAATGAGTGTGTATGGATGTTTCCCAGAGATGGGTTGCAGCTGGAAGGTCGACCTCTGCTCATGTGCTGGACAAGTTGGCAGTTCATTCCACTGTGGTGACCCCAGATTAACAAAGGGACTAAGCCCACAAGAAAATGAATGAATGAATGAGGATGAAGATTCAGGATAATTTATGAAATTTTAAAATCTAGTTGTGGCCAAATTGAAGTCTGCAAAATTGAAAATAACACAGAATAATAGATACAGATATGGCAAAGACAAAATAATATATTTTTCAAAGATATGTTGATAAAATAAAAACTTTTGTCTTCAAAGGTATCTTAAGTTATTTATAAAATTATTTGTTGAAATTGGAGACTGCAGCTTATCATTGAGCGTGGATTTTATCCTATTATGAATAATTATAATGCATGCAAAACAAACAAGCAGCCGTCTTCCAAAACTTTTTTTTTTATATTTCAATTGTAATAAGATCAAACACACTTTCCTATCAAAATACTTTGAAAATCTACATCAACATTGCTCTCATCGCTGTTTGAATGAAGGGAAGTGATATAAACTTTCCTAAAGGCAGGACCTCTTTTTTGTCACTACTCTATACGGAAATATAAATAAGTCTATGATATAAATAAGTGCGCAAATTTTACCCAATGTTAAAGTATTCTATGCCGTTTTGATCAAGTCAATTCAGCTTTGATGAGTCTTATCATAGGTATTACACTTGACCATCGGCATCATATCATCTCCATTAATATCATATCCATACATAATCTTCTTCATTAATGCAGATGTTTTTGGCTCTCTTTCTCTGTGTATTGGTTTTATCCGGATGCAAATTCATATAATTTCAAGGGTATGACCTAGAGTAGGTATTTTATGGGGACGTGTCTTCTGTCCTCATAATTCAAAAGTTTCAAAATCATAATTAACAGAGTTAATGGACATTAAACATATCTGTGTGGGTGGCGTTTAGGCCTAGAGTTTTTACAGTATAAAATACATTATGCCTGTGGATTATGCCTCATAATCACTAAAAACCAATGTGTGTGTGTGTAGGCGCTGGAAGATCGCGTGACTGTGATCTCTCCATCTGCTCTCTCCTTCACTGACTCTGAGACACCCAGCGACAAGCTTGTCTACAACATCACCAAAGCGCTCACCTCAGGCCACGGTAACTAAACCTCCATTATTGTCATAGGGGTGAGGGGAAGGACACTCACAGGCATAATAGAAGCCTGATAGTTTTGTTTTCTTCTCCTGCTTGTACCATTATATAGAGAGTATGGGATTTCAAAGGTGAAACTTGCTGAGACTGTAATGGAGGGATGCATTTCATGTCTAGGAATATTGTGAGAAGCTTCAAATGCGGTTCTTTATGTTTATACTTTCGTGGATGCAATTTTTTTAACTGGGTTAAATGACAATATTCATAACCTTGGGTTTAACTTGTGGAAAAGAGGGCTTAATTAACAAATTGTAACAATTAATTATTGTGAATAATATATTGGGAACTATAATTATAATAATAATTGTGAATTACCTCCAAAATGACAAATTAAGCAATCATGTAAAATGTGAAAACCATAAATAATACAAAAAGTAGCTTTGAATGAAATCTTCTGATTCAACATAGCTTATTATAATTATAATTTTACCTTTGACTACAGTGGTCAGGATCTTTTATTATTGTTTTTTTTTTTTTTCTTTTACTGACATTTATCAAGTTTAATTATCCAATAACCATTTATTGCAGCTTTAAATCAGGTTATTTACAAAATAAAATACAAAATACAAAAAAATAATAATAATAATAATTAAATAATCATCTAAATAAGAAACTACAAACAAATTTTAAATGAGTAAATAATTGAGTTGTTTTTATATTATTATTATTTTTATTATTATTATTATTAATAATAATAAAATTATTTTTAAAAAATGTGTAACTTTAATCCTTTTTTTATATATGTAAAGATATTTGTGTATTGCTATACATCCTGTGTGTATTAAGCATTTGGAGTGTATAGGCGCATAACTAACGTGTTCTGCGCTGGACTATTGCTTGGTCAATAATACAGTCAATTTTAGTTTCTCAAAATAGCAACGCTCCAACAATGCGCCAACAAAGTAGTGCAAATGGAGTTGTTATTTAAACAACGTGGCGCAAAACATGAAAATTTGCACAGGTCTGAAATTAGCAAATTGCACCAAACACATCTTGAGCCTATTATAAATTATAAAATTATAATATTGTAAACTATTGGAATTATTTTTTATTTTTTCAACCTCATATTTATGTAACCCCATTGTAGGAGACCATTTGAAAAAATAGCAAAATACGGCACATTCAGTTAAACATGATGATGTCGCTCGTCATTTTCAGGTGTGCTGGAGCACAAGGACAGACCTTATCATCATGTGCGTCTCTTCACCCAGGCTGACGTAGATTCTGGCAAAATTATCTACAGACCCCCACAGGCCCCATCTCATCTTCAGGAGCTTTATCAATACTCATTTACAGGTTAGTCTTTACTTCACTACGTAATCCATGTTACTTGAGCACCAAATCAGGATGAATTCTGAATGACCATGTGACATTGAAAACTGGAGTAGTAATAATAATAATAATGCATTTTATTTGTAATGCGCTTTTCTTAAACCCGAAGCGCTAGAACAAGCTGATAACTTAAAATCTGTAAATAACTTTTTAAAAAAAATATGTAAATAAAAAATGATGACCGGAGAAGTGGAGTCACAAACATCAGCGTCCTCTCCAAACCGGAAATCGATGTATAGACCATACTGTATTTACATTCATAATTGCATTTGATATTTTAATAATATTCCACAATATATTTTCTTTGTCTTTGCATTTTTGATACAATGAATGCATCTTTGGTGTTCATAAGAGACTTGTAAAAAATAAATAAATAAATAAATAAATAAATAAATAAATAAATAAATAAATAAATAAATAAATAAACAAATAAATAAATAAATAAATACAAAATTAAATACAAAAATGCAGCCATTCAAATGTATTTATCTTTTTTTATTCTATCAAGAACTGTGCTTCCCCAAACATCTTTGCTGTTCTGTGTAATGAATGTAAACAATAGTAGCACACAATCATGATGCGTACGATTTGTGTGGGAAGGTAATTAGCAAACATGCCAGCGCACTGTTGATTTAGTACTAATCTGATCTTTTTTCGGAGCAGTCGAACCCAGCAGCTGAGGTATTGTTAGCGATACAACTGTTAATATATGATATAATGTCTCACTCTGCTCGCTAATTATCACGATTTGCCAGCAGCCGATTGTGAAAGTAACCACCAACACTATTTCATTCCTGCAGGTCTGCCAGAATCAGTGAGCGTCCATTTCACAGGTATATAATCACTTTTGGCCTCTGCAAACCCCTGCGACTCTGCTTGCTTTTCCTCTCTTTCCTTACACACTTCCAGCAAACCAAGAATTCATTTCTTCCTCTCAAACTCCATAGACAGATCCCTCTGTGACTCTGATCCTGCATTCCCTGGTGTGTTGTCGTTATTTATTTATGGGACCTTCTCTCCTCTAAGAGGGAGTATAATTCCCTCTCTCTTTCTGATGTCCATCCATACGCTTTATTCCGCCTGACAGCAGGATACGATTGTGCATCCATCTTCTTCTTGCGGTGCCCATGAATCAGAGCTGTGACTGCTCGTATGCCCTTCTGTGTCTGCATGGAAACAGGGCACTGCAGGGCAGAGAAACTGCTTTTAGTGATGTTAGAAATAGATGAAGGGTATATCGCTAAGAACAGCCGCGTCAGGAGTCTTTTTTTTTCTTACTTATATATGCATGCATTTTCAACTAAAGGAAAGCAACACACACTCTGTCATAAAACTTTGAGACTCTTGGCTCATCCACTGATATATCTTATTCTGTTTACATTTCATTATTTTATTTCATTGTTCTGACAGGATCAAGGTCTTTTTTATTTGCAGTAGATATATGTAAATTGTGGCTTTGGTGCAGGAAAAAAATCATAATTACACATTTTTGTTAGTACTGTTGAATGATGATAATTCATTGAGTTATCTTTTTTATGACAGTAATGTGAAATATCAAATCGTCACTGTTCTGTTGCAGTAGAAAAAAAAAAGATTTCCTTTTCCTCTTTTGGGAAAAGTAAAAGCATTCTGCAGTTGTTTTGACACTCAAACCATGTTTTTTTTAGTCGGATGCACACAAGAATCACATAAAAACAACAATAATAAAAGCAAGATGGATAAAAATAAATATATATTGCCATGCAAATATGCAATAAAGGCTACACCATTCACAATTTAAAATGCTAACAATTTTCAATTATCTTTACTGTAATGTCATCGTGAATAGAAATCAGTGAACGATAACTCATTTATAATTTAAACTTAATCTTTACAAATGCAAAAACCAACACAGGCTCATTGTGAAAATGGACCCCAGTATACATTTATGGAGAGTGCGAATTATGTAGCCAGGGCTACGTATGACTGTATTTTGTCTTTAAAAGGAATGCTTTTAAAGAGGCAGCATAAAGCCGCCGATGGCTTCTGTTTTTTTTTTTTTTTTTTTTTTGCACTACCAGCTGACCGATTCCCTCCATGTGGACAACTTTTCCACTGTTACCAGTTTGTCCTGTAGCTCGCCATGCACGTCGGCAGAATAGAGAAGAGTTGACCACAATGACAGGGTTTGATTACGGTGAAAAACGGTTCCAGAAACTGGTAAAACACAAACAAAAGGCAAAAAATTAAAATATAAAAAAAATAACACGGTGAGAAATTGTTAAGATCTGAAAATGTGGTAAAAATCAGGCAGCTGCAAGGGCTTTTCTTTTTTGGATTGCTTTTAAAAACACTGTCAGTTGGGTTTAGGGAAGGCGGTGGGCAGGTTCACCATTGCTTTTGAAAACTATCGATTTGGTGTAGGGAAGAGGGTGAGTGGAAGGATTAGTCGGTCAGTCAGTCGGTCGGTCAGTAGAAGGCGGTCTCTGGTGGATTTTTGTAAGAAGAGCAAGCGTGAATGGCACTCGCAAGAGAAATTTGAGATCAAAAAAAGCGTACACAGCGGCCTCTGGTGCATCCGCAAATACAAAAACATAGCTCCTGGGACATATTTCGTGATCTCTAGAAATGTATAGAGGTGTACATATTCATATAAGCCTGGGTTGCCAAAAACAGTATGTTCACATGTTTTGTTATCGTCTAAAATACAGAAATTTTTGTTACTAACCTGTAACAGGGGGATTTTTATCATCTGTCTCTAGGCCTAAATGTATTGCCAAAAATCCACAAATACAACTTATTAATAATGAAATTTAAATAAATTTGTCATGTTAGATTGTATGTTAAAAATGTAAAAGTTATATAATTACAATAAGTTTAAACAATGGCAAAAGCAGAACTATTTTGAAACTTGATTGCCGCATGTGTGTAGGAACAGTTGACAGTGGTCGTAGCAATGACAAACTGTAGTGGATTGCGAGCTTACAAACGCATTTAAATCCGTAAACAAAGTGGCATGCGTCACATTTTCAACGTGGTTTTAGATGCATATGAGAATATAAAGAGTTAACCAGATACAGTACAAGCCATGTGAAGCGGTTACAAGTAACATAACACAATTAAATACATAACTTACAAGCAAGAGAAAACAAGGAGGCAACCATTTTAGTCGCACTTGAGTACACTGTGCTCTAAGTTTACTCTTTTATAGATGAATCAATAATTTTAAACATGGTGCACTTTCAGATTTAAGCCTTAGCTGGATGTTTTACTTCATTTAAGCTGTGTTACACACTGCATGGAAGGTCATTTTCAAACACCCATAATAGGGGCTCTTTAATACTTAAAGACAGAGACTTGGTTATTCATTTTTAGTTATGGCAATAATTGAGACACTGTAAATATTCACGTACAGTGTCTAAAAAACTGATAAAACCTTTAGTGATGGCATTATATATATATATATATATATATATATATATATATATATATATATATATATATATATATATATATATATATATATATATATATATATATATATATAAACCTTAGTAAGACTGTTAAATAAGAGTCCCAAGTTGCCCTTTAGTTCACATCTTATGTTTAGTGTCTGAAGGTTGAGGTTTTTTACGGACTTCATTTCCTTTCACTCTTTCCATTTGTCTGTTTCATACTTACTGCGTTCATTCATCTGCACTGTATTGAGCTGAAATGCAGAAGACAGAACTGGCCTGAAGGTTAACTGTGTTCTTGTGCATGTGTGACTGACTCTGACTCATTCTCTTCTGCAGTGTCTGGTGGAGAACACACCACCCCAGAGATGGACTTTGCCATCCTGCTTTTGGTCAATCATCAGCAGCCACCAGTCTTTCAGATCCTGGACCCAGTGCTGGAGGTCAGCCTTGGCGGCAGGGCACCAGTGGGTGAGGACACGTGTATTGGCTTAAGTGCTACAAAGTAATTAGAGTGGAGGAATAAGTATTTAAAAGGTTTGCTCAGTATGTTATTTTTCCCCCTCATTAAAAAGTTTTACACCTCATTAAAAAGTTTTGCGCATAAAGAAAATAATAGTTCCTATGAGAAATGTTTCAAATCATGTTCACTCTTGATTAAGACTCCAAGCCTGTCTGTAGCTTATTAAAAGCTGTTTTGTATTACATGTATAATCAGGTGCGGTTAATCTGCTAACAACACAGGCACAAAATGGGTTAAGACATGTTTTTGGGGGCATTAAATAATGCTAGAAAAACTAGTAAATTGACTCCTGCAAAGCTTACTAGTACTCTGCTAGTATTAATTGAATAAATAAATTTTGATTTAGAACAAGTTTACCTGATGCTCAATTGGTACTAATGGGCCCAAAGTCTGCCAAGAAAATATCCCTCACAACATTACACCACCAGCAGCCTGAATTGTTGATACACGGCAGGATGGATCCATTTTTTCATGTTGTTGATGCCAAATTCTGACCCTAGCATCTGAATGTCGCCGTAGAAATCGAGACCCATCAGACCAGGAAACGTTTTTCCAATCTTCTTTTGTCCAATTTTGGTAAGCCTGTGTAATACTCAGACCAGTCCACCTGGCACCAACAATCATGCCATGTTCAAAGTCACTTAAATCTCCTTTCTTTCCCAATCTGACCATGTCTAAATGCCTACATGCATTAAGTTGCTGCCATGTGATTGGCTGATTTAAAATTTGCATGAACGAGCAGTTGGCAACTGTACCTAACAAGTGGCCAGTGAGTGTATTTACTCTGCCAATTTCAAACACAGATGAAGAATGCAGTATCCCAACCTTTAAATCAAGACCAACCTTTGGTCTATGTTCCATGAAACTTAAAGGTAGATTAAAAGTTTTTAACCAAAGTTTACTGTAGAGAAAAGGTATTCTACTTTTTTATTAGTTTTTATGCAAAAAATGTTTTTAATATGAATGAATGAATGAATGAATGAATGAATGAATGAATGAATGATTAAAATGGGTTTTTTTGTTTCATCATCAATTCACAAATCATTTTATTTCAGCCACAATATCACTTTTATCACACAGTATACACTGTGAAGAAACCAATTAAGAAACTAAAATAAAGAAACCAATAGATTATTAAAATAGAATGTAATATGAATGTTGACACTCTTTAATTATGCCTTAGTGTGTTAATGCTGTTTTCTGTTTTAATTTTATTTATGAAGGTTCTGTAAAATAAATCAGCATAAACTCTATTCCAGGGGTCACCAACCCTGTTCCTGGAGAGCTACCTACCTGCACATTTCAGTTGCAACCCTGACCAAACACACCTGTTTGTAATTATCAAGTGCTGCTTTAGGTACTATTAACTGGTTCAGGTGTGTATGATCAGGGTCGGGACTGAATTCCACAGGAAGGTAGCTCTCCAGGAACAGGGTTGGCGACCCCTGCTCTATTCTAACTGCATTCAATTATTTGGCTAATTAAACATATTATATTAATAAATATATTAATTTCAGCAAAGCTACCATCAGTAACAATGTTTCATCCAACATGCCTGAAATGTTTTCTCAAAGACATTTTCCAAAATCTAATCTTTTTACACATAATTACAACTTTATGGTGCCATTTGTCTGCTTTCAGCTCATAAATAGTGTCTGCCTGACATATATTTAAAGCCTCATAAATCTATGAAGGACATGAAGTGACAACAGTCATGGCCGCAATATTAGTGTCAAAGGGTCCAAATTGAAGTGCTCAAATCTGGCCACTTCTTGAGACCATTCAGATTGAAGAATTTCAAAAGTAATGGATGCTTTTCCCTCCCATGACTCTGTACGCATGTTTAATTTGTGATGTGCCTTCCAAGAAACAGTTTTATTTTGGTCCCCTGCACCCTTTGAAGTTCCCACTTTAAAGCATAAACCATTTGAAGGGATTAGGGAATAGGGATGAGGTCTTCCGAATCCGATTCCGGAGCACAGTTATAGACTTGTCTCCATACTGTGTAGGTGTGCAACAGTTGGCAGTAACAGATTCAGACACGGCCCCTGAAGAGCTGGAGTTTGAGGTGGTGGAGGGACCACTACATGGGACGCTCCTGAAAGTGGACCTTGGATCCCAGGTCCAGATGGTCAATGGTAAATGCAACATTTTTTGTCTTCTTTGTCATACTTTCTATTAGGTTACTTTTTAGGTACATATACTGTACATCTTTGTTGCATGATTTACCATATTTTAGCTGCTAAGGTACTTGCTGTATAAACTTTACTCTATTGAAAAAAGAGATAACATGTCTCAAGATGTTTTCCTGGTAAAATGAGGTTGAAATAAAATAATAAAAAACTGTTTTCCACCTCAGGGGACACCTTTACCTCCAGTGATGTCACCAGAAACATCCTGCAGTATGAACATGCAGGGCTCACCACTGAAGAGGACTCCATGACCTTCTCAGTGACTGACGGGATCTCTATGACCTCCATCGCGGTGCAGGTTTTGGTGTCAGAGGTCAAAGGCGACGCACCCAAGCGTGACCCAAAGGCTTTTCTTTCCATGGAAGTTGCAGAGAAGAGCAGCAGCATCATTAGACGTTCACATTTAGCTTATATGGTGAGGAAATACATGTTTTGACAGCAAAAAAAAATAATGGAAAATGCTGGTTATTTCCAATATGCATAAGGGCATGTTGTCATTGTGTTTTAGGATGATGCATCTCCAGATGAGAGGATTTTTGTGCAGTTAGTCTCTGTGCCAATGTATGGGATCCTTACAAAAAATAAAGCTGGAGCAGACTATGAGGAGCTTAGTGAATATTCTTCCTTTACAATGGAGGACATCAACAACCACAAAATAAGGTATTTAGTGCCCCCGTGTCAGCAAGCTTGGCCTGTCCTCTGGCCCCCTAAATTTGTAATTGCAGAATAATGGAAGAGTGAAAATTGCAGTTTTACTAAAGCTGCATGAAGTTTGTATTTAACCAGACTGAACAACAAGCAATTTGGGATGTGTTTAATCTCATCTGTATGTTCATCTGTATGTACCAACTGCACAGAGCAAAAAATAACTGTGAAAGAGGAACAAAGGGTGATTTGTTCGTCTTGAGAAATCTTGGTGGGCAACAGCAAACAAGAACAAGTCCATAATAAATTGAGAAAAATCTAAATACTTTATAAAAAAAAAATAATACTAATACAGTATATTTCTATTTAGATCTGACCAAACCTTAAAAACTGTTATAAATTTGCTACATTTTTGAGGGAAACCTAAAGAACAAGCCCACAGACGCTTAGATTAAGTGGACGTGGCAACACTACAGATGCTCAAAGACTACAATACATTTCATTCATTCATTCATTTTCTTTTCGGCTTAGTTCCTTTATTTATAAACTTATTCAGCATGTGTTTTATGCAGCAGATGCCCTTCCAGCTGCAACCCATCACTGGGAAACGTTCATACACACTCACTCACACTCATACACTACGGACAATTTAGCTTACCCAATTCACCTGTACCGCATGTCTGTGGACTGATGGGGAAACCGGAGAACCCAGGGGAAACCACGTGAACATGGGGAGAACATGCAAACTCCACTCAGAAACGCCAACTGACCCAGCCGAGGCTCGAACCAGCGACCTTCTTGCTGTGAGGTGATCGTGCTGCCCACTGCGCCACTGTGCAGCCCCACCATACATTTGTTGTCAGTTTTTCTGTTGTAATATTAAATTGGACGAAGATAGCGAATACTAAACATTACCCATCCGGGTTCAATGTGTTAAACACACTGAAAAATTTTGAGAATTTATTAGCTGGTGTTAAATGTATCAGCCTTTCCTGAAGCATTGAAAGTGTGTATGTTGCGTAAAGTATTCAGTTGTCTGCTTATATAAGTCCTTACATTTATACAGTGCTTTTACACATTTTTGGGGGGAATCTCCTCATTCACCACCAGTGGGCAGCCTTATTGCGCCAGACCGCACCAGCTGATTGGTGGAGAGGAGGCAGAGTAATAAAGTAATAAAGCCAATTATACTATGGGGATAGTTAGGAGGCCATGATGGATAGGGGCCACTGGGCAAACTTTCACAGGATGCTGGGGTTAAACCCCTTCCCTTTTTCTTCAAAGATTTTTAATGAAGACAGAGTCAGGACATCTCATCAAAAAGCAGTGGTTCTCAAACTGTAGTACATGTACCAAAAGTGGTACGCAGGCTTCCTTCTACTGGTACGTGGAGAAATCGCTGAATAATTCAAAAAAAAAAAATGAACACACTATTAACCCTTCGCATATGATAACAACGATGTGATCAGGAAATTGATTTCATTAGGCTAAATTTTTTATTTAAATTTTTTTAATGTTTGTTATGTATTCTGTCATTTGAGGTTATTTTCCTTTCCATACTTGTAACAGTTGTTGCGGGCTTATCTTGTTTTTTTTATATCCCAATGTTGACGGGTATAGTTTAATCACTTGCTTCTCTGACACACTTAGCCTACTCTAACGAGCAGTCATAGATATATACACTAGATGTCGCCTGGCCTATTGTTGTCTATTGGACGGAATGCGTCAATAGCGCCGCCATCTTGCTACAGGGTAGCGCTCCTTTGAAATGAATGCGGGACCAATGTACAGTGGAGGACTGTGGCCATCCAAAGCCAGAGATATACACATATACACATATATCTATGATCGGGAGTTTTCCTGGATGTTAGTATGTAATTTTTTTTTTCTAATTACAAAAATTATAATTTTACATCACTTTTCTACATTGATGGATCAGTGACCGCACGGGCATTTCTGACAAAAAGCATGTGTTTGTGTGTACAGAAATTTACTATTTACCCTCCCTGTTAAATTTGATCTAATCATGTCGTGAAACACAGCTCCTCTCCTGCTTTCACTTCTCATACTGACGGAGGGAGCGATTCGTTTGTGAATGAATCCCCCGAACGACTCTTTCACTAATGTTAGCTGACAATTATAAGTTTCTGGCAGCGCAGCATCTCGTTGTCATATTTCTTTTGCATTGTTTGCTGATTTTATTCAACAAAACTAGCATAAGCCGAGTATTTAGTGCGAGTTGGAGCTTCTTTGCCTTATGGTGAATGCTGTAGTAAGTGACTGTTATCATCAATAACGTTACCTGATTAGCACAAAAGTTCAGAACATACAAAAACAGAAAAAAACTTAATATTACCTATGAAATGTTCTGCCTTTGTGCTTTGATTTCTTTGTTTGCTCGTTTCTACACCCGTAGACATAGCTAAAGTCCCGCATCTTCACGTAATAACACTGTCTTCACTAGTGCGGTTGAATGACATTTGTCTTGGGAGCACTGTACCAATGTGGCGGCGCTATTGACGCATGCTCAGGGTCCCTATGCGATATCTAGTGTATATATCTATGACGAGCAGTAAGGAGATCTAATTTCTAATTTAAATATGTAAATCCAATTCATACATTTAAAATACAAGTTAACGTTTAGATTTTAAAGATGAACAAATAAGTCATATACAAATGCATCATATATTTAAAAATTTATCAAACAGAGTTATATATGAATGTTGACATACTGTATAACCTGTATTTATGAGGTCCAAAAGCATTAGCAGGTTTTGATGAATAGGCTACTATATGATAATACTTTACATTTAAGTACAGCAGTTTTCTTTCAACTTTTTATGAACAGTGCCATATTTGATTAACTTTTAAAATCACATTTTAATTTAAATGTTGACGTTTTATTTAACGTTTCTTTTTTACCTGTGTGTTATTATTCAAACTTTTTATTATGTTTAAAGTGGATGACAATAATAAATAGTCATAATAATAATAATTAATCTGCTATGTTTGGGAACTGTGCAGAGCTGTAGCCGCTTAATTAGGCCTACTCTGTATTTCAATACAAGTCATTATGGTGGTACTTGGAGAGACAATTTTTTTTCTGAGGTGGTACTTAGTGGAAAAAAGTTTGAGAAAAACAGTACTAGAGCATTAGGACCCACAAAGACTGCAGGTTGAGCGCCCCCTGCTGGTCTCACTAACACCACTTCCGGCAGCAATCTAGCTTTTCCATGCGATCTCCCATCCAGGATCTGACCAGGCACAGCCCTGCTTAGCTTCAGTGGGCATCCATGGGAGAGTTGCTAAGAGCTAGCTACCAGCAGCTTTCTAATTAATTAATGATTTTAAGATTAGCCCCCCCCCTGTTTTAATGTTTTAGTTTAGTTGTTAGCAGCTCTGTTGAATTCATGCATTTTACTATAATTGAACTTGAAATATAATGTTCTTTCACTTTTACCACAAGAATGCAGCATATTGATGTTGTTTTGAATATGTGATTCTTGTTAATGTATTTTTCAGATCATTATACTATTAATGTGTCATTCCTAGTCCAGCTTATGTTAATATTAGACTCCCTAAATGAGGCGTGTAAAATGTTTGGCAAGCTGTAATGCTTGGGGAAGCTTAACATGCATTACAACACAAGCTTCCTTAATTGCTTTAAATTGTCCAGTCCCACTGAGAATTTATGAAATATAAAACAACTCTCTCAGGCGATCATGTCTTTGCCCATATTTGACTGCTATCCTCCAGAGGGTTGCTTTTTAAGCAGATGGAATACTTTCTGCACATTTCTGAAACATTTTTGTGTCCCGGCTCAGTTTCTTTTAGACTTTGCGAAAGAAGATGGAAAATATTGTGATATCTTGTTTCTCTCTCTCTCTTCGAATAGGTATGTTACGTCCTTTGAAACTGGGAACCAGCCTGTGACTGACATTTTCCACTTCGTCGTCTATGATGGTGATAACAATCGTCTGGAAAACCAGATGTTCACTATCACTATCACCACTACCCAGAGGCAGCCACCTGTTGTCAGCGTCCGCAGTGGCATTAAAGTGAGCACAGTCCCAAATTCACTATTTAAGTAGTTTTAAATGTCATTTTTTCTTGCGTTTCTGAACTTTTTATGGTGTTTTCCATGGACAGGTTCAGGAAGGTGGGAGAGTCCAGCTCTCAACCAATCACATTATTGCATCTGACCCAGACACACCCAGAAAGGACCTGCTGGTTTGGCTGATCAGACCACCTAAATTTGGCTTCATTGAGAACACAAAGCAAGGTGAATCACTCAGCTGTCTCCACATAGCATTATATGCTAGCTTCCATTTCTTAGTGACTGAGGGCAGATGTTTTTGTTTGCTAACGGTGTAGTTTTATTCATGAGCAGAGCACTTGTTTACTGTAATAAAGAGTTGTAGATGTGCAAAACTCAGATTGAAGCTGCCTTCCTGTTTGAGGGGGAAGATGAAAGGAGAAACAGATCATGGAGGAACAAAAACACCTAACGACAGTTGTACAAAATTTAGCTCTTCCATCTAATACACATACGCAAAACTCTGATGTCTGCTTTTGATGTTTCTACTTTACGAACACACACAATTTATTGATATGTTTTTGATTTTTGTTTTTGTTCCTCAAAGCCATTTACTCATAAATATTATCATGTTGTTGTCTTCCAGCCGACAGTCTCTCTCTTTTGTTTTGTCTAGAAAGACGCTTGGTTGTTGTTGATTTCTAAGATCAGTTCTTGATTCAATATTAGGCACAGAAAAGTTGTTCCTAGTAAAATGCAGCCTTTAGAACTATGAAATTAAAGGGTTAGTTCTTCTGAAAACGTACATTTACTATATTTACTCACCCTCGGGTGGTCCTAAAGTTTTATGAGTTTCTTTTTTTTTTAGCTGAACACAAAATAAGATATTTGAAAAATGTTGAAAACTGGTAATGACTGGCATATATAGTAGGAAAAAATAAATAGGTATGGAGATCAATGGCTACCAGTTTCTAATATTTTTCAAAATATCTTCTTTTATTTTTAACAAAATAGAAGAAAGAAGCCGGGGGAGAGTAAATGACAGAATTTTTTTCTTTTTTTAACACATTGATGTCTGTTATTTGTGTCCAGCAGTGGTTGGTGAATCTCGCGTGATCAGCACTGATGTCCCCTTCACTATTGAAGACCTCAATTCAGACCATATCTTCTACGTGCAAAACATTCGCCAATCCAATATTCGACAGGATGTCTTCAGCTTTTATATCAGTGATGGATCAAGTCAAACTGAGGCTTTTGATGTCACTATAGATATTCAGGTATTACATTTAGCCCATAATATTTAATTTTAGTTTGTGTAATTAGTGAACAGCTAACATGCGGCCTTTAAAAGGATGGGATTATAGGCAACCAACACTTGCAATACTAATTTTTATCCTTGCTCTTCCTATTAAGCATGTACATTTTCTTGTCAACTGTGGTGGCTGTTTGTAGTTAGCTAGCCGTTTGCCGTTGTTTTTTTGGGGTTTTTTTTTTTTAGTAAGAATGGCTTTAGTCAATTTGTCGACGTCATAAAAAAACTCATTAGTGCATATGAAGGGTTTCGTTGCAAAACAAGATATATCCATTTTGAAAAATATTGGTTATTTGACATTATTATTTAAGACATCAACAGTCAAGTTCATTCACAATTTTTATACATCAAACTATTTCTTGAGCTCAGTGAAGGCCAGGAACTTAACATTTTTAAATCCGGGATATTTTTTATTAAATTTTATGTCAATAAATAGTTCATAAATAAGTCAAAAACCATGCCAAAATGTAACATATTAATCTTAACATTGTCAAAAATCTTAAATTGGTTAAAAAAATCATCATCGTCAAATCAAAAAATCATCATATTTAATTAATTATTTCACTGTAATAACAATAATAATAAAAGCTTATTTATTGGTTGTTGTCAAAAAGCAAAACCGTTTATTTTTCTCCATAACAACCTGTGCCCTTTATGTTCCCTTATAGTAAATTAACAAAAACAAGAATTAACGTGAGGTTTTAGGCTATAAATAATAGGTGCAACAGCATAAATAAATCTTCAAATAGGCTTCTCAGCTTCATTTAAGAAGTTATTTAAAAAAATAAACTTACAAAGGACACTTAGAAATGTCGCCTTGCAGACAGGTATCTTGTGATAGGGAGGAGTGCAGGAAAAAAGGCACTTCCTGGCCTTCATCTTAATTGACATCAAGGGAGACTCGTTCCCTGCTGCATTTGCATGTTGTTGACAGACGTATTTTATTCTGATCCACTTTTGTAGCGTTTTGTTAATTTTTCTGAAGTTGAAGGCTTCATCTTCTATCACTAAATCAATGAGCAAACTCGGAACACTTTACCGGTGGCGACTCTCTTCCCAGGGGATGCTGAGCTCGCGCAGCATCCTGAACGTTCTATAACTGTTATATTACACTTTGTAAAGAAACTTTTCTGGCGGATATCACGTTTTGTGAAAAAAAAAAATTTTACTAGGTCTAAAATGTGCATTCTTAAATGTTATTAATGGCAGCAATTCACACATAGATTAAGGTACATCTGAACAGTCATTTCCAATAATAAAGTCCAAATGTCAAAAAATGGCGTTTATCGCATTTTGCAACCAAACTCTTCAAATGTGATTAGAAATATTGGTCTGTGCAACACACATACTAGGCTCTATTTTAACGATCTAGGCTCAAAGTCTAAAGAACTGAATGCTTGACTAGAGAGAAAATAGTTTAACAGACCATCTACAGCAGGGGTCACCAATCCTGGTCCTGGAGGGCCGGTGTCCCTACAGGGTTTTGCTCCAACTTGCCTCAACACACCTGCCTGGATGTTTCAAGTATACCAAGTAAGACCTTGATTAGCTTGTTCAGGTGTGTTTGATTAGGGTTGGAGCTAAAATCTGCAGGACACCGGCCCTCCAGGAACAAGTTTGGTGACCACTGATCTACAGCAAAGATTAAGAATGAGCTTCCTCCATTCGACTTTCGAATTTACTTTCTCTTTACTCTCTCTTTACTTTGCTCCTTTACTTTTGTAGAGTAAGGAAACTGTGTTGTACACACTCCACTGAAGACATTCATTAGCCTATATATTTAATTTTGTGTGTTAAACGCAAAGATTTGTTTAAAAACTATTTCTAAATGTAGTTTTAATTTCCAGCAAACAAATAAATGAACAATAATTACGAAGTGTGGTCAAATATATAACAGTTACTGTATATCCAAACATGTCCTATTCTTATTTCCCATATAGTGACACATACGTCTTTAAAACCCAACAGGTGGACAAATCTACACTTGTTTATATTGAAACAAAAATAAGTATGTGTATTATAAATAATACTGCTAATAATAATATTATAACAACAACTGTCATGAATTTACTGAAAAAAGGCCCCACGGATATGAAGAAGGCATGTAGGTAGTGTTTTTTTGCATCTGAACATACATATTTTATTATTATATATTATATTATTTTAAATAATTTGTATATATTTTATTGTAAATAATAGCACACGTGGCACAAAACGTGAAAATTAGGGTTCCGCTGGTCTGAAAATAGCAAAAAATCGCGCCAAACACGTCTTGCGGCTTATTGTGCCAGGTGTAGGATAGAGCCCACAATGTTCATGACAACATTGACAGTGCCCCTATATTTTGGAATATGCCATGGGTATCTAAATCTGCAGAGTTAAAATGCCTGAACCATCTAATCAAAGTTTTATTTTCACTAAAAACATCTAGTCAAGTGTTTTGGCATTCAAATCTGCCTTCTATGAACACATTTCAAGAGTGCCCCTTCGAAGAAATCATTTTGCGAGTCTATTTTGATCTTACTTGCAGGAAGATTTTCTTTATTTAGCAGTCTCTTAAAAGCAGTTAATTAATTGTTAAAGCTTGTCTGTGTCATGTCTCCATTCCTCCTCTATGTGGTCTCTCTTTTCTGACTTCTCATACTTATCTCTATATGTTTTTTCAATTTTTTATAGCACACCAAAGAGGACCTAGTTCCAATTATCTCTGTAAATAGCATCCACGTGGAGGAGAACTCTGGTGTGGTCATTACCAACTCCTCCCTTAACGTACTGGACCGGGACACGCCAGAGAATGAGCTTTTGCTTACCATCATCAAGAAGCCTTCATACGGTCAGAGCCTCATTTTTTCTGTATTTCCCTTCATATACCTCTACTCCATTCCCCAGTCTGTCACTCATTCATGGCCAGCCTTCAGCAAACATCCATTATTTGCCACATTACCGCTCCATCCGGTACCTGTGCGGCTGATTGATGTTCTTGTCATTGTGCCTTTGCCGCTGACTGTAGAGCCGGTGGAAAGGCCGCGACCCACAAGGCTTCGTTGGTTAAACTTTTATGGATGGATGTCAAGGTGTTCACAGTGGTTTTATTAGGAGTCGCAAGTGAGAAATGGAGCTGACAAAACTGAAATACAGTCCCCGTGTCAGAGTGTTATGACAGCAGTGCAGGCAGCACGAAAAATCACAGCGTGAACATTAGAGGTCAAGTGCACATTCATTTGAAAATGTGAAGAAAAGTGATGTATGTTTATATTATAGATGTGTTTGATGAGAGAACAAAATTATTATGGATCGAGAAGTTGGTCCAAAATGAAACTTTATTCCCTATTTACTCACCCTCGATTGGTTCCAAAACTTTATACGTTTTTTTTTTCTTCTGTTGAACACTAAAGACATTTTGAAGAAAGCTGAAAACCTGTAATTGACTTCTATAGTAGAATAAAAAAATGTGAAAGTCAATTCAGGTTTCCAGTTTTCTTCAAAATAATATTATTTTGTGTTTGACAAAAGAAAGAAACTCTTAAAAGGTTGAAACAATAAATGATGACATATTTTTCTTTTTTGAGTGAACCAGCTATCAATTTAATGTCAATTTATGTGCAATGTTTTCTGTATGTCGCACCACAGGGAAGATACGCAGAAGGCAGTTTTACTCAGACCCTTTAGAGAATGGCAGGATTCTTCAGCAGGGATCCACCTTCACCTACCAGGACATTCTTGATGAGCTGCTGGTCTACACTCCAGACGGACGTGGCTCTGGGACTGATGAGATCCAGTTTTCAGTAACAGACGGCATATACACGGAGACGGGCCGTCTGGAGTTCAGTATGGATATTAGGAAGAAAGAAGGCCCTAGAGTAACAATCAACAGAGGACTGCAGCTCGCAGCAGGTTAGGAGACAGTTACATTAGCTTGGCATCTGCTTACTGATTGATTGTGATGATTACTTTAAAGGAAAAGTTGTATCAAATATAAATAAAAATAGCTTAATTTACTTACCCTCAGGCCATACAAGAATCCATTGTCCTTGGTGATGAAAAATGCAAATCGGTATATATAAAAGTCTGTTACTTTTGTCCAGCATGTTTTCATCTTTCATCTTTATTTCTATACGATTGTGTTAAAGCAGCTTAACATAGGAGATCATAGTAAATTGAAACAGTGTCAGTCCAGTTTTCAGAGTTGAATTTCTGTTTAGTTCAGTTCAGTGTGGTTTAATTTTCACTGCTGAAAGTCCAAACACTGAAGAGCAAATCCATCGATGTGCAGCTCCACATATCCCGAACCATGCAAGCCAGTGGCGACAGTGGCGAGGAACCAATTTCACCAATTGATGAAAATAAAGTGGAAAAAAAGTCTTGAGAGAAATCATGCTTAAGTTGGGCACGACCATTTCTCCTCTGGCCAAACTTCTTGTGTAGAGCTGCAGTCTAGGGGCTGGAGGCTGAAGAACGCTGAACGTCAATCGTGGAGAAGCTGCAGGAGGAGAGGTCACCAGCTGGTGTACAGGCTCGCCCTTCAGGATCAATACGAAGACTCGTCTGTCACTGTGGTCTTTCGATATTAGTGCTCATGCTCTCCACTCCTCCATCATTATAACAGCAGCTACTCACGATACGGCCTGGTCCAGGAGTATGGAAACCTCAGGAATGATAAAAAAGACTAACATAAGTACAGATGCCGTTCAAATTATAATGTCTTTAGGGAAGTGTTCCCAGCTCCGGTTGCCCTAAATAATTAAGACTAACAATTCTTTAGAGGATTTTGATTTCAAAAGCATTTGTGCTTTATGTGAATGCTAATGCAAAGAGTTGTGTCTTTTATCTAGTTTTAAACTGACAGAGTGTGTCTGTTTACCGAACTGTGCTAGTTTAGGTGCCAGATATGAAAAAGATCTACAGTTGATTTTGATATTCTGCAAATATCAATCAAAGGAATGAGCAAGGTTTCAAAAATGTAAGCAGCAAAAGTAATTAGGAGCCATTGTATTGTATAATATTATTGTTAGTATATATTATATTATATTATATTATATTATGATATATTATATTATGATATAGTATATTATGATATAGTATATTATATTATATTATATTATATTATATTATATACATTTTTGTGTAATATTATTTCATTTTTTCAGTTAAGCTTTTTTTTCTCACATTTAATTTAATGACAAGAGCAGCTGTAGTGAAGAATAAAACAAATTGAAAATTACATAAGTTGGTTCCGTTTACTCTGCTGTGTTGAATTATAAAACTTTTTTTTTTTTTTTTTTTGCCAGTAGACCAGAGTTGTTGTTACATTTTCCTTGGCTTTGTTGCAAAAACCTCTTAATTAAAGAAAATGGCTATTAAAATATCCCCCCCAAAATGCTTTAAACAATGATACCACATTTCAGCAGCAATAATAGGAAAACAGTTCACCCATTCATTATTAACTCATCCTCATTTCCTGTATTTTTAGTCTGTGGTGCACAAAAGGAGATAAAAAGGAAGCACATAAAAGTCTTCTGAAGCCATTAAAACAGCTTTGTGGAAAAACCAGACCAAAATTATAACATTATGCAATAGTAATCTCTCTCTGCCAGAGTTCTTAGTGAAAAGTGCCGCATGCTGAGGATCACTGCAGTAATCCAGTCCAGGCAGATCTCGCTTCACTATGATGCACCCATTGAATCATTTGATGTGAATAATTGAGGCTCATATCTAGATAGACTGAGCTGATGTTAATAAATAACTTAAATGCCCCTGTCATTCTCTTTCTTACCATTGCTCATTCCTCCCGGCAGGTTCTTCATCTAAAATCACGGAGCAGCATCTGAAAGGAACGGACATAGATTCAGATAACCTAAAGCTGAGGTTCACCCTCATCAAAGACCTAAGTGTGGGCTCCCTGATGCTGAAAACAGGCAGAAACAAGGCTCGCGTATCCGTGAAAGGACCCGTCACCAGCTTCACCCAGGATGACATCAACAAAGGTTTTTTTCTTCTTCTCTCTATTTTGAACTCTCTCTAATACTCATCCATAGGGAATTTCTAAGCAGGGATGCATTGCCTCATGTGGTTTTGTGCCTCGTCTGTCAGGACATGTGGAATACATTCATGAAAAAGGAGAGAGCGGAGGAAGCTTCTCTTTTAAGTTCAACCTAGAAGATCCTGAGGGAAACAGAGTCATTGACCAGTCTTTCTTCATTAGTGTTCTGGGTGAGCTGAGAAGTTATTTTGAGACACTGAAAGTGAGTGTTCTGGAATGATGGAAGAAAGATATATTAATACATCACGGTTCCTTTTTTTTAAATCTCTCTCTCTTTCTTAGAGGACAGACTTCCTCCCACAGTGGTGGTTAATAAGGGTTTAGTTTTGGATGAGAACTCCTTGAAGAAGATCACAACTCTGCAGCTCTCCTCTACTGATCAGGATAGTGAACCCGATGAACTCGTTTACCGAATCACTAAACAGCCCCAGCTTGGTCATCTAGAACATTCTAACAAACCAGGTACATGAAACAGACAAATTAACTCTATACTTAGTATGTCTAATTCATGTCCTTCAGTGCAATGTGATTTATACCTTGCTTACACCTTTTTTTATTGGTACCACACTTAATATATCTGAGATAATTAATTCATTGTGTTAGTTAAGGAATTCATCAAAATAAACAGCAAAAATCAGTCCAAGTCCCTCAAAAAATGTTGAAAAAATATAAAAAATTCCAGAACTTGCAAACTGTGTTCAATGAACTGTAGTTTGACCAGTTAACTTAAAAAAGAAGTGATTCTTCTTCACTTGAAAGATTGTAGGTCTTAGTCTGAACAGCTTATTAAAAAGATGTTTGAAGCGATAGTTTACCCAAAAAAGTGTTTCCAAACCTTTTTGGAATTTTCTTTTTCTGTTGAATTTAAAAAATATATATTTAAAAAAATTTTGAAAACCTGTGACTTGAAGCCAATAGTTACAGGTCTCATCTCAACTCAATTCCATCCACTTATCCGGGGTCGAAGCCGGGTTATGGAGGCAGCAGTCCTAGGAGAGATCTCCAGACCTCCCTCTCCCCAAACACTTCTTCCAGCTCCTCCGGGGGGATCCTGAGGCGTTCCCAGGCCAGCCGAGAGACATAGTCCCTCCAGAGTGTCCTGGGTCTTCCCCTTTCGGTCATGACCCAAAGCTCATGACCATAGGTGAGAGTAGGAGTGTAGATTTACCGGTAAGTTGGAAGCTTTGCCTTTTGGCTCAGCTCCTTCTTTACCACAACAGACTGGTACATGGACCGCATTACTGCTGCCGTTGCACCAATCTGCCTGTCAATCTCACATTCTATCCTTCCCTCACTCGTATATAAAACCCCAAGATACTTGAACTCCACCTGGGCTAATGAATCCTTTAACCTGGGGATTTTTTTACAGCAGAGAAGTCAGTGTACTGTTCTAGTAACTGAATAACTCGGGATGTTGTTTTATTTTGTGTCAGAGGGCATATTCAGTATGTTAAAAAGTAAGTAATTAAGTACTTACTGAAGACGCAAACCATTTAATGACAACTCCTTTTAATTTAATGAACTGGTTCGAGTGATTCACTTAGAAAATTTGGTTAAAATAAATGATTCATTCGCGAACAGCCTGTCACCACTACAGATAGTCAGAAACAGAATCTATAGCAGGCCCAAGACTTATATTTTTGCTATGTATTTTTGGCATTTTGACCTCATCGAAGAAAAGAAATGGATTGTTGTTAAGTATAGATTATGTGTGAGTAAAACTCTTGACAACTGCAAAAAAAAAAAAAAAGCACTACACTCGCACCCCACCTAGCTAAACGACAAATGACTGACATCAGTTTAGGTTCTCCAGGTAAAAGAATTTATTTGACTAAGCAAAAAAACAAAAAAATGGTTATTGCTTTTATTGTTGAGGGGATGCAGCCATTGTCTAATGTCAAAGTAATTAATATAGAAATTTTTTTTCTCTTTTGGGAAACCATGTCCACATTTGTAAGGCCTTGTGAAACAATTTATTCAATGTATAAAGCTCAAATAATTATTTTGATTAGGGGATTTGTTTATTGTCTTAATGTTTATTTTTTATTAAACATTTTAAAGGCTTACAATCTGTTTTTGCCCTAATATAAGTTATTTCATGTCAGTACTCTTGGGTGACATTGCAATCTTTATCTCAATGGATAGTCAATTTACTTGACTAATAACACAAAACGTACAAAACTAGCAAACCCATTACTTTACATGCTGTCATTAATGTCTATATACAGCACGTATAGCTCTGGGCTAAGAAAGTTCTCAAAATATAATTTTATCCTACATTTTTTAAAGGAATATGAAGGTGTGGGTTATATTGGTGGTTGTTAAATGCAGTGCTTCTCTATAACAAAATGGTGAAAAAAACACCTGCAAGTTCTGGAAGAGATCAAACCTCAGCCAGGTAAGGTAAAGTAATGCAAAATTTACTTAAAATTATTATTATAACACATTACTATGCATAAAAGTAACTAAATAACACAATTAGTTATTTTTTTTTTGGGGGGGGGGGTAATGTACTACTTTCTAAAGTAACTTTCCCTAACACTGACCACGTCATTGTATAGTTTAGTACTTAACTTTTCTTTACTTTATGTTCTTTCTCCGAGCCATTTCCGGGTTTCTCGGTAGCAGAGGGCATCATAGCTGGGTAAACACAGAGCGTTTACAATCCTATTTGCTCAAGTAATTTAAAAAATAACTCCATGATGGGGTTATCAAGACTTTCAGAAAAAGCAAAATAAATTGTGTAAGACTGATGACAGCAGCTCGATGAGAGAATAACCTCAAAGTTCCTATATGCCACTAATTGGTTGTGTAAACATTATAAAAATGAGTATACTACCTAAAATATTATATTTGTTTCAAAATATCCCTCTCAGCCCTCGGTTTTCCTTTTTTACAACACTTCGGAAATTATTAACAGATTTCATCTAGAACAACAAAAGAGCTTGTATAAGGTTATCACTATTATACTTACTGTACCTAATAATAAAGGTGGTCTCCACTTTCCCAATCTACAATGGTACTACTAGACAACATAGTTATTTTCTACTTTTTACTAATTCTCTTCTAAATCTTCCACACCTTTGATGGATATAGAATCCATTTTTATAAAATCTAAATTACTTTTTTTTTCTATCTTTACTCAGCAGACATTAGATCTTTTAGAAAAGACAAAAATATTGTATCTTCTAATCCTATTTTAATGAATACAATTAATGTCTGGTGTGATAAGTATGTGGTGTTTATAAGTATGTAGATCAGTGCAGAATCATCTTATTATGCTTTACTCCAATATGGGGAAACAAGTGTTTTAAACCAGCTAAATCTGACCCAGCGTTTAATATGTGGTTTGACAAAGGGCTGCAAAAAAATGGAGATTTATATAAAGAAAATGATCTAATGACTTTTGCAAAATTGTAACTTAATTGTAATTAAATATTCCCAAAAAAAAACATTTCTTTAAATTCCTTGAGTTAAGGAGCTATCTTTCTTCTTATCAAGGGGCTAAGCTTACAAAACCTAACAAAGTTAATCTAAGCCCCTTAGACACTGCATTAGAAACACCTTGCATAAGTGGTAAATTGTGTTTTTTAATTTGAAGCAAAAATGATATAATACATTCATAAATGCACATAAATGTTCATACATTAAAAAAAAATCAAAATATTAAAAACATTCAAGGATTTAAGATTATGGTGACCGGTAAATGTCTCATAACATTCTTGTGAAAGGGGTCCATTCAATTCACACATAATAATACAATTTTAGGTAAAGAGAACTACTGGCACTGCTACCTACAAAACAAACAACAAAATAATAACAAAATAACAAACTTGAGTGGAATATTCTACATAGCTAACAACACACAATTGAAAACGTTTATAATAATTATCTTATCAATGATCTATAGGATGAACAACCACGTCTCTAGCACCATATCTAGTTCACATTTTTTATTTTAGTCCTGTATACCAGTTATGTGCACCCATGAGTATAAGGTAATCTCTACTGCCACTGACAAAGATTTACAATATGGGATTTTTATTCAAATATTTTACTTGTGTCTCAGGTATGCATGCACTGGTTACACATTTAAAATGATGTAGCCCCCTTAAGTAGTTTTAGTGCCGTTATGTACTTTTCATTTGCAGCTAATATTTTATAGTGTAACTTGGATACAGAGACATTGTAGCTCTGCAGACAATGCTTTGAAAGCATGTCTGTAGTGTGTAGAGAGCCATTTAAGTTGATCTGTGGGGTATTTATAATGGTGGCAGATGACTTTACATCATTATTTAAAGGCAACTTCTGTAGATGTGCTGTAAATGTCGGGCTGCCGGGTCACTGGGGAAGTTTCACTCAAAATTACATATAGCCATAATTCCAAGACTCACAAATCTGTCATATACAAGAAAACACCTACATGCACAAGCATAACATCATTGCTATTCTGCTCTCTATTGAAGATTTAATCTCTAGAGCGTTAAAGATCATAATATATATTTATAGTTTGTGGTCCTAGTGCATTTATAAAAGCTGGCCACAATTGCCAGGCAATGTTCATGACCTACAGAACTCATGGCAGAACTCATTAGTTGGGAACCTGCCTATAGATCTCTATCAAGGTGTCAGATAAGGTAGTTTCATGGGCGAAGAGCAGTTTTTATTTTCCGCTCTGTCCCTCTTGGTGTTTCATGGATTGCACTCAATGGGATTTCCGGAGCAGCGCATGTTTTATTCATCAATTTCAGTTGACCTGTGGGATATTTTAATGGTGGCAAGTGAGTTTACATTATTATTTCATACCGAGTGGAGTGTATTGTATGAAATGGTAGCCTGCCTGGAGAGTTGCACAATATGTGATGTTGTTGCAGGAACACGGATCAGCTCGTTTACCCAGGCTGACCTGGCCTCTCGCAGCATTCAGTATGTGCACACCAGTGAAGACGAGATTCACTCCGATGACTTCACCTTCACTGTATCTGATGGAGGAAACGAGGTGCGCACACACACACACAGATACAGACACACATGGATGCACATACATAAACTGTTGGGCACAAATGTCTAGCGACATAAAAAAAATATGGGAGTAAAAATCAAGTTAAATCTCGAAATAAGAATAAATAAGGAAAATAAATGTCATTAAAATAATATTATTCAATACTGATCATCTGACTGTATAGAACAGGGGTCATCAATCTCGGTCCTGGAGGGCCGGTGTCCCTGCAGGGTTTAGCTCCAAATTGCCTCAACACACCTGCCTGAATGCTTCAAGTATACCTAGTAAGACCTTGATTAGCTTGTTCAGGTGTGTTTGATTAGGGTTGGAGCTAAAATTTGCAGGACACCGGCCCTCCAGGAACAAGTTTGGTGACAGCTGGTATAGAAGGTCAGCTGGTTTCTGTGGACTAATGTTAAATCATGCATGTTAATGTTAAACAATGTTAATTTTTTTTTTCTTTAAACTAAAATAAAATATTCACAAAAAATAAAAAGCTAAATTTTATCTGCTGTGTAAAACATGTGCCGGACAAGTACACTACCTAACAAAAATCTTGTTGTTAATCCTAGTTGTAAGAGCAACAAATAATAACTTGACCTCGAGTTGATCATTTGGAAAAGTGGCAGAATAGTTTTTTTTTTTTTTTGATGAATCATCTGTTGAACTGCATCCCAATCATCACAAAAACTGCTGAAATTGGAACCCGCATGTATTCTCACGAAATCAGTCAAGTTTAGTGAAGGAAAAATCATGATTTTGGATTACAATCAGTATGGGGGCGTGCGAGAGATCTGCAGAGTGGATGGCAACATTAACAGCCTGAGGTATCAAGACAATTGTGCTGCCCATTACATTACAAACCACAGGAGAGGGCAAATTCTTAAGCAGGATAGCGCTCCTTGTCATACTTCAGCCTCCACAGGCATTGAAGATGAATCCAAACAATCTTGATGAGCTCTGGGAGTCCTGCAAGAAAGCTTTCTTTGCCATTCCAGATAACATTATTAATCAGTTATTTGAGTCATTGCAGATATGTTTGGATGCAGTCCTCCAAACCCAGAGTCATACACTATATATTCTTTTTCTACTTCACCATGACTTTATATTATACTATACACTATTTCTGTTAAGTGACAAGACTTTTGTTTCAGTGAAGACCTTACTGTCCTAATTAAATAATCAAAATCAATGTCTTTAAATATTTAGCATTGCAAAAAGGAAAAATATATGGGAGTAAGTATAAAAACTGAAATTTTAGTGGCATTTATATAGACATTTTTTAATTATTTAGAAAAATTACTTAACAATATTTTGGAATGGAAATGCACTATACAAACACCCACATGTCTGTCTCATTCAGCTTAAATCCAAATGTGTATGCACAAATTTCACTCATAAACACTCATACACACTTTTTTTTTTTTTTTTACAAAAAAAGAACACTTCCAACCCGTAGCCAGCCTATTAAAACGGGTGTTTCTTTTTTCTTAAAAAGTGTACCTTTTTCGCAGTCATTCGCCTCATTTTATATTAAATTGTGAAGTTCAAATACTGCATTTTAGTAAGTTTTTAAGCACTAAATTTAACTTGTCAGAGGGTGATCATTACCACACTTTTTGATGCAACACAAATATTTTCTACATTTACATTCTACATTATTTTCTGCTTACCATACTATTTTATCTTTACAAAAATTTATGTGTATTACGTTATTACAGTTTTATAAATAATGTGATGAGATTATAATTTTAAATAAATTTTAACAAAGCAATATGAAAAAAATATTATCATTCATCATTTAAAAAATAATTAGGAATCTGTTGAAACTTGTTTTAAATTAAAGACTGTAGCCTAAAGACAAATAACAAGCTACCCAGCTAATTTCTTCAGTCAAATTTGTCCATTTTAATAATAATTGATAATTAAATTTGTTTTAAAACTTTCTTTTATCGGTTATTTCAACTATTTATAATGGCATAGTGTCCAAAATGGAACAAATGAGCTCAAATAGAGGCCAAATTCTAGACTTTGTCAGTAGAGGGATGTGTTTTTCAAACAACCCAAACCTCCTTTGGCTACGGCCCTGCACTTCCTCTCACAACAATCTCAATTCTCTCTCTTGCCTTTTCATACTCTCCTCCTTTTCACCTCTGTTCTTTCTATTATGAAAACACACACGCCCACACACACACTAATTAGGGCCGAAAGAGCTTGAATAAACACTGCATAGAGAGTGCCTGAAGAGATTAACATACCGAAGCATTCAAGTTATCCCACAATGACCACTTCTCTCAGTGGGAAACACTCCTCGGCCGTTTTGAATGGGAAATGATTTCCAATTATACTCTGTGTTTGTATTGTGCTGCTCAATTTAAGAAGCATTTTTATTTTGTCAATGGCACCACACAAGATCATATGGCAGTCCTCTTTTGACTGACGCTGACACCTAGTGGCGTGGATGCAAAACTGATAATTTCTAATTATTATTTCGGAAACACTTTAGACACAGTAAACCAAATGTGAAACAAAACGAGTAGATCTTTTTTGTTAATGTGACTTTCAGCTTTGTGTGAGATAAAGCAGCTTTTATTAGACTATTGGAATTTCTAAAGAATTCATCGTTTGTGATATATTGCTTTTGTTTTTTAATCACGAATTTAATCATGTTGGTCCTAAAGGTCTTGAGAGGAAATAGTTTTTTATGTATAGTCAGTATTCCTATGGGTCATGGAATTTTGGGAATATCATGGAATTTTTAAAGGTCTATTTCAGACATTGATATTTTATTTATTTATTTATTTATTTTGTTCAAGTCATGGGGCTTTTTTGTCATATTAATTTTTATTTTTAATTAATCTTTTTTTATTTATTTAAGTAAAATTCAGTCACCAGACTGTTTGTCATACAGGTCTTGTGAACAAAAACTTATGTAGCTATAATGTTACACTGTAAAATAAAAAAAAATTAAAAAAACTTTTTAAAAAATGTAATTTTCTGCCAGCAGGGGCGCATCATATATTAGTAGTAAAATAAAGATTTTATAGTTTACAGTGCATGCATTATATGCAGCCTATACAAACAATAGGTTATTATTTGATTATTAACCTCACTTCAATCCTCATATGATAACTATCTTCAATAGTACAAAAAAAATTTGACAAAATTGTTGTTTCTCTATTTTTACAGAAATAATCTGTAAATATTAATGTTAAATTACGTGTTACTCTCTGAAAATACAGAAAATTTCCCTTTAAATAAACTGAAAAAAAAAACGTAATACCAAAATACAAACAATAAGAATAAATTTAATGTTAGAATGTTTTATTACAGAAAATATCTGTAAAACAACACTGTATAATGGAAATTTTTTTTTTAAATATAAAATACAGACTATTACCTGTAAAATATTGTAGCTAACTAGAATATAAAAAATTATTTAAATGTGTAGTGTAAATTAGATCGCATAAGTGCTCCCTGACAGAATTGCAAACACAACTTATCAGGTTGTGTGTAATTTCCAGTTGTTTTGATAATTGTTTAGCCTCTGCAAACATTATTTCATCATTAATTTAAAGTTTTACATTTGTGTTATTTAATCATTATTTAATGGATAAATCTGTTGTTATGAGAAATGTTATATTAAATTTAATTCATCTTTATTTCTATAGCACATATACAATCTAGATTGTGTCAAAGCAGCTTAACGCAGATTAAGTTCTAGCTATCTGAAACTGCTTCAGTCAGTTTTCACAGTTTATGTTCAGTTTAGTTCAGTTCAGTGTATTGTAAATGTCTCTGCTGAAAGCTGAAACACTGAAGAGCAAATCCAACCACGAAAACTGAAAAGAATAACAAGCTCCTTGAATGAAATAAGGCAAATCAATCTAAATTGGTCTCTGTATCCTTATCAGATGTGATGTGACATCACACAATAAAATATATATATTTTTTTTCCTTTATAAAAAGGAATCAGACTCTTTACTTTTATCCTTTCAGTGCTTCATGAGATCATGAAAATTCAGATTTTAGTCAGTGAAACTCAGGGAAAAGTCAGAGAATCTGAAAGTTATCTTACAATAGTAGTAAAATAGATCCATGCAAAAAAAGGGGGATATGTTAAAAGTTTAGTACAAAAAAACTTTATTGCTAAAAAGTTATGCTATTGGAAATAACAAAGCCAAAATAATCACAGAAAAATGACATGAAAAGAAAATGTCAATATGAATGCAAAGGTTTTAACAGACTGTTAAATGTCAGATTGATTGGAGTTTGAATTGAATTGAATATTTATTTGACACATTTTAGACAAACTGTACAAAAAACAAGTATTCCATACATTTTTAAATAAAACCATTGAGGATAAAAACACAATAAAACCCTGGGCTTGTTTCCATTGTGGTTCTTGCTGAAAACAAAAACAAAATATGGCTGCAAAATACAGTTAATACATAAACCAAACAGTACCTCCATATTTTAAAACAGGAACAAAATTATTTACAATACAATAACATATGAAAAAACATCATCATCTACCATGCAAATAACTATCCTCATCAAACTTCCATCTTTTATCTTTGTGACATATATTTTGAAAAAGCATTCTTTATTTCTTATTCATTCATTTTTTTCAGCTTAGTCCCTTTATTAATCCAGGGTCGCCACAGCGGAATGAATTGCCAACTCATCCAGCACATGTTATATGCAGTGAATGCCCTTCCGGCTGTAACCCATCACTGGGAAACATCCATACACTCTCATTTACACTCATACATTAACGACAGTTTAGCCTACTCATGTCACCTGTACCGCATGTCTTTGGATTGTGGGGGAAACCGGAGCACCTAGAGGAAATCCACAAGAATGCTGGGAGAACATGCAAACTCCACTAAGACACGCCAACTGACCCAGCTGAGGCTCAAACCAGCGATCTTCTTGCTGTGAGGCGACAGCACTACCCACTTCGCCACTGTGTCACCTTCATTATTTCTTTATAACTGAATTATTTGTAATAAAAATAGTCTAACTCTAATGTACACTTTTTACTTCACTGCAGCTGTCGGTGGTCTAAATCCAATTCTCTTTATGGTCTCTGTTTCTCTACACTTATCTCTCATTTGATAATGCCATAAATTTAATCAGCAGGAAATTTGATTGTGTGCTGCAGAACAATTGAGCTCATATCTAGATTGAATTACAGAGCGCTGTGTGCGTTTAATTATTTCATTAGCGTTGTGCTTCTGTCCTCCAGGTCTCACAGACGTTCTACATCACCATCCGGCCGGTGGACGATGCTCTGCCTGTGTTGCAGGTGCCCGGCATGAGGGTGCAGGAGGGCGTGAGGAAGACCATCACTGAGTTTGAGCTCAAGGCCACCGATGCTGACACTGAGGTACAATTTTAGCATAGACTGCACTTGCAATTCTTCTGTGTATATTTATATTTATTTATAGTATTTATATTAAAAACAATTGTGACGTTTGAATGCTGTGTGTTATTTTTTTTAAAGAGCTGCATGATTAATGTTACTGTAAGGCAATTTTGTGTAAACATAGAGATGCAAAAAAGAGATTGCATTCCATGTGGAAGTGGAGAATGGAATTGCATAGTTTTGCCTGGAGCATTTTAGTTTAGTTTAGTTTATTTATTTATTTATTTTATTTATTTATTTATTTTTTTGTCAGAAAAAACAATGGAGTTGGTCAAATGTTACTGCAGAAGCTTTTTTTGCAGAATAATCAAAGCAGTGTTGTTTTATGAAGAGACACTATAAAGTTGCATGATGAACAGATTTAATTGATCCATTTATTCCTAAAAAAAACAGTGACTTTGATCTCTGTATGATTATTTAAAATGTTTTTTTTTGGTACATATTTGAGAGAGTCCTGACACTTAATAATACTTTAATGATCAATAAAACGTGTACCACTGTAGTGACACCTTTAATGAGACATTTTTGTCAAATTCATTTTGTTCCACTGGAAAAAAGTGGCCTCATAACACTCATGTTGATGACAGATTTATGACAAGTTATGTTGTCTTGGTAATGTCAGGTTGTCACGTATTGTAAGTTTTGATGTATTTGTTTATGACAATATGTCATTTTTGCATTTAAAATGACATGAGTGAATGATACTTAATAAAGTTGTCATAAGCATGCATACAATCTCATTCATATTTATGTCATGATAATGACATAATCATAATGATTAAGGTTTCATACACTGTAAAAAAATTCTGGTTGCCTTCATTTTTTAAGCTAAATCAAATTATGAGCCAATTAAATTTATATTATGTTAAACTGACTTATGGCGACACAGTGGCGCAGTGTGTAGCATAATCGCCTCACAGCAAGAAGGTCGCTGGTTTGAGCCCTGGCTGGGTCAGTTGGCGTTTCGGTGTGGAGTTTGTATGTTCTCTCTGTGTTCGCGTGGGTTTCCTCCGGGTGCTTCAGTTTACCCCACAGGTCCAAAGACATGCGGTAGGGGTGAATTGGGTATGTGTAGTGTATGTGTGTGAATGAGTGTGTATTGGTGTTCCCTAGTGATGGGTTGCAGCTGGAAGGGCATCCGCTGCGTAAAATATATGCTGCATAAGTTGGCGGTTCTTTCCGCTGTGGCGACCCTTGCTAAATAAAGGGACTAATCCGAAAAGAAAATAAATAAATGAATGAGACTTAAAACAGCTTGTGTAACTTATAAAATTAGGTTAGACCATGATTAACTTAGTAAGTAATTTTAATAAGTTACAAATATCTAAAAAAAATTTGCTGTCAGGACTAATAGATCATATAATTTTATGACACCTCATTTGAGTAGAATGTTACCTTTTATTCTTAATCCTATGAAAATTCTTCAACACTCTTTAAAAGTACAAAAAAATACTCATTATACACAAATGTGTTTTCATTGTTCATATACTTTGAAAATGTAATATACAGTTGAAGTCAGAATTATTAGCCCCTCTGAATTATTAGACCGTTAGTTTATTTTTCCCCCAATTTCTGTTTAATGGAGAGAAGATTTTTATAACACATTTCTAAACATAATAGTTTTAATAACTCATTGCTAATACCTGATTTATTTTATCTTTACCATGATGACAGTAAATAATATTTGACTAAATATTTTTCAAGACACTTCTGTACAGCTTAACGTGACATTTAAAGGCTTAACTAGGTTAATTAGGTTAACTAGGCAGGTTAGGGTCATTAGGCAAGTTATTGCATAACATTGGTTTGTTCTGTAGACTATCGAAAAAAAATTTGCTTAAAGTGGCTAATAATTTGGACCTTAAAATCATTCTTAAAAAAATCAAAACTGCTTTTATTCTACTCGAAATAAAACAAATAAGACTTTCACCAGAAGAATAAATATTATCAGACATACTGTGAAAATTTACTTGCTCTGTTAAACATCATTTGTAAAATATAAAAAAAAATAATAATAATAATTTAAAGGTGGGCTAATAATTCTGACTTCAACTGTATGTCAGTGCTGATAGCCTCGGGGCAAGATGTAGTGCCATTGCGCTTCTGACCTTTTACAGTCCCATCTTTTCTATCTCTCTCTCTCTCTAAAACATACTGTCCAATTATAATAAAGGCCAAAATGTCAAAAAGATTCATATAAATGGCAAAAATACATTAAACAAAATTTTTGCTATCAAATACTTCAGTTTTCACTGTCATATGGTCCTTCGGAAATAATTCTGACCTAATGCTGATATGTTCTCGAAAATCATGTATTTCCTATTATTAATGCTAAAAAACAGGCCCACTGCTTAGTAGTTTTGTGGAAATCTTGCTATATTTTTCTTCAATGAATAGAAAGATAAATAAAACATTACTGGCTGAAGCGTCTTTGATGCTGTAGACAAAATTATGCGCAATCATGTCATACTAATGTGGGAAGTGGGCGAAGAGCGGATGGAAATGGAAAACATTTTTAGCAGAGTTGAAATTACTGTCACCCTGCTTGACATATGCTAAGTCTTTTACACCTGACATCTGTCGCACTAAACCTCATTTACTTCTTTTGTTAATTTTATTTCACACCTGTTTGACTTTCTCTCTCACTCTCTCTCTTTCTCTGCAATTTTCTGTCAGGAGGACTCTGTCACTTTCACCATTGTTCAGGCACCTCGTCATGGGACCATCGAGCGCACCAGTAATGGTCAGCATTATCGTCAGACAAACACCTTCACTATGGACGACGTCTACCAGAACCGCATCAGTTACAACCATGATGGCAGTAACTCCCTCAAAGATCGATTCACCTTCACTGTCGGTGACGGCACCAACATGTTCTTCATCATCGAGGAGGGTGGAAAAGAGGTTGGTTCGACTTCATGTAACCCCTTGTATTTTTTAATTATCATTTTATACTGTGAAGTGCATCAATATAAACTAGAATTTAAAATCATAACAATATTTCACAATATTAGCAATCAATTAAATAAATGCAGCCTCAGTAATCTTACATTTATTTAATTGTCTTTGATATTATGCATGTGGCCAGTTGTTGTGATTTCCTTTCCTTCAGCTTAGTCCCTTTATTCATTAGGGGTCTTCACAGTGGAATGAACCGCCAACTTATCCGCCATATGTTTTACACAGCAGATGCCCTTTCAGTTGCAACCCAGATCTGGGAAACACCCATCCACCCTCATTCACACGCGCTCACACACATACACACACACACACACACACACACACACACACACACACACACACACACTCATTCACTACAGCATACCTGTCAAGTTCCAACACTCCCATTTTTTTCCGGGAGTCATACCATTTCACCACCCCCACCCCCCTGTACTCAGCTTTTTGGTATAATCTATATCACCCCCGGATCGCCGACTTTGGTATAAAATCCGATTGCAGCAGCTGCCCGAAACCCAGCGCATAGTACAAACACCTAGACATCCCCTCTACTCTGCCAAACGAACCAGTGACCTTCTTGCTGTGCCGCCCAATTGTTGTCAGTGTTTCATTAATAAAAGGGCATATGTTCTCTTGAATATAGTAACAACTCAAAGAGATGATTTAAATAGACTAATGGGCTGTTCTGAAACACCTTGAGGATTTTTAATGATATCAGATGACCTCAGATTATCATGTCATCTGAAGGACTGTGCCTTTTTAAAGCGTAGTTGCCCCGTCATTGTACTGCAGCATTAGAACCCATGCAGAGCACAGGATGAGTGCCTCCTGCTGACATCACTTACATATTTTTCATAAAAACTTTTTTGTTTAGCATTGGAGGGGAACCACGTGAGAGCTGCAAGGTGATCTTCTTGTGGGAGTTGTTTGTGCTTTATCTCTCTTTCTCTCGCTCTCTAGTAATGATACTGTAAATTCAGCTTTAAAAAGAAGAGTAGATAAAATGGTGTTAGTAATAGTTTTTAGATTATGAATAATATTTGTATGATTTTATACTATAGAATATGTTAAAATAGGAAATGACGTTTTAAATAGTTATTATATTCTCAGTATTATATTTACAATAATTTTGATGAAATAAACTAGAGCTGCACAATATATTGTTTACTCCTCAATATTACAATGTGCACATCCACAGCAGTCACATCGCAAGAAATGCAATGTTGAGCGTTAATTTATAGTTGACCAGGAGCTATATTATTGTATTTATCAATTGTATTGAACTACTAAAAATATTTTTTTTCTTTTTGTCTTGTTTCTAATCCAAATATCTACATTTCAATGCAAAAACAAGATGATTTTACTTACCCCATTGAAACATATTTAGCTTGTATTAAGAAAAAACTCTTCATTTTGACAAATTCGCACAACTTTTTTAACTTCTGAAGGTGCAAATTGTGAAGGTGAAAGAAGTTTTAGATATTGCCACTAGAAACGAGACCAAACAAAGTGAGAAAATCAGTTTTTGCATTGTGATTATTCAATTTCTGCAACTTACCACTGTTGGACTGGCCAGAAAACCATCGATTACAGCTATTCAAACCATCTTGTGAAACTGTATTCATATCGCAATATTTATCACAGAAGAATAAAATATCGCAGTATCAGATTTTTCCAATATAGCGCAACCTAAAATTAACCCATCATCGGTGGGCACAATAAACATAAGAGAGAAAACAAACAGCAGTGCATGCATACAGCGTTTTTTTTCTTCAGTAATATACTGAAAATCTGTTTAGTTTTTTTTTTACTTTTTTGTTGTTTTTCAAGTTTATAAAAAGAAAATAAATAACCATATATTTCACCTATTGAGTCCATTTGTTTAACGTAGCCATTTGGGCAGCATGTCACCTCTCAGTCTCTTTCGCTCCATCATAATAACTCTATCCATCAGCAGTGGTGTTTTCCTCTGGCTGCGTCAGCTGCCTGTCAGGCATTCAGGGAGGTAAATGGTCTCCCGGTGGGCATTGAAAAAGGACCACCTCATCTTGTCATAAGATGAAAAAATAACAGCCCTGTGACAGTGTTTAATGGTGTCTGGGAAACCATTATTCAGCACTTCAGATGGCCAAAGCTTATATTACAATTAAAATAGGTTTGATCTGATATCAAATGGATGTTAAAGTGAGTGTTGAAGGTAAATGCAAAAGAGTTACTTTTTATGGAAATACTAGGGCAGGCCAGGCTGAATTTAATTTTTCTTTTCAAGAAAGTCAATACCTACAATACAGAATTATGTACAAGAGAACTTTCAGAATACTGTAATTGTTACAAAACCTGAATGTAATACAATATTAAGTAAATGAAAGGAAATGAGAGAAAAAAAATAATAAAAGATGAACTAAAACATCAGTGGAAGGAACAATATAATGGTGGCCTTGCATTGTTGCATTGGATGTAACCATACTGAAATATAATATATATCTATTTTAATTATCACAGTCCAACAATTATTTTCACTTACTCCATAAAATACCCCTTTATGCAATTTGTATTTGTTTTAAAGTGAAAGCAAGGGTTTTCATCTTCCCAATTTCCATTGCAATTACTTTCCATTCAAACCCAGGCTCATTCTGAAAACGTACCGCCTTATACGTTTCTGGAGAGTGCCAAATACATCTCAGGAGGTACATTTTATTGCAGTTTTTGTTTTCACAAATCTACCAGAGGCTGCTGTGTATGCTTTTTCAGATCTTAATTTTCTCTCGAAAGTGCCATTCGCACCTGCTGTTCTTATGTAAATCCACCAGAGGTCGTTGTTGTCTGACTGACTGACCAATTGAATAACCTACCCTCCACTTTCCCTCAAACCAACCAATAGTGTTTTCAAAAACACAGATTGACCAGCGCCCACCCATTTCCCTAAACCCCAAAAAAATCAATCCAGAAAAAGAAAAGCTCTCGTCAGATTTTTACCACGTTTTCGGATTTTACCACCATCTCACTCTGTTTTTTACTTGTTTAATTTATTTTTTGGTGTCTGTTATTGTCTTACCTGCCTTCTGGAATTGTCCTTCACCAGACTTAAACTCCATTGTCGTGGTCAACTCCCCTCTGCATCTTAAGTCCACCGACATATATGTCAAGCTACTGGACAAACTGGTAACAGTGGGAATGCGTCAATAAGGAAGTAAGCGGTCAGCTGGTAAACACAAAAGGGAGCGGCGTTATACCATCCCGTAGCGTTTGTTTTAAAGACGAAATGCAACCATACATACTTCTGGCTGAATAATTTGATCTCCAGAAATGTATAAGGGGAATGCTTTCAAAACGAACCATGTTGTACCATTCTTTTAGACTTTGTCAAAGCAGATTTTCAATGTGTGTGTGAATGTCTAAAAACGATTGTCTGTTACAGGTTGTCACTGCTGCTCCTCAAAAGTTTAAAATTGACATTTTACCTGTTGATGACGGGACCCCTCGTATTGTTACCAACCTGGGCCTGCAGTGGCTGGAGTACATGGAAAATAAGGTCACCTCAGTTACACTGCTTTGTATTTATTATTACAGAAGTGTTTTGCAATCACAAACAGCACACGTCTGCCTCCTACAGCCTATTTCATTAGAATTCTACCATTTAATTCGCTTAAACCAAAGTATTGAATAATGTTTTGCTGTGAAATGGAATTTTAGGCCACTAATCTGATCTCCAAGAAGGAGCTTTTCACTATCGATCCAGACACAGATGATGGACAGCTGACTTATGAAATCACTACAGAAGCTAAGCACGGCTACCTGGAGAGTAAACTCAATCCTGGCAAACCTATCACCTCTTTCACACAAGGTATTACTGACACCATTACTGAATAGTCAAAAGCTCTGTGACTAAATTCTGGACAACAGCCAGAGAGAGACATCCCTTGTTTAATCTGCAATAAATTAGATGTGCAGTTCTTCCTGTCTTTGGTCCACTTATGTCTCTCCAAAACATGTGTTGATGCCTTTCTCCATATTGATTGCTGAGCATTTTTGGGGAATTTAATGTTTGAGAATGAATTAGCACTCTTAATCTTCTTTTTTACCTCAAAATGTAATTTCAATCATATAAGACCTTTATAACATCCAGGGCTTGACATTAACTTTTTTGACCACCAGCCACTGTGGCTAGTGGTTTTCCGACGTTACTAGCCACTTGCCATTTCCACTCGCCAAAATTTTGTTGTTGGGAAAATATGTTTTATATGCATAAATGTGACTTAAAAATAGCTCATTTTTAAATTTTGTGTATGTCCACATACCTCCTCATTAATTTAGCTTTTTTATTTTTTTATTTCACATGACTTTTTAGATCTCAACAATGGGGATTTACTATTTTTTTTCTCTGGCCACATTAAACTAATGATTTCCTTGCCAAAAATTAAGAAACGTGTCAAAACAAATGTAGCTGTGTACATACACTTTTTAAACTCATATATATTTATACTCTCACTTTTATACTTTTCTTCATACTTTAAAGAATAAAAAACTGTTGACTTAAAAAAAAAATAATCTCATGGATCTAAAACTATAGACCAGGGGTGGCCAACCCTGTTTCTGGAGAGCCACCTTCCTGCAGATTTCAGTTGCTACCCATATCAAACACACCTGAACCAATTAATTAGGACCTAAACACCACGTGATAATTACAGGCAGGTGTGTTTGATATGGGTTGCAACTGAAATCTGCAGGAAGGTGGCTCTCCAGGAACAGGGTTGGCCACCCCTGCTATAGACAGTGGTCTGTCCTGGCTAAAGTTCCCAGATCACCAGTTGACTACACATGAATAAAGAGTTAATCTCCTATTAAAGCAATGTTATTGTAAAGGATAACTAAACCATATTAATGAAAATAACTATAAGCAAAGGAAAGCAGGTAAAAAACATTCTGAGTGGGACAGTGAAAGGATGATCGTGTGCGCACGATTAACTGTAGGCCCAGTAATAATATGTTCAAAGAGTGGTAAAAGCGAAAAATCTAGAGATCTCTTGAAAGCAGCAGGACTGTGGACACACAAGTGCTCCTTTTTCCGATCTATTTGAAAGGAAATAATCACACCAATTGCATTTCCAGGCATGGTAGTTGCGCAAAGAAACAGGAGCTTTTAAGCACTGGTGCACTTTACATCAGCTGTGCCTCGCTCACAACGTCAGTGAGTGAGGATCGCCTGTCTCACCATGCACCTGGTCATCCTCTCATTTGGTATTCACCTGCTTTCTTTGCTCACGAAAATAGTTATCTATCCTGCTGCTTCTCAATCCTAAGAGCATTTGCACGCATATTGACAAATGGTTCTAAACTAAAATTCTAATCTATAGGGACGAGGCAACTTTGGAAACTTAAAGTATTTTCAGTCAGCCAAAGTGGCTAGTGGGGGTGTCTAACTCACCACACCTGAAATTTACCTGCATTTGGCGGATGGCGGGTATTAATGTCAAGCCCTGATAACATCAATTAAAATGTTATGATGAAATCCTGTCCTTCCATTGACGGCCTATTCAAACATTCATAACAAATGAGTCTGTATATGAATCAAGAAGTTTAATCTAAGCAGTTCAAAGCCTTCTGAAGAGACACGATCATTTGATATGATGAAGAGATTTAATTTAGCCATTTATTCACATTGGAACAGTGATTTTGATCTTATTTTGAATGTTTAGAAGTGTCTAATGTTTAAATGAGCCTCTACAGTGAACAGACTTTCAATGGAAGCGCAGTCTTAGGATTGATTAAACATCTTCATTTGTGCTTTTGGATTGACAAGTAATCAAACTCTAATTGTGTGCAAGCTGACAAGCTTCAGTCCTATTGTGTACGCTTGTCATTACATACTAAATACAGTATATCCCCATCACATTTTTCTGTTGTAGAATCTCACTTACTTTTCTCTGTCTGGTAGCTGACATAAACCTTGGCCTTATCCGATACGTTCTAAGCGAGGACAATGTTCAGGAGACCATGGACAACTTCAAGTTCCTTGTAAAGGACAGCAAACCTAACATCGTCAGTGACAATGTGTTCCACATCCAGTGGTCTCTGATCAGCTTTGAACACAAGAGGTGCGTCTGCCTTCAGTTTTTTGTACTAGGTGAAGCAACCAACCTGTTTACTTCATGAATTAATGACATTGTTCTCAATTATGTATTTTCTTGCTACTCCAGTTTTAACGTGAGTGAGAAGGATGGAACGGTGGCGGTCACAGTGAAGAGGACTGGTAATCTGAACCAGTATGCTATTGTGCTGTGTCGAACTGAGCAGGGCACTGCCACCTCCACCTCCAGCATGGGCTCTCGGGCCGGACAGCAGGATTATGTTGAATACGCCGGACAGGTGTGTTTTAGTGCTATTATTTGAATACTCAAAAATATTTAAACCCTTTAAGACTTGCCATTAAACAAGTCAATCAGGGTGTATCTTAGTAGTTTTACATGCGGTGCTGTCAAATGCCATATATTAATAAAATCCTTACATTCCTAATTTGAAGCAATGCATCGGGAACTTTCTCATATAATGGGCAGCTAGGCTTTTCATGGATTTGAAAGTAATCAATTGGATTTAATAATGTATTCAATGTTAACATTCTATCTGCGGCATTTTGAGCCAGCTGAAGTTTATTCATTAGGCCTACAGGGCAACTATTTGGTAACTTACTACAATAATCTAGTCACAAATTCATAAAAGCATTTCTGTATTAAACATCGACAGCATATGTCGTAGTCTGGCAATATTTTTAAGAAAACAGTATTGCAGATTCTTGAGGCCTGGTTGTCATCAAATAGCACTCATCAACATCATTCTCATAAAATGCTCTGTTAATGTGGTTCTGCAGGTTCAGTTTGATGAGAGAGAAGACACCAAGGTGTGCACCATTGTGATCAACGATGACCAGGTGTTTGAGAACATCGAGAGCTTTAATGTGGAGCTGAGTATGCCGGTGTATGCCCTCCTGGGCTCAGTGACCCGAGCTAAAGTCAATATCAATGACACGGAGGATGAGCCCACTTTGCAGTTTGATAAGAAAACCTACCACGTCAATGAGAGCACTGGTTTCATATTTGCTCCTGTTGAGAGAAAAGGTCAGTGAAAACAAAAACCAAAAAAAAAATTTTTTTAATTCTTTGTGGTACTCATCATTTTGTTATTGACAATGATGCTCAAGATACTAGATAATCTTTAAGATTAAGGAAAACATTTCATACTATATATTACATATCCTAATTTGAAATGTATCAGTCAATGTTAAATATTTAGTTATGTTTTTTCCTAATTTAATTTGGTTCCACTAAACGGTCAGGTAACACTTTACAATAAGGTTCATTAGTTAATGCATTTACTAATATGAACTAATCATGAACAACACTTGTACAGCATTTATTAATCATAATTGAACATTTACTAATGCATTATTAACATCCAAGTCCATGCTTGTTAACATCAGTTAATGCACCATGAGTTAACATGAACTAACAATGAACTACTGTATTTTCATTAACTAACGTTAGTAATGTTAGTAAATGCATTAATTAACATTAACTAATGAACCTTATTGTAAAGTGTGACCAATGGTGAATTAACAATACTATTTAAAAACACTGCTACTTATTAGAAATTAAAGCAAATATCAGTTTATATCATTATGTTATTATGCAGTGTATTATGTAAACTGACTATTTGATGGTTATCAGCCATAAAAAAAAAAAAAAAAAAAACATATTTGCTTTTTTTTGGCAGGATTGTGTTTATTAAATTATTTAGACAATGTAGTATAGTAATAATTATTTAAATATTTAGTTTTTTTATTTACATTTTTTATGTTATTTGCAAGTTACTGGCATTTACCTTTTTACCAGAATATTTTTATAACAAGTAGTTTAAATAGTATGTATAACTTTTTTGTTATAAGCAATAACATTAAAATAATTACTAATTAATATTGTTATTTTTTTTGAATATTTAACCTTCAGCTTTCATGTAGCATCATTTAGCCTGGCACAACTATAACATAATATAAATATAAATCAATAAATAAAGGATTTATCTATGTTTATGTACACACACTACTATAAATATAGCACTATACTTATTAAAAGTAATTAATAGTACTAAACTGTACAACAAAGTTGACTCAAATTCAAATTTTAAGGCAACAAACTTCAGGACATTTTTAAGTTTACCCAACTTAAATGGAGTCAAGTGAAGTAATTGGGTTGAAAGTTAAGTCAACTCAAAAATGTCCTGAAGTTTGTTGCCTTAAATTTTTAATTTGAGTCAACTTTGTTTTTTTGTTTTTTTTACAGTGTGCAAAAAATCCCTTTTAAAAAAGTCATTTGTCAGCTTGTCAAATAAGGTTAAGGCTAAGGTTCATCTTCGTGTTTTATTTAATTGTTATTCTAAACTCTCTTTTGTTTGGTTTAGGTGACACCAGCAGCACAGTTTCTGCCCTGTGCTACACTGTGCCTAAATCAGCTCGGGGCAGCAGTCTTCACGCTCTCGAGTCCGGCTCAGACTACAAGACCCGTGGCATGAGTGGCGACAACAGACTCATCTTTGGTCCAGGAGTGAGCATGTCCACCTGTGACGTCAAGCTGATCGATGACAGCGAGTATGAACTCTCTGAGGAGTTTGAGCTGGTGCTGTCAGACGCCTCAGATAATGCAAGGATGGGCGACGTCACTGTGGCCAAAGTCATCATCGACGGGCCCAACGACGCCTCTACTGTGTTTCTGGGAAACGCATCATACACCTTCAGTGAAGATGCAGGTTGGTGGATTTGTATGTCATGTGCATCACGTTTTTGCTTTAAAAATTGTCGTTGATTTATTAATCATGAGATTGAAAATATTTATCTGAAGTTAAGTTGAAGGATTAGTTCACTCAAAAATGAAAATTCTATTGTTAATTATTCTTGCTCATGTCATTCCTAACCCCTGTTCATCTTCAGAACTCAAATGAAGATAATTTATATGAAATCTAAGAGACCGTTTGTAAACAGCAACGGTCCCTGAGACATACCAGAAAAGGTCTAAATGAAGTTCAGAAAAGAAATAAAAACTATGTCAAAATATTCAGTGTGACTTTAGTGGTTCAACTGTAAATATATGAAGCTCCAAGAACACTTTTTAGCTGCAAAAAACTACACATTTACTAGAGACAGTACGACATATTGCCATTTAGTCAGCAGTGCAACACACAAGCATGTAGTAAAGTATTACCTGCAGTAAAAGTAAACTCTAATCTGATGTTGAAGACTTTAAAGTCAATGTGAAAACTAAATTTGCAATATTTATTTTGCTTGCTCACATTGTTATTATTTGGATAAACAATTAACAAAAAATGAATAAAACAAAATTTTATCTTGTATTCGCTTTGAAATAAGTTTATTTTGACTACTCCATTGGCAGAATATTCCGCTTGTTTTGACTTATTAATTCTGAAATCAAGGCAATATTTTTTGCTTGTTGTTACACGCCGTGTGGCTCAGAGAATGAAAAGAGCTAAACATAATAATGACAACACAATATATTTTTTAATTCCTCTGAGACGTTAACTGTTATTGATTGACACAGACAACGGACGTGGCAAAAAGTGGTTCCCTTTATTTAAAATAAAAAAAAAGAAAGAAAATAATATTACCCAAAGTATATTTATAAATGTGTATAATAAATGCAAAATAAGCCAACAAATCAATTGAAAAAAACCTGATAGAGGGAAGGAAAAGCAGCGGTGTCAAATCAAAGAAAATAACAAATTAACCACCCGCTACCTAAACTCTCCCTATCTCTAAATAACTAAAGAGAAATCTGAAATAGAAGAAAAAAAACATCTTCGACGTCTCACGCTCCTCACTGAACTCCACTCGCTGGAAAAATACATACAAAGGGTAGCACTGGCTTTTGACCTAAACAGAGAATCAACTATGTGTGTGTAAAATACAAGTCATGTGGCGTACTTCACTTTCACTTCCCTTTTAAGAGATTTGAGCAATCTAGTTTGAACGTTCTTAATAGATGTACAACTCAAAAAGAAGACTAAAGCGAACCAGAGAACAGGACAGGCACACAGAAAGACAGAGCAGTGTCAAGAGATAAAGAACCCCGCCCCCTAGTCCGAGTCGTCACTGGAGCACTTAAATAACCCCATCCTCTCCTGATTGTTCTACTCGTGAAAACTCTGCGAGTCTATCAGAACACCTAGATTTTAGAAGAACAGCAGACAGCAAATAAAAACGTAAAGGAAAGGAGGGAACAAAGTCATCTAGAAAGTAATTTTTAGATTTTTGGACTAGAAACAACACAAAGCATTTTTTTCTAGATTATTTTAATGAAGTAGTACCATTTATTTGGAAAAAAAAAACACTTTTGATCAGTTAAATGCACCCTTGATAACCTAAATTTTTTGTGTGTTAGTTTATACTCAGCATTTTTTAGTATGTAATACAACACCTATGCAATATCCTCCCACAGGCACCATTGAAATCCCTGTTCTGCGGCAGGGCAGTGATCTTTCATCAGTCACCTCAGTGTGGTGCGCCACACGTCCTGCAGAACAAGATTCAGCCACGCCTGGAGTCGACTACATCCCCAGCTCCAAAAAAGTAGAGTTCAAACCAGGCAAGACCGAGGAGGTAATAAAATCAAACTACTGTTCTGATATACTGTGAACTATATTGTATCTCATTTTAAGGTGTTTTTCCACCAAATCATGTGCCTCAATTGTTTACTCTTTTCTAGACATGCAGTTTGACCATAATGGATGACATCCAGAACCCAACAATAGAAGGGAAAGAATCCTTCATTGTGTTTCTTAGCTCTGCTAATGGAGCGGTCCTGACTGAACCCTATGAAGCCTCTGTCTACATCACTGACACCACTCAAGACAGTGCGTTCTCTTATCATTTTAGTCACTGCGTTTTAACCCTTTGGGCCTCCTCAGTCAGAAATGACAGAAAATGTTGTGTGTTGAGAATATACATTTCTTTGCTTCATTGGATGACACTTGGTAACTTTGGCTGGATTCGAAATCTCAAAACACAAACATACACACACTTTCACACACACACAAAACAGTGACACAATTGGCTACTTCACAGTCACAAATAATAAACAGTAAATTACTGAAAAATCCGGAAAAAAGAGGAAAAACTCACAAAAATATTGTTTTGGTGTGCAGAACTATGCAGAAAAAAACATTATTTGATTATTAAAAAGTTATATACGTATGAGTTGTATTTTATTAATTAGACCTAAATGCAAAACCTAACAAAAGTAAGAGTTTAAATTAAACAAGGGTAATCTAAAAGACTAAATATTTATATTTATAGCTATACTGGTGTACACATTATACATTTTAAACACCTCTAGATGGCACTGTTCTAACTATAAAAATGTATAAAAAAATAAATAAATACAAACATAAATAAATCTAACTCAGAACAATAGCTTAAAATGTTTTAAAGTAAAATCACATGATCAAATCCCCTCAAAACTACCAAGATTACAGTAATTTTAAATAATAAGCAAAAACAATTATTCATTCATCATTCATTTTCTTTTTGGCTTTCGGCAGTCCCTTTATTAATCCAGGGTTGCCACAGCGAAATGGACTGCCAATTTATCCAGCATATGTTTTACATAGCGGATGCCCTTCCAGCAGCCACCCAGTACTGGGAAACACCTATACACACTCAAATTCACACTCTTAAGCAAAGGGGCCAGAGGGTTACACATATAGACACTTATATAAATACTTATTGAGTCGGTGCTTTCTTCTTACAGTCCCAAGCATGCAGTTTGACAAGCTGGCATATACAGTAAAGGAAAAAGATGGCGTCCTGCACATCCCTATTTTTAGGACAGGAGATCTGTCCTATAAGTCTTCTGTCCGCTGTTTCACCCGCACAATGTCTGCAATGGTTATGGATGACTTTGAGGAGAGGAGAAATGCAGATGATTCGAGAATCACCTTTCAGAAAGGGGAGAAGGTATGATTTTTTTTTTTCTATAATAATCACGTTTGACATCAGACTATGGGTCAACAAAAGTGTTTTATGAAATGGTTGTGGTTTCATGTGAACATTGTGTTGATGTTTAAAGGTCCTGAGAAATTAAATCAAGTTTTTTTATATTAGTATGCTAGTTTTAAGGATATCTACAGTATGAGCTAATGACCGAATAAAACCGTGACAAAATGGACATTTTGAACCTGATATAAACCAATAAAGTTTGCAGTTTGTCACTTTGGGGATCTTGCAGTTTTCTGATCCTAAATTGATTAATGATTTTTTGACATCACTTCATTCTCTTCAGATTCTTTTCAAATCTTCTGACCAATCTCTATCATCTGACCAGCTCTATATAATCTTCTGACCAGCTCTATATAATATCTAACATGTCCCGCCCCCTTCAAAGTCCTTTTCATTTGATGCAATCTCAACCACTCTCACTGGCAGAGATGTGATAAAATTAAACGCTATTGGCTGTTTCATATAAAGGGGAGGAGCTACTGTATGACCTGACCTGTCCTCTTTTTTCAGTTTAGATCAAATCAAATTTTGAATACAAAAAAAGCTCATTCCAAAGCACTTCAAGGGACCTTTATACACAATAGTAAGCAAAGACATTTTAAAAGCTTTGATTTTGATCGGCAGGTGAAGAATTGTACAGTACTGATCCAGGATGACTCCGTGTTTGAGCCTGAAGAGGAGTTCCAGGTCCACCTTGGAAGCCCACAGGGTGACCATTGGATTGGAGCCATGATTGGAGTCAACGACATTGTGACTGTGACCATCACAAATGATGAAGATGGTGAGTAGGTAGTGTGTTGTGTACTAATAAACAACACAATCCTAAACCACAAAATAAAAGTATGCTTATTAACATTTTCACTTGTGGAACATTCAACAACAACAGCTTCAAATTCTCACATTTATCCAAATTTGTCTGCATATGCTGACTGTGTTTAAAGTTATAAACTTTCAGAAATAAAGGCACGTGAGCTGTCACTGGAGTTGTACCTTTTCAAAAGGTACAAATGTGTACCTTAAAGCTCCATATTAATACCTCAAGGGTACATATTAGTACCTAAAAAGTAAAAAAAGTGTTCCTCTTAAAATTTTTAGGTACTAATATATACTTTTGAGGTGCCAATATGGACCCTTCAACTACAAATGTGTACCTTTTGAAAAGGTACTATTTCAGTGACCACTCGCGTACCTTAATTTCTAACTTTCATTCAAAAAAAAAAAAAAAACTGGAACAAATCATTTTGTGGAATAAGGTTGTGCTACAAATGGGATGCATAATATATTGTTTCAGCATTGATATCGCAATGTGTGCATTCACAGTAGTCACATTACAGCATCTGCAATGTGGAGCTGAGATTATTATTGTTGATCAGCAATAAAGAGTGTACAGTGTTTACACTTCACACTACATTTGATGATTCAATAAGGGCAGGACAAAATAGAGATATGCATGAGGTGCCGCTTCTCATTATGGCGGATCGAACATACAACATTGTTGTAATTCTAAGAAATATATAGGTCTCAGCATAATTGAGCACACCCTATTTTGAAAATGAATATTTGTATCAATTTTTCAGTGAGGCAATGTATAGGCAATGTATTTTGGTTTGTTTAAACAAAACAGATTTATTAAACAGATATATTTATAAAAATAATATTTTAGCCACATATTTAGAAATTGAAAGATAACACAAATAAATTCAAGCTAAATATTGCACACAAAAAAAACTTATACCGACAAAATTTCAATTAAATTTCTCAAGGTTTTTGCTTCTCTTTATTTTTACTTCTTTTTTTTTTGTATTTAATATATAATACATATACATTTGGGTGTACTGGTTTTTGGACAGTTATCATAAGTTGTTTTGTTAGATAAGCTCCAGCTTTGGCTTCAGTAATGACTAATCAAATGTATATGCCCAAATATAATATTGTATAGCTTCCTATTAAAAATATTAATTTAAAAGAGAGACTTGGGAGGGGTGTTTGCATATATGCTGAGCACTGTAGGGGATGTTAATAAAAGAAATACATCTTGTAACTTTTTGGGGCATTTTTACATCTTTATTTCCAAATATCATAATACATTGTGGATGGTTTTCTTGTGATATATCGCTGATATTGTGATCTATCATTATCAGGGACAAAATATCATGATAATGTCTTATCGTCACCTAAATATCTGCCTACTTATTTCACTTTTATCTTATTTATTTATTCTTGCATATTCATTGATTCACTCCTCTACACGATTATTTAGTCCAATCAATCAAAGTTAATGATTTCATTCTAAATAAAGTTATTCAGGTCATCTGCTGAAATCTGTGGCCAAAGCTCTTTTGAAATGCCAGTTTTGTTTCTTTATTTATATTTTTTTCTTTGTTGTCCCTAATTACAGTATTATTTAAGACGCCCATAATGATTGTTTACAGTTTAATGCAAGTTACTGCCATAATTCACACAAAGCTTCATGGGGTGTAGGAATAACGTAGATAAAAGGAAGAGTTCAGATGCAAAAGCTTGTAAGTGCCACCTGAAATGTTCTAAAATGAGCATTTTTCTTATGCTCATATGTTTCTGTGCAGTTATTTCAATTTAAAGTCAATAAAAAAAACTATCGATGGCCATAAAAGTGAAAAAAATGATTCAAGACACAGGACTCTTACAGAAATGCAAAATTTTAGAGGGAAATTTCAGATAGACTTTTGCATTTGAAGTCTTCAAACATATAGCCTGAATAGATTGAAAGTCAATTTTCATAAACGCATGAATGTAAAAACAGTGCATGTCCTGCTTTTCAGCACCTACGATCGAGTTTGAACAAGCCACATATCAAGTTCGTGAGCCACCTGGTCCCGATGGCATTGAGGTTTTGAATATCAAGGTAATTCGTAAAGGAGACCTCGACCGCACCTCCAAAATTCGATGCAGCACGAGGGATGGATCGGCCCAGTCAGGTGTGGACTATAACCCAAAGAGTCGAGTGCTGAAGTACAGCCCTGGTAAGTTGTTGATTTACTTTCATTTATTTTACATTTGTAAACAAGAGCTTTGTTCTAATCTATGACTAATGTGTTGAAAAGGTGTGGACCACATCATGTTTAAGGTGGAGATTCTGTCCAATGAGGACAGAGAGTGGCATGAGTCTTTCTCTTTGGTCCTTGGTCCTGACGACCCAGTTGAAGCTGTTCTTGGAGAGATCATCATTGCAACAGTCACTATTCTGGATCAGGAGGCTGCAGGAAGTCTTATCCTTCCGGCTCCACCCATTGTAAGAATCGTACACTAGAAAAAAACAAGAAATACTTTATATTTCATTTACATTTTTTGGACTCAGTTTATGTTGGAATTAAGCCAAATTTAACATATGTGTTATGTGAAAGTAACATTTTTAGTGATTAGCTTCCAAATTGGATTACAAACATGACTTTAGATATTTTCATTGTATTATAACATCAACTTTTTCACATCTAATAAAAAATACTAATACAAAATAATCAAAAAAGTTTAATCTTCAGTACTCCTAAATCATTTTAAAAGCACATGAGAGCTGTGAAATGTCTCACCATGTTGTTTAAATGTGATCTCATGTGTTCTTTTTGTTTTGCTCACAGGTGGTGTCTCTATCAGATTATGACTACGTTCAGGAGGTCACTAAAGAGGGCAGCAAGAAGTCTCCGTCTCCTGGATATCCGCTGGTCTGTGTGACCCCCTGTGACCCCCACTACCCCAAATACTCCGTCATGAAGGAGCGCTGTGAGGAGGCAGGCATCAACCAGACTTCTCTACACTTCAGCTGGGAGGTGGCAACTCCTACAGACACCAGCGGAGCAAGATCTCCCTTCGAGACTGTGACCGACAACACACCCTACACCACAATCAACCACATGGTTCGTCTCATACACTCAAAAAAAATAATTAATAAAAATACTTATTTACAGTGAGCTAAACACAATTTTTGAGATGTGGGTAAACTTTAATGTTTTATGTTTAATCCACATAAATTTTGTCAACTTAGAAATATAAGGTTCTATCTGACATTTTTGTCAATATTGAGTTATTGACATATTCTTATTAAATGACAACTTATTTATATTATGGGATGTTTATTTATAAGTTGTTTACATTTTAAGACTTTTTATTTAAAAACAAATGTTACACACACACTGTTTGCTATGGAATGCAAAAACTTTGAAGCTCAATATGTCAAAATTATTCAGAACACAGATAGAAGCTTATAATTCCAAGGTGACGATTTGTCAAAACCAATAACCTTTATTTAATTGATTTGTGTTGGGACAACCTGAATGAGATGTGTTGAACCCTGCATTTTTTACAGTGTACACTTGAAAAAAATATGTTAACATGTGTTCAATTTTTACAAAAAATTTAATTTAGTAATGTTCAACTTATTTTTTTATTTGTTTAAATTCAAGTGTTAGTGAGGCCAGCAGGGCGTGCCCAACCGGGACTCTATACTGCTCAGTGAGTGCCGTCTTTCGGATGAGACGTTAAACCGAGGTCCTGATGCTCTGTGGTTGGTAAAAAATCCCAGGATATCCATCGAAAAGAATAGGGGTTTCACCCTGGCATCCTGGCCAAATTTGCTAACTGGCTAATTTGCTAATTGGTGTCATCACTCTCCTCTCCACGAATCAGCTGGTGTGTGGTATGTGGTCTGGCGCAATATGACTACCATCGTGTCATCCAGGTGGATGCTGCACACTGGTGGTGGATGAGGAGTCCCCCCCACATCCCCACCTACATTGTGTAAAGCGCTTTGAGTGTCCAGAAAATCGCTATCTAACTGTATGGAATTATTATTATTAGTTATGGTAACTAAAGTGACTTGTTAACAAAAAACAGTAACTATATATCACTCTTTTTATGTCTATTACATTTAACAATCAAATGTTATATAAATGAGTTTTGTCATGATACTGGAATTTTAAAATGATACTTCACTACTCAATAACATTTCCAATACCAAGGGAAAATATTATCAGATCATTAAAATTGCAATATTTACTTTAAAGTATGCATGTCTTAATTTACACATTTACCAGAGATTTAACCCCAAGCATAGCTCAATGCTAAAATTGTTTCACTTCAACATAATGAACATATATTTTACTTAAACAATGTTTAATCGCCTCAATGATAATAATACAGAATAAATATGGTAAATTTACCATTTTCACATTCTAATTTTACTATTTAAGAAGACACTTATAACCTAACTTAAAGACAGAACTGTCAGTAATAAACAATTTATAAGTGATTTAAGGAAAAGTTCACCCACAAATTAAAATGTACTTATTTGCAAGTGGTTCTAATGCTTAATGAGTTACCTTATTTCTGCTGAACACAAATAAAGATATTTTGAAGAATAATGGAAGCCAATTTTTTCATAGTTTGTAAGAAAAATAGTATAAATGTTAATGGTTTCAGATATTATTTAAAACATTTCTTAGTGATAAGCAGAGAAGTAAACTTAATCAGGTTTGAAACCTGTGGATGGTTAAAATAAAGGTTATATATTTATGAACATTATTTAGCTAGGTCTAAAGGTGATTTTTAACTGTTGTTATTGATTAATGCTAGTGACTGCTATCACTTTAACACATTTCCTCCTTAACTGTTTACTTCCACTTGAGTTTGAACCCCTGTGCTATGTTGGGGACATTTTCATCCACTATGGGGTGCTGCCGAGTCACAACTTTCTCTGTTTCAGCAAATGGAATGATTTTTGATGGGAAAAAAAACTATTTTGAAACTTACTTTGGGAAAATGCTTTGAAATTATTCAAATACTCAACAACCCACTGTGGGCAAATTTACTACACTTTTGTTATGTTTGTGGCCTCTTTGACTTTCATTATAACAACTTTTTTAATTGCAAAGCCATGTCACCACATAATTATGAATCTTTGATTTCTGGTGGTGGTTTTCCTATTGTAAAAATTACACATTTTACCTTTTCCCAACATGGAAAACCCCCAACTATCAAGAATGCATAATTATATAGGTCATGGCTTTGCAATCAAAACATGTCTTTATAATAGATGTCAATGGGGCAAAAACAGCAACAAACAGAGAATGAGGGAGAATTATCTAAATTTGATGCTGCACAAAAACTAACAATGCATCAAAGAGAATGTCGTAAATAACCTTTCACATGTCAAAGTCTGTGATAAAAGGTAAAATGAATAAAATCCACAATTACCGTTGATATTAAAAATAATCGTTTCCTCCCAAATCAGTGACTTGATGAAATTGGCAACGAAATTAACAGATTTATGCCAACAAAAACTGAAACAAATACTTATCTGCTACATTTTTACAGCAGTTCAATTCAGTGAATGTTTTCATCCTGAGCATAATCAAAGGGTTGTAATTTTGAACAACACACAATGATTATGGGTTTCGTGATGCTAGTTGATATTCAATATGTTTAGCTGTTGAAGCAGAAGAGGATGTAAAGGACTCAGTGTTTGAGTGTCTGGAGTCATGCTATTTTGATCTGGAAGCCATCTTTGAGTTATAGGGAATCCAGTAAATAAATGCTTTTCCTCCACAGGTCCTGGACAGCATTTATTTCAGCAGGCGCTTCCATGTGCGCTGTGTAGCCCAAGCCAGAGATAAAGCCGGACACCTGGGAACTCCACTGAGGAGCAACATTGTCACCATTGGCACTGAGGGATCAATATGCCACACTCCAGTCACCACAGGGACCGCTCGAGGCTTCCAAGCCCAGTCCTTTATCGCCACTCTAAAATACCTGGATGTCAAACACAAAGAGCATCCAAACAGGTAAAGGGAGACTTTGTGTAGGCAAATGACTGAGGGTAGACGACTTTTATTCCAGACAGATCCCAGTAGAGTTGTGAAGAGGAGGAATTAAAATCATACTTCGACTGAAATGCAGCTGTAAGGTTTGCAGAGTACTGCATCATTTTTTTTTTTTTTTTTTTTTTTGCCTCTGGGCTAAGCAAGATCAAAATGAATTTATACGTTTGAAGGAACAAGACAAATAAACAGTGTTATACAACTGCAGATCCAAAACTATTTCCCAACCTATGTTGAGTACTTCAAAGAAGAAAATGATATGTTGAAAAATGAGAGGCTGAGTAATGGTAGCTAAAAATGACAGTTTGGTATGATTGCTTGTAACAAAGATCACTAACAGGTTAAGAAATGTATTGGATGTGTAGGTTAATGCCATGCATATAAATTCATGAGTGTGTTTAACTAACAAGCTGTGGACATTGAAAGGATTGCGTGAGTTAAATTGAATGCCATCTCCAAATTGTTATTGTTTTATTGACATGCATGCACTGACTGGGTAATTACATGGCATGTGAAATTATTATTTGTGCTTTTTGTGATATAAATGAGGGTGTTCAATCTTTTAAATGCTACAGATCCATATATGAAGAACCCCCATTTAACTGTGTTAAAGTGACACTATCGACACTGTAGAAAATGGCTCTGAAGAATTAATTACAAAATATTAAGTTATGTAGTAGTAGTAGCAGAAGTAGTTGTAAAACTTGACAGGAAATTAGTTATGGGCATCACCATATTGCTGCAGACATTACATAAAAACAAACAACAAAAACAATACAAAATAGAGTAGTTATAATAATTAAAATGCTACTTAAGATAAACTCTTGTTAAGTAAACCCACTGAAACTGGTACAAAGTTCTTCTTATATCGGTTCAACCTACACTTAGGGACTCTATATCTCCTACCAGAGGGAAACCATTCATAATGTGGAAACTTGATCTTTCAGAATCATTTTTTAAATCCACCTGATTAAGGACACAATTCTCATATAAAACTTGAGGATTAAATTATTCATCATGTCCAACAATTTTCCATCCTGTCTTCAAAAGATGCATCAACTTTTTACACTGTACAGATAGGTTACCAAACCACACTGTGATAATATGTCTTACAATGCTTTCAAGAAAAGCTTCATAAAACAACATCATCAGCTTCTTGTGTAAATCCAAAAAGATGTAACCTTCATAAAAAAATACAATCTCTGGTGTAAACGAGAACAAACCCACTCTATGTGTGTTTTCTATGTAAAATGTCAATACATTTTTTCTTGTCATTATGGTGCTGCATTCATTCATTTTCTCTTTGCTAATTTGTTTAAATCAGTTTGTTACTAGTCTATAATTGATGTCATGTACAGTATATTGAAACTAAAACACTGATTTTATCGTCAATACTTTAATCATCAAAATTTTGTTCTGTTAAAATGGAGATATTTGAAACTTGAAAGAATGAAAAATTATAAAGTGTTAAGTGTGTTTTATCTCAACAGGATCCACATTTCAGTTCAGATTCCCCATCAGGATGGGATGCTTCCACTGGTGTCCACCATGCCTCTGCATAACCTGCACTTCCTGCTCTCTGAGTCCATTTACCGTCAGCAACACGTCTGCTCCAACCTGGTCACACTTAAAGACCTGCAGGGTATCTCTGGTAAGAGAACCCACCCACTTTATTAGATCCGATCAGATCAGATAAATAAAGGGACCGCAGATCCAGATCTTGTCCACACTATTTTAAATATAAGCCTTCTTTATGCACCAGCTTCATCTCCGTTCATTTGTACCAAAACAGTTTGTTACACATCAGTCAAATCAAAAGAAAATGCTTTTATCATATTACTTCAATTTGTTTAGAATGTTTTTAAATGTAAATCATAATTCTTTAGAGTTTTAATTGTAAGTTTAGAAAAATCTAAGATATTATAGGTTTTAAAATGAAAATTTAGATCCAAATCATTATTAGGGGTCCAATTGTACACTCGATTTTCTACATATCTCCATATTGAACTCACAATACTATAATCCTAATACTAAATGTTAGAAAAAGAGTGTGTATATATTCCAAAAAATAAATCATGGTTGTTATAGTTATCATTTTTAGTGAACGTGCCTTTAGTTTTGTAGTTATTTCTACATATAACGCATATTGAGTTGGAAGTCTTCACCTCAAATAGTTTACCTGTTCCTTGAAAAATAAGGTGGATATTTACCTGAATTAATAGCATTTTTTAAACTTTTGGATCTAAACATTTGTCCTAATTTTTTTAATAAAATGTTAAAAACAAAGACTTTTCAACCTGGAAAAACATTGATTCTCCCCCCAGAGACCGGCTTCTTGGATGACGTGTCATATGACAGCATATCCCTGGGTCCTGGATATGACCGGCCATATCAGTTCAACCCCAATGTTCGAGAACCCAGAACCATACAGCTGTACAAGCATCTCAATCTGAAGAGCTGCATCTGGACATTCGATGCTTATTATGACATGACGGAGCTTATCGATGTTTGCGGAGGATCAGTAACTGCCGACTTTCAGGTTAGAATGAATGCATCCCATCATAAATACAGTGCTCTCCACTAATACTGAACCCATCGGCATGTATGAGCAAAGAAAGCTGTAAAAATGTGTCTTTGTTGTTTAACATTTTGATCTTTTGCTCCGAATATTAACCAAAAAGACACTTGAGTTTGTTAGAATAAGGTTAAAAGTATTTTTTAAACACTTTATTGCAAATTTAAAATTTAGACCTAACTAACTTCTGCAATTCTTTGTGATTGATTGATGGAGATTTTTTAGCCACTTTAACATCTTCCTAACATTGCATTAAAAAGATGATAACATACTTTTGCACACTGATTGATAACACTTCCGGTTGATTGTATTTCTTAGTATCTGAGTGTTTTTCAATTCAATTCAATTCAGCTTTATTTGTATAGCGCTTTTACAATGTAGATTGTGTCAAAGCAGCTTCACATAAATGGTCATAGTAACTGGAACAGTGTGGTTCAGGTTTTAGTGTTTAAGTTCAGTTCAGTTCAGTTTAGCTCAGTTCAGTGTGATTTAATCATTACTGAGAGTTCAAACACTGAAGAGCAAATTCATCGATGCGTAGCTCTACCAATCCTGAACCATGCGAGGCAGTGGCGACAGCGGAGAGGGAAAAAAAAACTTCACCTGATGGGAGTGAAGAAAAAAAACCTTGAGAGAACCAGACTCAGTTGGGCAGGACCATTTTAATTTCTCCGCTGGCCAAAAGTCTTGTGCAGAACTTCATTCGCCGTGGTTTAGGCTGGAAGATGGCCTCAATGAAGACTCGTCTGTCCCTGGAGCGTCGCTGGAATCAGACTCATGTTCTCCACTCCCCACGACCATCAGCGCAGCAGCAGCTCAGGATATGGCCTGGTCCCGGATATGGAATCCTTGGGATCATCACGTCGCTGGTCTTGGATCCAATCAGTGACTCCGCCTAATCTGAGGACCTCGGGATGAGTATCCCCAGGTGAAAATAGAGAATAAAGAGAATAATTAGCGTAGCTGCTGTTCATAGTGTATATAAGCAAGATGTAGAAGCCAGTGTGGAACCCGCTAGGTGATGCACTGAGTGTATGCTTTACTAAACAGATAGGTCTTTAATCTAGTTTTGAACTGGGAGAGTGTGTCTGAGCCTCGGACATTACCAGGAAGGCTATTCCAGAGTGTAGGAGCCATGAAAGAGAAGGCTCGACCTCCTTTACTTGAGTGTTTTTGCTATTGTCTTATTGCAGATTCCCATATTATGAAGCTTAACAGCATTTTGCAATAAATTACAGTTTTGTTTTTTGGTTTTATCCATTGTGATCATTGGTTGTATCTGAAATTGCCCTTTATTCCCTCATTCACTATTACCCACATTAATCCACTAATATAGTCCACTTAAAGGAGTGAATGAAAATGAGCGAGTGACTCCAGAAGAGATGCTGTTTTGTTTGTGCTTTTCTTTTTGATAAATCCCAAGGGTGACGTAGTGGCGCAGTAGGTAGTGCTGTCGCCTCACAGCAAGAAGGTCGCTGGTTCGAACCTCGGCTCAGATGGTGTTTCTGTGTGAAGTTTGCATGTTCTCCCTGCGTTCGCGTGGGTTTCCTCCGGGTGCTCCGGTTTCCCCCACAGAACAAAGACATGTGGTACAGGTGAATTGGGTAGGCTAAATTGTCCATAGTGTATGAGTGTGTGTGGATGTTTCCCAGAGATGGGTTGCGGCTGGAAGGGCATCCGCTGCGTAAAAACTTGCTAGATAAGTTGGCGGTTCATTCTGCTGTGGCGACCCTGGATTAATAAAGGGACTAAGCTGACAAGAAAATGAATGAATGAATGAATAAATAAATCCCTAAGGTGGATTAGATTTCCTTGTCAGACCCTGTTAAAGTTATTTCATACATTACAATTAACAAAAGCTATTTTCCGGAGTTGTTCCCTTATTTATTTGGAAAACTTTCATTGCTAATTTATTTTGAAACTTACACTGATAGGATTCCACTGTGGAAGCCATCTTGTGGTTAGATGTGGAAATTCATTTAGTGCACAAACAGTGCATTATATGTATTCTCTAACCATTGTGTACATCGGTTGTGCAGTGCTCAGCATATATGCGTACACCCCTCACAAATATATCTTTTGAATTCATATTTTTAATAGGAAGCTATACAATATTATATTTGTGCATATACATTAGATTAGTCAGTACTGAAGCCAAATCTGGAGCTTATCTAACAAAACAACTTACGATAACGGTCCAAAAACCCATACACCCGAATTTATGTTATAGAAAAATATTAAATGCAAATTTAAAAAAGGGGGGAAAATCAAGAGAAGCAAAAAATAGTTTTTTTTTATTTACTTGTTTGCAATATTTACTTGCAATATTTAGCTTGAATTTAATTGTATTTAAAGTCACTTTTTATTATGGGGCATTGTGGGATTGATTGAATGAACTTCTGAATGTCCACTTTGCTTTTGAAAACCTTTACAAATGACAGCTCTCTCAAATTATGGCTGCAAAATATGTTGTTTTTGCATCTATATTATAAGGTGCGCATCGGCAATAGTCACATGGCAAGATATACAATGGGTCACTGCTAAGTTAAACCATAACAGAGTGAAGGTTTATCAATTGCGTGTGTTTTTATGACCTGTGACTAAGCATTTCAAAAGGTCTCAAAACATTTGGCTACAAAAACTCATATTAAATTATTTATACAATGTATGCAAAATAATTTTTGTCTTGTTTCTAGTCCAAATATCTACATTTCAAAGCAAAACAATATTATTTTACTTAATCTAATGGCAGATGATTTTCTTGTTTTGAGGCAAAACTCTTATTTTTCAGTTATTTCTTCTGAAGGTGAATATAATACAATATTATTTATGGTCTAAGATTTTTTTCCAATATTTTGACAAGAAATCAGAAATCTTTTGTTGCATTGTTATTACTCTACCTGAATAATGTTAGACAAATAGAGCTATTCATCTTGTGAAACTGTATTTTTACCCCAGTGATCCAGGACTCCTTCGTTTATCAATTTCCTGTTTTTAGTTACCATGGTGCAGCAAAAATGTCGCATTTCCATGAGAATAAACTTCAAAAATACCTTTTTTAACAAATTTATAGAATTGCCAAAAACTACCCACAAAAACTTTACAAAAATATTTGTTTTTTTGATAAAAACTGTTGTGTTTGCAGTTGTTTGTTCTCAATCAAAGGATTTTTTGTAAATGATTCATGTACAAGATGCATTTATTCATTCATTCATTGTCTTTTCGGCTCAGTCTCTTTATTAATCAGGGGTTATCAACTTATCCAGCATATGTTTCACGCATCACTGGGAAACAACCGTACACTCTCATTCACACACACATTCCATGGCCAGTTTATTTAGCTAACCAAATTCACCTTTAGTGCATATTTTTGGACTTGTGTGGGAAACTAGACCCTCTGGAGGAAACCCACGACAACACAGGGAGAACATGCAAAACCACCGCACCACCTCGTTAAGCACAAGATCAAAAAGTAAAACAATTAAAACATTTAGGCATGGCAGTATTAGTAGAGAGCACTGTATTCTTATCTAAACTAAATCTGATGTGGCAGATTTAGTCCATACTCCATTTAAATGTGTGTGTGGCTGTATTCAATTTTAATTTGTAGGTCAGAGACTCGGCTCAGTCCTTCCTGACAGTCCAGGTTCCGCTCTATGTGTCCTACATCTACGTGACGGCTCCTCGTGGATGGGCGTCTCTGGAGCACCACACAGAAATGGAGTTCTCCTTCTTCTACGACACTGTCTTATGGAGAACAGGTACACGTAGTTTAATAACCTGACTCGAGGACATATTCCAGCTCAATCTGTGTTGTGTATTGTATTGTCATCATCTTGCTTTCTTAATGTTGACTGATTGCTGATGATCGTTTTCTTTCCTACCAGGCATTCAGACAGACAGCGTGCTTTCGGCCAGATTACAGATCATTCGGATCTTCATTAAGGATGACGGACGACTGGTGATTGAGTTTAAAACCCACGCCAAGTTCAGAGGTCTGTATCTTCTATTTTCAACTGTTCATAGTGATGTCATCATATTTCGGTATTGCCCATAGTTTTGCTTAAACTCACAGGGCATAGGGTGCTTTGAGTAAATATGTCCATAGGGGTTTGGCTTGCAACTAAGTTTTGGAAACCACCATTGGTGTAGCACAAACTGTGTAGGCCCCCAACAAGAGTCTTAGATTTAAACTACCCATAACAAGCTTGTGAAAGAATCCAATAAGCATAACTTCTCTATCATTAATCAGTTTCCAGCACAAAGTTGATCATATCTGAAATACCTATCTGACATGCATTGTAGTTTTTAGTGCTGAGAAGAGCAAGTTTGGAAAGCCTGTTTTTTGCTCATTGTTCACAAATAACTGATACGTACCAGTACAATGAACGATTTTGTCCCTAACAGTGAAAAGAGTTTAAGATGGGCTATTCCTGTAATTTTGGTCATGCAGATAAAACATTGGGGCCTAGACATGTTTTGCATGATTTGTTGCTATTTTCAGACCAGCGCAACCATAATTTTCATGTTTTGCACCACGTCATTTAAATAGCAAATCCATTTGAGCCACTTTGTGGACTTATGGGTGTACCGAAGTAGAAAGGAGGTGTGGTAACGCGCATTGTTGGCAAATATAAAAGACCGCGCCTTTGATCATCTAAAAGCTGGTCTAAAGTCCAGTGCAAAGCATGTTAGTTTTCGCCTGTGCGTCCAAACGCTTACACATTGCTTAATACACACAGGATGTACGGCAATACACAAATATCTTAACAAATGAAAAAAAATTAAAGGATTAAAATGTTTAAAAATTTAAATAAATTTAAATTATTATTTTCAACATAAATATTAAACCCACTGCCTCCGTGCCTTCATATCTTGCAGTATTATTTATTATATGCATATTTGTATTTGTTTTATTAAAAACGAGTTTAGATTTGTCCATCTGTCGGGTTTTGGAGACATACATCATATGAGACAAGAATAGGATGTGTGTTTGGATATAATTCTCTTCAATAATATTGTTCATTTATTTGTTTGCTGGAAATTAGAACTGAATTTAGAAATAGTTTTGAACAAATCTTTGCGCTTAACAAATGAAATTAAATATGTTGGCTAATGGATGTCTTCGGTGGAGTGACTTTAAATTACTCCACGAAAGTAAAGGAGTAAAGTAGAGAGTTTATCATTCTTTATCCTCGTGCTGCAGATTATTTGTTTAATGATTTTCAGTTTTTTTACTTATAAAGTCCATGTAAACATGTAAACAGCATATGTGCCATAGCACGACGCAACTGACAGAACGTGAGATGAGACTCTGATTGGTTTAATGCACGTTATGCTCAAAACACACCCATTAAGAGAATAAGCACAACCCTGTTAGACCATGCGCTGGGGCGCAAAATGTATTTTTTCATCCTTAAAACAGCAAAATTTGATTCGGATACGCCTTTAATGCTTTTGAACCATGTGCTTTCACCTAGATCAGGGGTGGGGAACGTCCGGCCTCTGGGCTGTATGCAACCCGCAAGACCATTTGATCAATTCAAAATCACCCCGCAGAAAAAAAAACTAAAATAAATTTCTGGATAGAAAGTGACAACTGTACACATTTGTTGCTCTGCAAAACTCAGTTTCACATGAAAAGGACTAAAAACATGTGCTGTAATGTAACGTTTGCAGCACGGGATGTGCATTATTCATTGATGTACGTTCGAATATTCATATTTTTAATAGCGCGAACGAGACCGCATGGCATGCTTGTGTGTGATTGCGCGCTCTTAGCCTCGGAGACAAGCAGAGCACACACATCTAACGCCATCTTAATGTGTGCGATTTAATGGTCAAATACATGCACATTTCTGTCAGAGCGCAGTGTTAAGTGATTATTTATATTAACCTTCATTTGTCTAATAAACAAGGTGAGAATCAAAAGACATGTAAAAGAGAAACCATATCAGAGCTGCACTATCCTTAAAGAGACAGCGTGCAATATCCCTGCTGCTGACTGTCTTTATTAATAATCAAACAACGAAAGGAGAAAATCACTCACTGCTCTTGACTGAAGGACTTTGTAGCTGAAGTTTTTTTCTTACAGTGAAGATGCTTAAAGCACAGTTTGTTTCATATTTTTATTCTATTGTATTTATTTCCCTTTTCTTATTTACAGGGAGGAAATAACTGTGCATATATAAAGATTTATTTGCCCTCCTGAATTATTAGCGACCCTTTCCCCCAATTTCTGTTTAATGGAAAGATATATTTTGAACCCATTTCTAAACATAACTGATTTAATAACTCATTTCTAATAACTGATTTATTTTATCTTTGCTATGATGACGTACATTATATTTTACTAGATATTTTTCAAGATACTAGTATTCAGCTTAAATTGACATTCAAAGGCTTAATTAGTGTAATTAAAGTCATTGTTTAACAGTAGTTTCTTCTGCAGACAATCAAAAATATATATTGCTTAAAGGGGCTAATAATATTGACCTTAAAATAGGTTTCAAAATATTAAGAACTGCTTTTATTCTTGCTGAAATAAAACATATAAGCCTTTCTCCTGAAGAAAAAATATTATTGGAAATACTGTGAAAAATTCCTCTGTTAAACATAATTTGGGAAATATTTATATATAAAAAAACTAAATTCACAGGAACTTCAACTGATAATCGTTTTGAATAATCGTGATTACAATTATGACCAAAATAATTGCGATTATGATTTTTCCCATAATCGAGCAGCCCTATAATTTAGTATGGCCCCTAAACAATGTTACAAAAATGTAAATGGCCCTTGATAGAAAAAAGGTTCCCCGCCCCTGACCTAGATCATTAAAATAGAGCCCATTATGTCTTGACAACTCTCTAAGATATTTAGTTTGGTAATAAATTGGTATATAGTTATGTTTATGTGTTTGTTTTTGGCAGCATAGATCTGCTACACTGATGCTGCTTTGATTATTGGCACAGAGCAAGTACTTAGGGGCTTGCTACTTCCAGCATATTCACAGATATGCTGTCAGAGAATATAACACTGCTGCAAACATAACATTCCTGTAACCTCCAAAGCAAATCTACACACAGGTTGGGTTGAAGGAGGAATCCAAAAATGCAAACAACAGTGAGGCATGTTGAGAAGCAAGTTCATTGGCTGCTGAAGTGACAGCAACCAATCACCTGCACCAAGAGTTGATGAAGTAGTAGGATCAGATTTGATATGAACCATTAGCTTGAGCACCCAATGGAATTTAATAACAAATCTTTGTATTTATTTCAAACCATAATTATTTCACTTTTATTTAACCAAACAGTTTCCCTCATGAGAAAGAGGGAACAAATAGGGTGTGCTTTGAGGTGCAGGTGTCACACAGTTCTTAATTTAAATTTGGTTTTGTTCATGTATAAAATACATTTCGTGTATCGGATTTAATGGATTATGCTATTTTAATGGTCATAAAATTTAATTGAACAACGGATCTGTTATATTATTGATCGAGCTAATGATTAACAAGCATCTGTTCATCAAGAAAATTACCTTTTTCGGTGACCCACCACATTGCGTGCCCTGCATGCTTGTCTGCTAAGCTGCTGAAAACTTCTGCATTACACAACCATGCAACCATGTGGCATTTTGTGGTGTGGCAATTGTGTCCAAATACATGTTGAATCCATTTTATGTAGATTAAATCTTTTTTTGAATCATAAGTGTGTGATAAAACTTTGATCTCCCTCTAGGTCAGTTTGTCCCAGAGCATCACACCCTCCCCGGACAGAAGTCTCATCTGATGGCTCCAGATCACTTAGGAGGCATGGAGTTCGACCTACAGCTGGTGTGGAGCGCACAGTCTTTTGATTCACCCTATCAGCTCTGGAGAGCCACAAGCTCCTACAGCAGGTGAGCAGGCGATACTTAAAACAGCGGTCACACTAAAGTTTGAGCGTGCAAAATTTTATCGTACAACGGTGCGAAAAGGGTGAGATTAAACAAGACGATTAGACATTTTTTAAAAAGCGAGCGATTCGTCCATATTTCTGTACACCTAGATCATGCTTTGATCTTCTATAGGTCTCACATAGTCACTTCATGTGATTTAGCTGGTCAGAGTTCATCAAGCTTGAACTTTGCAATGTAGCGAACTGCAAAACTTGTTGCACGAGCTTGTGTTTCCGGTCTGTCGTATTCGCTTGCATATGAATGGAAGTCAATGGTACGAAAAAGTGAAGGATGACCACGGTTTAACAAAGTCACATCAAGAAACCTTGGGGTTCATCTCCAACTCTGATCAAACACAACTAAACCAACTACGTAGGATCTGAAGAAACACTTTGTAATTAAAGACAGGTGTGTTTGATCAAGGTTGCAGCTGAATTCTGCAGGAAGGTAGATCTCTGGGAAGAGGATAGTGCACTGTTGCCTTAATCCCACTGACCACATGCTTTCTGTTGTTCTCCAGGAAAGACTATTCAGGGGAGTACACCGTCTTCCTCATTCCCTGCACGGTACAGCCAACACAGGCATGGGTGGACTCTGGGGACAAGCCTCTATCCTGCACAGCACATGCACCAGAGAAGTATGTTACTATAGAACTTTTCCACTGATAGCTCCTTGAGGATTTCTAAATGACTTAAATGAAGAGTCAGCAGGGTTGAATGCAGGAGCAAGTGCCCCAGTAAAAATATGCTGTGCCCTTGTAAAACTTGCCTGTGAAAGCAATGTAGTTTCATCAAAAACAAACCGATGCATGCAGAAATCCATGCCTGTGTACGTCTGTGTTTAACTGTGAGGTGTCAGCATGTAGCTAAGGCTGACCTTACCCACAGAGGTCTAGGACAGGAATGCATTTGAGGAGGGCTGTTAAAAAAAATTATTAAACCTATGCTTGAAGTGGGCTGGTACACATCTGTACACTGTAGCAACACTTTTGAACACTTTTGAATTTTCCGCACCAACCACTGAAGGTGATTTCCATCACTCATTGGGTGGATACTGGCAGTTTTGTATTTCCACTTTAACAAGTGTCCGATGGGTCTTAAAAAGTCTTAAAATGTTTTCAATTTCAAACACTGAATTTTATGCCTTAAAAAGTCCTAAATTCACAGAAATATTGTTTTTGAGTTTTGTTTGTTTAGCTCTTAAATAATTTTAAACAGGTCATAGTTTTGCTTTGTCCAAGTAAAGCCATACTCAGTTGGACCGCCAACCATTCAATGACCAAGAAAACCTTATTTTATATATTTACGTTTTTTTTATTGCAAAGAGATACAATTCACAGCAGCTGTTAGACATGTTTACAGCAAATTCAACAAATTAAGTTCCCTAATTAGAAAAAAATTATAACTTCTCATGATAATACCAGAAAAAAATCTTAACCCTGCATAAGTCTTAAATTTCATTTTTAATGGTCTTAAAAAGGTTTTTTAAAGTCTTAAATGTGACTCAATGAAACCTGCAGAAACCCTGTTCAAGGACCAGACAAAGCTAAAGTTCCTTAATAATATGATTACATTTTTTGACGAAACTTTTCTGGTTACTGTAGATGGAAATTTTTATATGAAGCAGAAAGTAGTGATGATGAGTAAGGACTTTAAAAACTTAAGAACTTAATGAACTTAATCTCGGCCATGAGAGTCAGTGTCCCAGTACAGGAAGGCTGTGGCCCAGTAGAGCTTTATGTCTAGCAACACCCCTGCTTGAATGGCTTTGCTGTTGTCATTGACTTTCAGTGGACTTGTTTTACTCGTTTCATCAGATCGTTTGTGTGAATCAGCAAGAGTATTTATAATATCCAAGGACTTCTAACAATCTCTTTCAATCAATAGATTCCTGCTGCCCATCGCCTTCCAGCAGACCAACCGCCCTGTCCCTGTTGTCTACTCTCTGAATACTGAGTTCCAGCTTTGTAATAATGAGAAAGTTTTTCTAATGGATCCTGCTCTCGCAGACATGTCTGTGGCTGAGATGGATTACAAAGGAGCCTTTTCAATGGGTAAAATGAGCAAATTAGTGAAAATGATGAGATGCGTCACTATTGTGCTTTTGTTCATTCAATATTTGATGTTATGCAGGTCAAACCCTGTATGGCAGAGTCCTGTGGAATCCTGACCAGAACCTGAATTCAGCCTACAAGCTGCAGCTGGAGAAAGTGTATTTGTGTACGGGACGGGATGGATATGTTCCCTTCTTTGACCCTACAGGCACACTGTATAATGAGGGCCCTCAGTATGGCTGCATTCAACCAAACAAGCACCTTAAACACAGGTTCTTACTTCTGGTAGGTGCATATTGTAACAAGTCCAGACCAGTTTAACTAGCCTAACAAGATCGGCTTGATGTGGTTAAGTTTTAACTGAAATACTTTTGTGGAGTGGAATTTTTCAGTGGGCACTGCAAAGATCAAGCTGGTTTTGTTTACCTTGAAAAAATATCAAATTTAATTCTTGTTTATTTCTGTAGTGTTTTTTACAATGTAGATTGTGTCAAAGCAGCTTAACATAGTTTTAGTAAAGTCCAGTTTTTAGTGTTAAAGTTTAGTTAAGTTCAGTGTGGTTTAAGTTTCACTGCTGAAAGTTCAAACACTGACAAGCAAATCCGAGAAAAGCAATGCAATATAATATGCAGTTCTTAAAGGAAAGTTTTTTTAATAATTGTTATACTTAAGTGATTTCAATCTTCTGAGAGAATTAGAATGTGACAGCTCAACGCAAATTCAGTTCGCTGAATTTAAATGTCGATAACTATGAAGTGGAAAGAATCTGCATTAAAGCTCTTTACAGTGCTGGGATGACCTTTCATTTTATTATGACAGGTGGCCTAATAAATTCTAAATGTTAAACAACTTTGTTTTTATACATCATGTGTACATACAGTTGAAGTCAGAGTTATTAGCCCCCCTGAATTATTTGCCCCCATTTATTTTTTCCCCCAATTTCTGTTTAATGGAGAGAAGATTTTTTTCAACATATTTCTAAGTGAAGTTTCATAAACTAATTTATGAAAGGAGAGGAGCATGTGATATGATTGTGCACCGCTGGCCTCTCATCCGTAATCAGTAATAATCCAATCAGAATGATCCTAGCTTAATATAAATGGATCACTTTCTGCTAATTGCTTTTTGGAAGAATCCCCCCTTCCATCCCATCTCCTCCTTTTTCTCCCCTTCTAAAGGGGGAGCGATCGAGACCTACCTGATTTCGGTTCTCCTGATATGCTTCTAGACCAGGCGGGAGCCCTGGGCTCAAATATCTCCGAGCTCAGGGTTCTCTCCCGGGACATCATGCCAAACCAGCTGTAAATGCCAAGCATATCTAAGTGGGAACTCTTGAAACATAATAGTGTTAATAACTTATTCTAATAACTGATTTATTTTATCTTTGCCATGATGACAGTAAATAATATTTGACTAGATATATTTCTGGACACTTCTTTACAGCTTAAAGTGACATTTAAAGGCTTAACTAGGTTAATTAGGGTAACTAGGCAGGTTAGGGTAATTAGGCAAGTTATTGTATAACGATGGTTTGTTCTGTAGACTATCAAGAAAAAAATATATAGCTTAAAGAGGCTTATAATTTTAACCTCAAAATGGTTTTTAAAATAATAAAAATTAGCGAAAATAAAAAAAGACTTTCGCCAGAAGAAAAAATATTATCAGACATACAGTGAAAATTTCCTTGCTCTGTTAAGCACCATTTGGGAAATATTTAAAAAAGAAAAAAAAAATCAAAGGAGGGCTAATAATTCTGACTTCAACTGTATTTATGTGTGTTACCTAGGACCGAAAGCAGCCTGATGTATGTGATCGCTACTTCCATGATGTTCCCTTTGAGGCCAGCTTTGCATCTGACATTCCTGACCTCCTGTCTTTGTCTGCGATGCCCGGTGTAGACGGATTCACAATGAAGGTTGATGCCCTTTATAAGGTCAGTGACTTCAACAACCACATACTCAAACGTTCTAACTGAAACATGCTCCAAATCCTGGCATATGCCAGTGCCAAAGCATTTCAGATGTACCCTTCAAGCAATTGCCTAGATCTGTTTGTTTAAGAAAAGATGCCAGACTAACAGTCTGCCATGACTATAGGCAGCTTGGGGAGCTCTTTTGTTGGCATCTCATTCGTTGTGTTTGCTCTTCTTTAGGTTGAAGCAGGGCACCAATGGTACCTCCAGGTCATCTACGTTATTGGACCCGAGTCTATTTCGTCTCCCAGAATCCAGCGCTCAGTGACTTATGAGCTGAAGCGAAGCCGCCGAGATCTAGTAGACCGATCAGGTCGCCTAATGCTTGATGAATCATTGATCTACGACAATGAAGGTGACCAGGTAAAGAATGGCACCAACATGAAGACCTTGAAGCTTGAGATGGAACCATCAGGCACCTTCAACCCCCAAATGGGAGGATCCATTGGGGGTGGCGTGGCAGCCATCCTCCTGCTTTTCTTAGTCCTTCTAGCGTTCTGTTTCATGGTCAGGAAGTGCCGCAGGGTTGTCAAAAAGAGGCCTTCAAAGACGGTGGAGGATTATCCTCTGAACACAAAGGTGGAGGTCTGCATTGAACGTCTGGAGAAAAACCTCAACAGCAAGCACTGCTCTGTAAGAAACATCAACGTTCTCAACAAGAACCCCGACACCTACAAAGTCAATGGGGTGAAAGTCAAACAGGTCAATCTGGAGGTCAAACTCCACAACAATCTAAATGACGGCACTGAAGTCTGACCTTCTAGAGTATTTAATGAGAAAAAGAAACATTTTCTATGACTATTTGTAATAATGACATATGTTTAATGTATTTTTGTATGACCACGAGGACAAAAGGGAAAGTACGCTTGCCAGCTATGCAGTGTAAATCATTTCACAACTGAGCTACCTCAAACACATAACGGTGTCATCAGATCTTATTTTCTTCCGATCTCAGTTTGGAATCATCACTCTGTATATGAGAATTGTTCAACAGCTCAGTGGTAGCTCAGCCACTTGGAGAGTTTGTATCGCTGCGCCTGCTATTTTATCATATCTGTAAACTAAAAGCACATGAAAGTATTAAAGGAAGGATGAGTGCCAACGCTTTGGACCGGATGAGTGATGTAAATACGTTTATTAAGTGCAATTATCGGATGACATGGTCGTCCCTGTATTTTGATCTGGTTTCGATGCTCTGCCTCATCGTGTACTTTACTTTTGGCCTGATCACCGGTGTGCCATGCTGATATATTTGTCAAGTGCGATTTATTTAATTCCAAATCCGAATAACTGCCCAAAGTGATGCATTTAATTCGTGTAAACTGTCAGTACATGCGGACGAGAAACCGATGTGTTTTGATGAACTGTATGACTCTATAGATATGATAACCACTATTGATTTCCTGTCAGTCTGCTGTAGCAACACTGGACAACAAAATGTTTCTTTGTTTTGTTTTGTTTTGTTTATATTACTGCTGTCTGTGCTGATATAACCAAACACTACCAAATATCTTCACACGGATTGTTTGAGGTTATCCACCTTATGCTATACTTTATACTGCATTATTTAGTCTTGTATTATCGTCGCATCATGTATTAAGGCTTGTGTATTTGATTTTGTTCTTTCTATTCTTTGCTAAATGTTTATTAATGTTGTAAGTTGTCACATGACACATGGTGCTGGTTTGCTCAAGAAAATTCAGAAAACCCACCTGGGTGTAGTGTGGGAATGCTATAATTATTATTTTACAGTTGGTCAATTCTCTCTTTTACTCTTGCCTCTTTTTTTCTTTATTTGGAATTTAATTTTTCAAGTGTCAAAGTGAGTGCCTATCAAACAGGAACATTTTGGTGATTTCAGTTTTTGGTGCTATCATTTATGGTAAATTAATCAACATGATGCCTGTTCTTGTGCCTTTTTAACAATAAAATAAATGAAAATGAATTAAAATGTTCTTAATGTGTGGCATGCTTTACTCAAAGTATACATTACAGTAGTAGTGGTAATAAATTTGGATGCAACTTAATGTATTGCAAGGGGATACAGATTAAACTAGATTAAATTTATTAAAGGCAGTGGCTCAGTAAGAATGCATACCTTTCATGATATCATGTCACTCACACCCTAACAAAACAGGCGAGATGTTAAACCGGACAGAGGGCTTTGCCATTTAGTACTTTGTAACAATAGGTGATCTAGAAGTAGCCCTTATTTTAAATGTTTTTTTTTTAACTTGCATATATTCATATCAGAAATCTAATGTACCAATTACAAATACAAGATATAGAAACACACATCAGTCATTCACCATTTTGATCTCAATTACGTCTTTAAATTCATATAATCCTCTTGAAGTTATGCACCTGTATTCCTGTCATATTATATTGTATATGACCTGATGAGTCCAAATTTGTTTCCCTAATATTAAGAGACAGAGAGAGAGAGAGAGAGAGAGAGACCTAAAGAAAAGTGGAGATTTTTTTAAAGAAGGGAGAGGCTAGGTGTGTTTGTGTGAGTGTGAACGTGTCTGAACGTGACATTAGTCAGTGACGCCTTGAGGAAGCAAGACAGAAGTTAAATAAACCAGGCAGAATTTCGCTGAGCGCAGATTTGTAACACAAAGGTAAGTACAAACTACAAACTGAATCATAAAATTTAGTAAAGAAAGAAAGAAAGAAAAACGTAGGAAACCCAGTGCAAAATCATTGTTTGAAGGAATGTGAGTGCTTGTCAATCAAAAATCACTGTAATAACAACATTTTGCTGTTTGTTTAAGCTTATACTTCTGTTGCTTATAAATGAGTAGTTTACCTTTGCTTTTTATGCATTTTAAAAACACAACTGAAAACAATATAGTCATAATATATTCTGAATTGTAAATGTGAATTGTTTATCACACTAGAATCCAACAAAAATGGCAGACTTATGGGTAAGTAAAATATTAAATATATCTATACACTGGTCTCTGAAGGTGACGTTTAATATGGAGCCAGATCGGTCTCAAAAATAATACATTTGCAAATTTAAATGCACCGCACAATTCACGTTTATAAAATCCAATTCGTAAATTCAAAACACAATTTGTGAATTCACAATTAAAAATTATATACATATCGCCAACTGAATTAAACTTGTGGGCCTGAAATGTGTTTTGAATTTACGAATTGGATTTATGTATTCAGTGGGTGGCACAATCACCTCATAACAAGGTTGCTGGTTCGAACCTCGGCTGGGTCAGTTGGCATTTCTATGTGGAGTTTGCATTTTTTACCTGTGTTTGCGTGGGTTTTCTCCGGGTGCTCCGGTTTCGCCCACAGTCCAAAGACATGCGGTACAGGTGAAATGGGTAGGCTATTAACTTGTCCATAGTGTATGTGACATGAATGTGTATGAGTGTTTCCCAGTGATGGGTTGCAGCTGGAAGAACATCCACTGTGTAAAACATGCTGAATAAGTTGGCGGTTCATTCCGCTGTGGCGACCCCAGATTAATAAAGGGACTAAGCTGAAAAGAAAAGAAAAATTTGATGCTGGATGAATCATTTACATTTAATTTTTTTTTTAATTTATGAATTAGATTTATGTATGTATTGGATTTTACAAATTGGATTTGTGTATTTACGAATTGCTTTTTAATGTACAAATTAAATTAGGTCATTTACGAATTGTGTTTTGAATTGACGAATTGGATTTGTGCATTTACGAATTGCGTTTAGAATATACAATTTGAATTATGTAAATGTGAATTGTGAATGTATTGTTTTTTTGTTTTGTTTGTTTTTTAGACTAATCTGGCTCCATATTTAAGTAAAGAGTAGGATATACACCTGAAGAGTATTTTTTTTCTTTTTGTGTTGTAGGAAGAATTGCAAAGTGTAGCAAATGCTGCTCCCGCTTCATTCGCAGCTGCGGTAAAATTGACTTTAGTTCATTCTAATTAGATAAGCTAAAGTCAGTCAGTTAAAAGGAACACATTGCTTTAATATTCTTTTATTGGTTGGTTAATTCTTCTTCAGCCAGGTGAGAGGGGCACCATTAAGGCCAAAGCTAACTTCAACGTCAGTGAAGATGTTGCAGCTCTCCGCAAAGCAATTGAAGGCGTTGGTAGGCTCTTATCTGTAGTGTATTATTGTAGGCCAGGGGTGTCTAAACTCGGTCCAGGAGGGCCGGTGTCCTGCTGAGTTTCGCTCCAACTTGCTTTAACACACCTGCCAGAATGTTTCTAGTGTATCTAGCAAGAGCTTGATTAGATAATTTAGGTGTGTTTGATTAGGGTTGGAGCTAAACTCTTTAGGACACCGGCACACAAGGACCGAGTGTGGACATCCCTGCTGTAGGCCTATAATGTTTTATGTACAAATATTTTTATAAAGGTATGATTCTACATTTTCTTTGTAGTTTGAGGGGTTAATAAGTTGTATCACCAAAATTCTTTACCAGGTACAAACGAGAAGACATTGATAGAAATCCTGACCCACAGAAGCAGCAGTCAGAAGCAGGAGATTGCTAAAGCATACCGAGAAACCACAAAGAGGGTGAATCTGTGTTCTTTTGCTCAAAGCCTACTTATTATTTGTGTTCTGTGCGACAACTTAAATTTGTCTGTCTGGACCACAGATTTTAGCAAATGACTTGAAAGGCGAGACCCATGGCAACTTTGAAAAAGTTCTTGTTGGGCTGGCAAGACCTCTGGCTGTCAATGATGCTGAATGGTTGCACGAAGCACTGAAAGTCAGTAGCTGTTTCTTAAGTTTTTGTGTATATTGAACAATTACTATTTAGAGGCAATCTGAGACAGAAATCCAACTGTAAACATATTTTGCATGTTATTTACCAATGTGCATTTTTATTTTTCCTTACATTAAAAAAAAATGTAATTTTTAGGCTTATTTTCGGCAGCTGGTTAGTCAAAAAAAAGTAAAACAGAGTCTGTTAAATAACGGAAATTTACCATAAAATAACAAGCATTAAATTGCAGAAATTTCCTTAAATTAACTTCCTGTGATTTAATGTCCTTTATTTTAGAGTAAATTTCTGTAGTTAATGGCCATTATTTTACTTTTTTTTTCAGGCCTTTTTTTACAGTGCATGATTTGTTTTTCAGGGGGCTGGAACAGACAACAACATCCTGATAGAAATACTTTCCTCACGGACAAATAAACAAATTAAGGAGCTGTCTGCAGCATATGCTGAAGGTGAGATGGGGATGATAAGACTATTTTTAAGGAAGAGAAAATTTGATTAAAGGAAAAATAATCATTTTTCCCCCTTTCCCTTCAGAAACGAAGAAAACACTCACACAGGCCCTTAAAACAGAGGTTTCAGGGCATTATGGCAAAGCCATCATTCTACTTGCTGAGGTAATTTAATACACACTCCTAACACTTTATTCCAATAAATGCAGATGATATTTTAAAATATAAACGTATTTAATTGTCTCTAATTCTAAGGGTGCGAGAGATGAAAACCCCAGTGTGAATGTAGACAAGGCTAGAGAAGATGCACAGGTACAGAAACTAAAACCTTTATGTTTCCTATTGTATATCAGGTGCAGTTTTCATTTAATGCTTAGTTCAGAAATTATATTTGTGTTATGGTTATTATTTTGCCAGATTATGTCATTTTGACTCTTATTTTCTTAAGTCATAAATGGCCATTAAACATGCCGAAGTAGCTTCCCAAACATTAATCACTTGTGGTCTTTTCTGTTATGCTAGTGGGAAGCAAGTGACCAAATGTCAAAAATAAGATCATAAACAAACAATCCTACTAAAGGGGTTTGTTTTGTACTGTATGTCATAAAGGAGTGAGTATTGTTGCCATAGCTCATTAATCTTTTCACCACTATATAATTCTAGTTTGCACCAGTACCACTGACGAATTTCACTACGATTTTAAAGCTGTAAATGAATGATATGTTTTGCTTCTCTGGCCAACCTGAACAAAATAAAACATTCTTTGTCATGAAGTGTCACAGATGCAGAATTAGATATTGTCCACTACCAAACACATTATGAGGACACTTTTGATACAAAAGCAAATGATTTGTGTGTTCAAGCTGCCATTGTTGCTCATGAAATACCTTGACAACTTACATCAAACAGATTGCACCAAGATCTGGCATATATCATGTACACTCTAAGAAAATGCAGGGTTGATGTAAGCCACATTTGGCCAATTTGTTTATTATGGACAAGCTCAAGCATTAATTGTTTTTATTATTATTTTCACTGAAATGTTGGTCCCACTATAAATTAAGTGGTCTTAACTTCTATGTACTTACAACAGAATATAAATACAATATACTTAATGTCTTCCCCTTTGGGAGGGAAGTTTCAATGCTCTGTGGAAACTTCCACTATGGAGAATTCGTTAGAATCCAATCATCTGAAAGATTATATAAACGGGCCAATGAAATGCCAGGAAGGATGCAATCTAGCCGGTCTCTCGAGCCAATATAAGGAACAGGTTTTACAGCCTGTACTTCATTGTACCCAACAAAGAGTGGTGGGCTATGGCCAATCCTAGATCTGTACGTTTTGAATCGCCGTCTTCACAAGCAGCCATTCAGAATGCTCACGCAGAAGCGCATCCTCCGGTCCGGTCTGCAGCAATAGACCTGAAGGACTCGTACTTAATGTCTCTATACTTCCACGCCACCGTCAGTTTCTGCGGTCTTCGTTGAAAGGCTGAGCTGGCAATACAAGTCCTCCCCTTCAGGCTCTCTCTGTCCCCATGAGTTTTCACCAAACTAGTGGAGGGTAACCTAGCGTACCTTCAGCCCGCAGGTATTCGCATACTCAATTATCTCGACTGGCTGATTTAGCGCTCACAGGATCAACTGATTACACACAGAGACAGGGTCCTTCACCACCATGACCTATTGGGGTTTCAGTTCAACCGAGAAAAGAGCAAGCTCACCCCCGTGCATCACCATGACGCCGCGCCTCCCCTG